TGTATGCTAGGAAGACTGCTATGCTACGCTTTATAGGCATTAATAATATCAAATAACACCAGTACCAAGCCACTCCACTTTCAAGGACATATTATAAAACATTTAACAACATTTATCAATAGATGCATAAATGGTGGGAGTAAATGTTTATATTCTAATGGTTGTTAATTAGGGTGGGTTGTTCTAGTGGGTTGTCTTAAATTATTATGTTTTACACTGCCTTGGTAACTTCTGGTTTATAAATAATTTTAATCAGCAAATAATATGTGTTTATAGTACCGTATTTTTTGCTCTATAAGACTCACTTTTTCCCTTCTAAAAAGTAAGGGGGAAATGTGTGTGCGTCTTATGGAGCGAATGCAGGCTGCGCAGCTATCACAGAAGCCAGAACAGCAAGAGGGATTGCTGCTTTCACTGCGCAGTGATCCCTCTTGCTGTTCTAGCTTCTGAGATTTAGAATATTTTTTTTCTTGTTTTCCTCCTCCAAAAACTAGGTGCGTCTTGTGGTCTGGTGCGTCTTATAGAGCGAAAAATACGGTATAAAGTCAATGGAGTTAAAAGAAGAGAACGACAAAAAGGATGGGAGAAGCTGTTTGGTTGTGTGCCTTTATCATCTTTAATACATGCCTAGATTTGAAGAAATGTATCTTCTGGTTTGTTTCTTGAACACTACCTGCTTCCTGGTTGAATGGTTTGTCATCTGTTTCAGCCATAAATAAAACGATGGTGTAGACTTGGATTTGTAACTGCTAGGATTACTATATCACTTCAACCTTTACTATCCATCATCTACACTGTTCTAACATTAAGATCCATGTGCCACACAAGTTCAAGTTTCAAAGGAACAATGAGCTGTTTAATATATGTCTACCGGGGCTTTTGAAAATATATTTATATATCTCCTTAAAAGAGAAAAGTAATCTTGAAGCACTTTATATGAATAGCTGTACGATATGCATCTCCAATAATAAGACTGATACTTCCAGGAAAGGGTCCACAGGATGGAAGTATAATATGAAGTCAACATTGGCTCATTAGCCTAACGTCATCTTTGAACCTTTCCAGTGTTATGTGTTCAAGTCTGAAGTATGGGATTTAATATGGGATTGGGAGGAATTGAGAGCCCTTCTACTGCAGACTGTACGTTTTTAGCTGCATTGTGATCTTAGCCCAACCCTACCTTGTGTCTTATCCTGCTATAAACTGAATGCAAAAAGGGCTTCTAGGTTTGCATAGGGCCATAAGAAATTATGAAGAGCCCTGCTAGATCAGGCCAGCATCCTAGTTACACTGTGGCCAAACAGATGCCCATGGGAAGCCCGCAAGCCGGGTGTGAGCAGGGGCGGACTTGGGTCTTTCAGATTTCAGCGGCGCTCTGTGCAAGGCCAAAATTCACACCCCATACGCACAGCTCGCCTTCTGTTCTGCTCAATTCCCTATGTCATAGTTGTGATGCCCTGCAGCGTGTCCAGTGTGGTAAAACTAGTCACGCTGCCCTAAATTGCACCTCTGGTGTGAAGAGGAGGAGGAGGAGGAGGAGGAGGAGGAGGAGGAGAAGAAGAAGAAGAAGAAGAAGAAGAGTTTGGATCTGTGGGTTAAACTACAGAGACTAGGACTTGCCGATCAGAAGGTCGGCAGTTCAAATCCCTGCAATGGGTGAGCTCCCGTTGCTCAGGTCCCTGCTCCTGCCAACCTAGCAGTTCGAAAGCACGTCAGAGTGCAAGTAGATAAATAGGTACCACTCTGGTGGGAAAGTAAACGGCATTTCCGTGCGCTGCTCTGGTTCTCCAGAAGCGGCTTAGTCATGCTGGCCACATGACCGAGAAGCTGTACGCCAGCTCCCTCGGCCAATAAAGCGAGATGAGTGCCGCAACCCCAGAGTCAGCCACGACTGGACCTAACCATCAGCGGTCCCTTTACCCTTTACCTTTAAGGAGTCTCAAAGCAGCTAACAATCTCCTTTCCCTTCCTCCCCCACAACAAACACTCTGTGAGGTGAGTGAGGCTGAGAGACTTCAGAGAAGTGTGACTGGCCCAAGGTCATCCAGCAGCTGCATGTGGAGGAGCGGGGAATCGAACCCGGTTCACCAGATTACGAGTCTACCACTCTTAACCACTACACCACACTGGCTCTCGAGCACAGCAGCATTTTCCCCACTTGTGATTCCCAGCACCTGACATTCAGCCATCTTTGTAGTGCAATGGGTCAGTGTGTCTGGCTGTTAACCAGAAGGTTGGTGATTAGAGCCCACCCAGGGATGGCTGTGGGCAGGTTTCCTGCATTGCAGGGGGGTTGGCACAGATGGCCCTCCCTTCCAACTCTATGCAAGGGTGCCAAGTTGAATAAATGGGGGGCAGGTAAACCGCACCCCACATAATCAATCACAGTATGCAATGCACACACACACCATTGGAATGGCAATGACCATCAGCTTGGGGTTGGGGCTCGGCCCTCTCAAATATTTTATTGAGGGGAACCTCAGCCCCTAGGAGTTGAGTGCTATGAAATTTCCAGGAGATTCAATGAGATCACCCACAAGTTTCACCTTGCGAACTTTGGGTGAGCCCAAAGTGCTCCCGAAAGCAGCTGAGCAACTGCGAAGGCTGCATGGTGCGCCTCTGCACCCACTTCCTTACCCTGCCCGTGCCCAGCTGATCTGATGCCAGAGCTCACAGTCTCTCTCTTGCCTCCAGGGGAAACACTCAAGCCCTGCAGACGATTCCAGATCGGCGCCCCCCTTCTTCTCGCAGCGGATCATCCGGGCCAGGCGCTCCTCGCCGCGGTCTTTTCCTGGCACGCTTTGCGGCTGGGGGCCGGGCAGGCGCCTCCGCCCCCTGGAGGAAGCGCAGGGGTGTTTCTCTGCGTATGGACTTGTGTCTCGGCAATAGGAGGCTGGCAAGGCGGCGGCGGCGGCTGTCTGAGCCCGGCCAGACATCATCAACCTTTCTGCATATTTCATTGGAGCTGCTCGCCGGGACACCGGGACACTGACCGCTGCAAAGCAGCTCCCCGGCTTCCATTGTGCGCGCCGCTTCCTTCCCGTCTGCTGCTTTTACGCTTCAAAGCGGGCTTTTCTCTCGCTTGGTGAATACCTAACCTTTGCTGCTTTCCGCGCGCTCGCCGTGCCCTTGCAACAAAACATCCAAGGGGGTTCTCTGAACTCTTTCCTCCTCCTCTTCTTTTCTTCCCCCCCATTTGGAGCGCCCGAGCCGTGCAGGACTATAAAAATATCTCGTTTGCAGGAGAGAGATTGCACGAGCAACTTCGACGAGAAGACGACTTGGAGGAGAGACAGAGAAGAGTTGCAAGAGGAAAGCTCAGCCCGAGCTTGCTGGCTGGCTGGCTTGCTTGCCCGCCTGCCTGGTTGGCGATTTCGAAGTGGCACTGCAATTCAGCAAAACCATTTCGCAGCCTTCCCAAAGGCTCGGCGCCGAGAGGGAAACCGTAGCAGCGGCTAGCGCCTGATCCAAACAGATCTCCTTTTTTTGCTTGCGCGTTTTTGCGCGCGGGAAGGAAGCGGCCGACTGGCGTCGTCTCTCGAAGCGCCGCTTGCATTGAACTAGAGCAAGAGTTGCAAGACTTGAGCGGCCTTGGAAGAGCAGCGAGCGCGGCGGGGTCGAGCAGGGAACCGGCCCCGAGGTGGCCCTGACATTGCAGCGCGCCCCTGCCGGCCGGGCAGCTCCTACTATCCTCCGCCCCTCGACGACGCGCCCCAGCGCTTGGCCCGGGGCGCAAACTTTTCCTCTCCGGCCGAGAGCGCTGCGCTCTTGCTTCTCCCGAAGCCGCCGCGGCGCCGCCTGAAAGCTTCCCGGTGACCTCCCTTCGCCCCCGCCGCGGCTCGCCCCCGAGGGGAGCTGGCGGCGGTGCGGCGGCGGGTTGACGAGGACCCGCATGGCCGGAGAGCGCCGACGGCGGTGGCGGTGGTGAGCTGGGCGGGCTGCGGAGGAAGAAGAAGAGGCGAGCGCCCTGAGGGAAGCGGCAGCCGCCGCTTCCTTCGCCCTTCCGCGAAAGGACGGCCGGGAAAGGAGGACGGCGAGGCGGAGGAGGAGGAGGAGGAAGAGAGACGGCGACGGCGATGTGGCCGGGCGGCGCGGCCGGCAAGCTGCCCTGCCCGCGGGACTCGGCGCTGCGCAGGGCGGCGTTCTCCGGGAACCTCTCGGCGCTGCCCTTGCACTTGGCGCCCAGCGGGAGAAGCGTCAGGGTTTTCATCAGCGCCAATCCCGAAGGTAAGCTTGCGCTTCCCCGAGGGGCTCGGAAGGCTTGGCCGCAGCTCCGTCCACCGACCCTTTTTACCCCTGAGCGGCCGCTCCGCGCTTGGGGAAGGCTTCACACGGCCCAGGCGCGTGCGCCGCCTTGCGGAGCTGCTGGGCGCGCTCTGGATGCCCAGAGCCGAGCCTGGAGATGATGATGATGACACCATCATCATCATCATCATCAATATTATTATTATTATTATTATTACTTACTACTACACCGCCCATCTGGCTGGGTTTCCCCAGCCATTCTGGGCCACGCTCAACGGAAAATTAAAAGCACAATAAAACATCAAACATTAAAAACTTCCGTAAAAAGGGCTGCCTTCAGATGTTTTCTAAAAGTCAGGTAGTTGTTTACTTCCTTGATGTCTGATGGGAGGGGGTTCCACAGGGTGGGCGCCACCACCGAGAAGGCCCTGTGCCTGGTTCCCTGTAACCTCACTTCTCGCAGTGAGGGGACCGCCAGAAGGCCCTTGGCGCTGGATCTCAGTGTCCGGGCTGAGCGATGGGGGTGGAGACGCTCCTTCAGGTATACTGGCCCGAGGGGGTTTAGGGCTTTGAAGGTCGGCACCAACACTTTGAATTGTGCTTGGAAACGTACTGAGAGCCAATGTAGAGACCGGTGTTATATGGTCTAAGAGGCCGCTTCCAGTCCCCAGTCTAGCTGCCGCATTCTGGATTAGTTGTAGTTTCCGGATCACCATCAAAGGTAGCCCCACGTAGAGCACATTGCAGTAGTCTAAGCAGGAGATCACTAGAGCATGCACCACTCTGGCGAGACAATCTGCAGGCAGGCAGGGTCTCAGCCTGCGTACCAGATGGAGCTGGTAGACAGCTGCCCTGGACGCAGAATTGACCTGTGCCTCCATGGACAGCTGTGACTCCAAAATGACTCCCAGGCTGCGCATGTGGTCCTTCAGGGGCACAGTTACCCCACAGTTACTTCAGCGTGGCCTGCTCTGTGCTTGGTGGGAGGCTTCACGTAGCCCAGACGCATGCGTCGCCCCTCAGGGTTGCTGGGCACGTGCTCTGGACACCCCAGAGCTGAGCCTTGAGAGGCCGCTGTGCCTCTAACAGCCCACATGGCGACATTTTGTTCCGTGTGCGGCTTGGGGGGGGGCTGGATGGAATGCTGGCCTCTGTCACGAGGTCAGCTTCATGTCCTGAGATATAATAATAAATAATAATAATATATTATTTGTACCCCACCCATCTGGCTGGGTTGCCCCAACCACTCTGGGTGGCTTCCGACAAAATATTAAAAATACAATAAAACATCAGACATTAAAAACTTCCCTAAACAGGGCTGCCACTGGCCTCATCGATATTGCCCAACATGTGGACTGCAGGGGATAAAACAATGGTGTGAAGCTAAAGCAGGGATTCCCAAATTTAGGTCTCCAGCTGTTTTTGGACTACAATTCCCCTAATCTCTGACCACTTTTGCTTTTTGGAGGGGGGGGGGAGATAAACTTCCAATTAGTTTTATCATTTATTTGTGTGTCCATGGACTACCACGTTTCAGCTTTCAGGGTGGCCTATGAGTGGTTCCGCCATTTTGGGGTACGCCTCTAGCCTCCCCCTTCTAGAGAAAGGGGGACATCTCCTTTTCAAATTGTTTTTATTAAAGATTTTCTGGGGTTATAAAAGCAGTACCTTTTTTTCTATATATATACAGAAAAGTTTAGTGGTACTTTCATTTTGGCTCAAGAAAATCACCATTTTATAGTTCAAATTGGGGGGAATAAATCTAGTAAATTGACAAAAGTACAAAGATTCACAAAATGTTTAGGGGTATGCGTACCCCTGCATTCCCCCCCCCCCCCCAGAAAAAAACCACTGTATAAAAATACATGCACTGTCTCTATTTTCAGATCATACAGTTCTCTCTACAGATCAGTTATATTCGATGCTGTATGCAGTATAAGGTTGGGGGAGAAGAGAGATGGGGGGGTGAGAGATAAGGGGGGTAGTAAACTTTTTATCTTTTACCTAGTATATATGTGAGGTTTTTGTTGGTAGGTGAACATCTTCTGAGGACTCCTCCGGGTGTCCTTTTTATTGTACCTTCATGGTGTTGTGGGGGGGGGGGTGTTGGAAGGGACCACAAGCATCATCTAGTCCACCCCCTGCAATGTAGGAATCTTTTACCCAGCCTGGGGCTCGAACCCACAACCCTGAAATTAAGAGTCTCATGCTCTTCCAACTGAGCTATCCCACTTACTTTGTTTGCTATCGTTGCACATCCTATAACTTCCTGCTGAAATCCTGTAACTTTTTATAGTACAAATCTTCCGGTTTATTCCACCCCCCTCCTGCTTTTATTGCGCTATAGTGCAAGAGGGCCCCTCCAGATGGCAATAATGTGACAACAGAACAACTAATAAAGTGGAATGGATGTGTGGCTTGCGCTGTTATTGCACCAATGACATCTTGTAGAATACACCTGCTCAAAAAAGCAGTCTGGAGGGGCCTTTAGACTTTTTGTGTAATCCTAGTGTTGTGTTTGTACTTGAATGCCTGGCCTGGAATCACCCTAATCATTTCACTCCTTGCCCTCCATTTCTAATCTGCACATTTTCCCCTTTTAAACTTCTAGTAAAGGGGGGGTGGGGTGGATCCCTTGGACTGTGCATGGCCCAAATTTGAAGGGTCTAGCTAACCTAAAAGTACCATTGCAATTAAAGTGCCATTAAGTCAGTCAGTAAGTGAGGCAATCATTAGATTCAGAGCAGGTTGCCACTTGGGACTTGTATAGTATTTAAAGGGAAATAGCTTGCCTTACAATTCCACCTCGTTATGTATGTCAGTGAGTACCTTCTAAACTTAGAATCCAATAGACTTCATTTGGCAGTTTGTGGTATTTATTCTGTGTGGACATGCACATTAGTATAGGTTTGTGGAGCACTCCGGCACGTGAGTGTCATATTTAAACGGGCAGATTAGGTCAGTTTTGAAATCCTTTCCAAACCTATGTAGAAGACAAACTCCATTAAACGCTTCTTTGTCAGTTTCCTTCAGGGATAGACACTCTGCTATTCCCCATCCCCATTTTACTTCAGCCTTGGATGCTAAAGCACACTAAAGGAAATATCCTAATCAGTCTGGTGGCCTTGCTAGCAGGAGACGTCCTCACTTGCCTGCCTTTTTATTGCCATGCTCATTCTCCTGGTTTGAGACAAAAGCACAGCTAAAAACTGGGACCTTGGTGGCTGCAGTACATGGTGTCCCAGGGAGCACTGGTGCCTAGCCCATTACTTACAGGAAGAGTAGTGGGGAATAAGAGGAAGATGCTTACAGTCTCTCTTGACGAAGCCTCCTCAGTTCTAGCATGTAGAACATCTGTGCATTTAGCTGCAGCCACGTGTGTGTTTGTGTGTGGGTGTTCTTCCTTGTAATAGTTCCTGCCTCTGAAGCAGCCCCCAGTGCTGAGTTGTGTTAGCACTTTCATGACACTCCCTCGCTGCTCATTCCTGCACAGCAAACTGCACTTGCCCAAGATCGCTCTTCCATAAAGCTGTTGAAGGCATAGGAGCCCCATCTTGCTTTGCATCTGTTCATCCGTAAGGTAGAGACGGAAAAATAGTTCCAAAATGTGAGTCCCGTGCTGCCGGGTCAGCTCAGGTTACAAGTGGTTCTGCATTTTGGAAAAAAGATGACTCTTAAATTGGTTAATGTGGTTCTCAACCTGTGGGTCCCCAAGATGTTGTTGGACTACAACTCCCATCATCCCTGACCACTGGTCATGATAGGAGTTGTAGTCCAACAACATCTGGGGACCCACAGGTTGAGAAACACTGAAGGGTGGCAAACCGTGGCCCATTAGGCTGAGTCCAGCCTGCCAAACCACTACAAGTGGCCCGACAGCTGCCGGTGATTTGAATCACCATCACAGCACCAGGCTGAAAAAGAAGTTTAAAGTTCTCCTCTCAACATTATGAAGGAAGCATTGCCCCATTGAATTGCTAGGATGATGGAGGGACACTTTGAATCTTCACTGCAGTGGGAAGAAGTGTTGTGTGTGCAAGTGAGTTGATGTGTGTTTGAAGATAGGAGTGTGAGAGAGTGAAAGAGTTTTCCTTCCTCTATGTGTGGTGTGTGTGTATATTGTGAATTTGTGGTGTATATCTCTGTGTGTACACAACCACTTTGGCCATGATCACTCTTGTGCCCACGCTGGCAAATAGCTTTTGGGTGACTGGCCAACGTGAGCCCAAACCCTTAAAAAGGTAGCAGCAACCCCGCTTTAGTTGATTACCAGTTACGCTGATTAAAGGTTGCCACTCTAGAAAGCAGTTGTAGATGAAGGCATATAAAAATATTGTTATTTTGGTTGCTTTATTTATTGGTGACCTTTTGGTTGTAATAGCTCCCAAGCTCACAATGAAAACAATTCACAAAGTAGTCCAAATCTGAGGAAATAAATCCACTCGTCAAGAACCCTGCCCAAGTGGCAACAATTTGCAAATTACATACCAGTTTGCACTATTAGTCAAATTAGAATGTGATACATTTTCCTAGCTGGATAAGACTTTCATTGTGGGCCTTTATTTCTGCAATTGCATATCCATATATTTTGCTACATGAGCTATCAGCCAAATATGTAAACATGTAATTGTTGCACACAGGACTTGGGGCAGAATTTCTTACACAGAGGTAATATCTAGGTAAGGAATTTATGGGTCTCCCATATACATCCCTGTTTCAGGTATAATGCTCAACCATAAAAGGCTGCAATGAAGAAATTCAAAGCATCCACTTCCTGTTTTTCACTAACTGCAGTTTCCTGGTACATCACACAAACTGTGATTAGTTTAAACCATATCTCAAACTATGGTTTATGAACCTGGCTTGATAATGAACTATAATTTAAACCAGTGCTTTTCAGACTTCAGGCTTGTGGGATCTACAATGTGTTTTTCCTATAAACCAGGGCCAGGGGCAACATATTGGCTCATGGGCTGGAACTGTCTGACATAAATCATAAACTGGAATAACCTGAAGATATGAGTACATATCTATATCTTCGTACAGATCAGGGCTTTGGAATACAAAACTTTGTGCCAACAATATTTGCACAAAGACCTGGTCAAAGGCAAATTATTTATATTCATGTTTTACAGGAGAGGAACACAGAGACTAATAAGTGACTAGCCCGAGGTCATTAAAGGCAGGGAGATAAATTTTTACTTGCTATGGTTAAATTATTGGGAGTCAGAAACCCATGCTGATCTACTGCAAGTCATCCAGAGAACTACCATTAGAACCTTGTCTATGTTTTGCCCTCCACTAGTTTAAACTAGCCATAGTTGGCACCATTTTTAGACACAATAAACAATAGTTAGTGAAAGGCAGGAAATGGATGCTTCCAAACCCTCACAGCCAAGGGGAGTGTATGAGCCCAAGGTTAATGCCCACTCATTCATAATTTAGTGTTATGTCAAAATAGGCCACTGAGCCAAACCACTGATATAGCTACTCATTGACTATTTTGGTTGGCAGTGGCTGTCTCAAGGCCACAGGCAGTCCTGCTTGTTGTGGTCCTCTAACTAGAGGTAACAGGGATTGAATTTGGAAATAAAACGTGTTATGTGTCAGAGCTGTTCCCTCTCTGCAATCAGGATTCAAACCTATGACTTGTGGCACATTTTCAAAGTGAAAACCCTGTGCTTTTCACGTAGTGCATGGGCCTTCATCAGGATCTTTGATTTCATCAGTCAAAAAATATATCAATAGTGCAAACAATAACTGAATATAACACTTAAAGTGATAAAGCAATAGGCATGGATAGCAAAGATCCTAAGATTTAACGGCTATCATGCAGTGATTCTGCATACACAAACTTAGGAGGAATTTCCATTGTACATGCATAAGTCAAGGACAAAGATAACCAAGTTATCTTGTCAACTCACTTAGACAATTTCATTGTCGGCCATCAGTGTTTGGGAATCCTAATTCTGGAATTGCTAATTACAAAACTTTCTAAACATTTCGGGAGGTGTTCATGTGCAATTTGGATAGGGCATATACCAATTAAACCATATTCACATGATAGGTCTGCAAGAAAAACTACTGCATACTTATAGACTTGATGTATTTGGATGCAGTGTATATGTCAGCACAATTATGTATTCACTAGTTTAGCGTGCATTAGACAAGCTGCCTGTTGCCATTTTCATTTGCAAGCTACTTCAGAATAATCAGCAATGAATTAGTTTTAAAAGCAGGCAGTTAGTTTCAATCCAGCCAAAGTCAGTCTCAGCTGAAATCGACAAGACTTGAGTTAGGCTGCAAGCTTGTTCATATGGATTTGGGGATTAGACAGAATAAGTATTTAGTACCAAGCAGACACGCATAGAATTAGGCTGGAGGTCGCAAGTAACTTGTATCCCCCCAAAAATCTCAATAATGAAAGCAATAACTGCAGGTACTTAAAATAATAAAGCAATCTGTCATTGTTGGCAAAGATCCTAAGATTTATTGACTGTAAGGCTGCAGTCCTTTATAGGGCAGTGAGGACTGCAGCCCAATTCTATGTAGATTTACTTGGAAGCAAGTCTTCACTGTGTTCACTGAGTCTCACTACAAAGTAAGTGTCCAAAGGAGTACAGCCATAGCTATTTCTAACTTTTGTTAGATTGGAACAAATGCTTTAAAAAGCCTCTGCCTTTTATTATTTTTATGTGTGTTCTGTTGAGAATAATCAGCAGCTCAACCGTGTTTTGAAGACCGTCTGCCAAATCAACAATGAGCTACTTGAATTACTTGGCAGCTCGATGTGGTTTTTTTCAAGCTATTTTTCTGTTACATGCACTCTTTTACATACACCAACTCTGTGGAAGTTTACAATTGGTTTATAAAAGACGAAATCACTGCAAAACTCTGATATACACATTTTAATCTAAAAATCAACTGCCTTTTTAGGGCAAGGATGCAGAACTGACTGCTGTCCCCAGGCCCACCCCACCCTGTCTCCTTGCACCCCTTCTCCCCATTGCTGAGCTGTTATCACTGATAAAATTAGCTGCAGGGGGGAACTGCAACAGGAACTCTGTTCTCCCACCTGCTTGCTCAGCTGACCAGAGATAACAGCACAGCACTGTGGAAGAGGAAGTATGGCAGAATCCTACCGCCAAAGCTGCCCTCTTACACACCATTGTACCACAAGCTTCACAGAGCAGCGAAAGTGCCAGCAAAGCACCTGTTGCAGGTGTATATAGAAAGAGGCACGCCTTCAGATATTCAGAGCCCAAGACATTTAGGGCTTTGTATGTCAACATAGGAGGGACGCGGATGGCGCTGTGGGTTAAACCGCAGAGCCTAGGGCTTGCCGATCAGCAGGTTGGCGGTTTGAATCCCCACAACAGGGTGAGCTCCCGTTGCTCGGTCCCTGCTCCTGCCAACCTAACAGTTCAAAAGCACGTCAAAGTGCAAGTAGATAAATAGGTACCACTCCGGTGGGAAGGTAAACGGCGTTTTCGTGCGCTGCTCTGGTTCTCCAGAAGCGGCTTAGTCATGCTGGCCACATGACCCGGAAGTTGTACGCCGGCTCCCTCAGCCAATAAAGCGAGATGAGCGCTGCAACCCCAGAGTTGGTCACAACTGGACCTAATGGTCAGAGGTCCCTTTACCTTTACCTGTGTCAACATAAGCATCTTGAATTGGGCTCAGAAGTACCAGTGCAGCTTTTCTTAAGAACGGATGTCAGCATCCTATCCTCTGTGTTCTGCACCAGTTGCAGCTTCTGAACCATCTTCAAGGGCAGCCCCACACAGAGTGCGTTAAAACAGCACAGTTTCCTGCAAGCTCAGTAAAGTTTTTGTGTTTGGCACATACACACCACGCGCACACCAAATTAATATAGTAATTCTCCGTCTCATTCACCGCTAAGAGACATTGTTAAAACAATTTTTAATAATAACCGCACAGCCTGTTTGTCAAGACCCCTTCTCAACCTGTGAGAGAGTACTGGAATTGCAAAAGCACCTTAAACTTTAGTAGTCTAGCATAACTGCCTTGTGGCAGAAACTGATAAAAATTGACATCATTTACAGCCGTATCTTGGGTCTCAAATGCCTTGGCTCCTGAACAAATCGGCTCCCGAATGATCGAAACCAGACGTGAGTGTTCCAGTTTTTGAATGATTTTTGGACGCTGAACATCTGGCGCAGCTTCCGATTGGCCGCAGGACGCTCCTGCAGCCAATCGGAAGCCGTGCCTTGGTGGTGTAGAGTGGTGTAGGCTTTTAAGCATTGGTTGCATAGTTATACAGAAGAAGCATCTTGCCTGGTGGTGTAGAGCTCCAACGCTAGCTTCCTGGCATTAGCACAGATGTCAGAAGCAAGATGGCAGCGAAGCCAAGGTTGTGCAAGTGCGCTGTGGCTCTGCCAGCGTGTTCGCACAAGCACAACCACCTTGTCCCTCTATCTCCCAGTAAGCAGCAGTGACAATGTTGCCAGGAAGTAGCTGTTGCAGTTTCAACCCATCAGGCAAACCACTACCCTCTAAATGCTAACAACCATCGTTTCCTGCTGACAATATAGTGAGTAAAGGTAAAGGTAAAGGGACCCCTGACCATTAGGTCCAGTCGTGGCTGACTCTGGGGTTCCGGTGCTCATCTCGCTTTATTGGCCGAGGGAGCCGGCGTACAGCTTCCGGGTCATGTGGCCAGCATAATTAAGCCACTTCTGGCGAACCAGAGCAGCGCACGGAAACACCGTTTACCTTCCCGCAGGAGCAGTACCTATTTATCTAGTTGCACTTTGACGTGCTTTCGAACTGCTAGGTTGGCAGGAGCAGGGACAGAGCAACGGGAGCTCACCCCGTTGCGGGGATTCAAACCGCCAACCTGCTGATCAGCAAGTCCTAGGCTCTGTGGTTTAACCCACAGCGCCACCCGCGTCCCATTATCATTTCCTGGCCCTTGTATGCCATCTTTGTTTATTTATCTAGTTGCACTTTGACGTGCTTTCGAACTGCTAGGTTGGCAGGAGCAGGGACCGAGCAACAGGAGCTCACCCTGTCGCAGGGATTCAAACCGCCGACCTTCTGATCGGCAAGTCCTAGGCTCTGTGGTTTAACCCACAGCGCCACCCGCATCCCTTAATATAGTGAGTACAGAGCACTAAACCATGGTTTAGCAGTGCCTGAGTGAGCCCAAGCAAAGTGTCGAGCTTGCACACTCCTTCTCCTCTCCCATCCATCGCTTCTTCCTGTGCAGCTGAGTTTTTCTTTTGAAGTTCCTGACTTGGTGATATGTTTGAACCAGGGATCCTGGTTTAACAAGCTCTGTTAGGCTTCATAACAAACCAATTTCATACCATGGGTCATGAATCTCTGTGCTATTAAAAGTTTAAACTTGATTAAAGAGTTTGTTTTAAGTCAGGAACCCTGGTTTAATGCTAAGCTATGACTTTTTAAAAGTAAAACAAAACTCTGTGGAAGTGTAGCAATAGGGGTGTCGCATGTGAGCCAGGGAAGTGAGAGCTGGACCATAAAGAAGGCTGATCACTGAAGAATTGATGCTTTTGAATTATGGTGCTGGAGGAGACTCTTGAGAGTCCCATGGACTGCAAGAAGATCAAACCTATCCATTCTTAAGGAAATCAGCCCTGAGTGCTCACTGGAAGGACAGATCGTGAAGCTGAGGCTCCAATACTTTGGCCACCTCATGAGAAGAGAAGACTCCCTGGAAAAGATCCTGATATTGGGAAAGATGGAGGGCACAAGGAGAAGGGGACGACAGAGGACAAGATGGTTGGACAGTGTTCTTGAAGCTACCAGCATGAGTTTGACCAAACTGCGGGAAGCAGTGGAAGACAGAAGTGCCTGGTGTGCTCTGGTCCATGGGGTCACAAACAGTCGGACACGAATAAACGACTAAACAACAACATGTGAGCCAGAAACTTTGTTCAGGCTCATCCACATATGTAGCTCCTAAGCATGGTTTAGTGTTGTGTGAGAATGTAGCTGCTATACCGCCTACTGTTCTCAGTAATTTGCATAAAATTAGAGAACAGTATTCTAATGGAGTTTAGGGATACTGTATTCTGAATGTTTTTATGAATGAGCTTAGCAAACGTGACTGCTTTGCTTTGATCCAACAGTGCATGTTTAGTGTTGTGTATTTAAATTGCTTAATGTAAATGAGATCTGAACTGGAGCTTTGCATACTGAAGAAGTGCTAGAAAAGCGATAAATAACAACTTGAAGATCAAGCTTGTGCGTTGTTAATCATGTCTTAAGTTAGACATTGCTTTCACGCTTCGGCTCAATTAGCATTTGGTCATCATCTTTTCGCATGCAAATTGTGGTGAAATATTTATTAGGGAGCGTCACAAAAGATTCAAGTCGTAATGATAAATGGCATAGTTTAGGTTATGCAGCTAGGAGGGAAATGTTTCAATCAATATTTTGAGAGCACAAGAGTATGTTTCATTGCCTAATGGAACAGAACACAACATTGTCTCTGAGTAATCAGAAACAAGCATTACATATGCAAATTCCTTTTTGGCCTTTAAACAAAACAAAAAAAAGTTCTTTCTTCAGTGAATATATATCATAAAGACCATTCCAGACCTGACACATGGAATACACTTTTAAAAATTACAATATATATCCTCCTTTCTCTTCCTTCTGTCTGAATTTTCTTCTCATGCATGCGTGCACACACACATTTCTGCTACACCTCCTGAAATTCCTTCCTCACAACTATTAGAGTTCCAGGAGCCAGGCCCTCTTCTGCAGCTGACCACCCTACAGATTCTGGTCCCTGAGGCAGTGAGAAGCCCATTTCAGCCCTGGGACACTTGTTTTCTTCACTTCTATTAATGCTTAGGCACAGCACAGGCACTGTATTTTTTTTTTAAAAATCCCGCACCATAGGAGAGGCTGCAGTCCTAAGAAATATGTCCTCTTGCACTGAACGGGACTTCTTAATAAGCATTCTTCAGAACTTGCTGAAATCCGAGGTCAGCAATGCCACAAACTTTTTGCCTCTCCCACTGCACACATTTTGTGGATATTAATGACGATAAAAGTGCCATTTGGAACCACAGTTATAATTGCCTTTCCAGCTCGTTGTGGCAGATCAATGTTTCAGCAATGCTAAAGAACCCTTGCATTTAGAGGGGTGTGTACATTCAGAATCAAGAAGGAACATGGCGTAATGGGGAAAGGGTTCATTGGGCAAAGTGCTGTGTATCACTTAACCTCTAACCTAGCAGGGCGAATTTTTAAAAAGCCATTAAAAAAAAGTAATCTTATATTTATATGCTTTTTAAAGAAAAGCAGGTTTTAAAATTTCAACTTGTAGAAAGTGTCTCTTTTTAAAAACAACCTGCTCATACTGTTTGACGCTTTCTGGCACTTGTAAGTCTTCCTTACTTAAGGTTGCCATCAATTTGTCTTTGAGAAAATCTCCGTGACTTTAATATTTGCATGACTGACAGAAATTCAACAAGTGTGTCATCTCCCATCTCTGTGTCAGGAAACACAGCACTTATTGCATTTCTGCCTGTCAGTTATATGCTAAAGATTCAGAATTTCTGTTGGAAGAAGAAAAGAGGCAATCGTACTTTAGATTAACATGATGTGAGCCTTTGGGAAGGGGGAATATATTATTCACATCTTTAACTGTGTTTACCTCCTTATGGCGAGAGGCAGAAGGCTGCTGTGGTTTTGACTACAGCGTTCCTTAGATCCACCTATTTCATATCTTTTTCTTAATTCCCAAGTGCAGATTTCTACACTCCCACATGATGGAAGATACAAAACTGACAGTTGCTTTGTTTCCAGATTCTTTTAGCTCTCTCCCTGGGGTTTTTGAGAAATACAAGCACAGTCTCCAGGTACTTTTGAAGTATAAACACAAACAGCACCTGCCTCTATCTGTATCGATCTGAAGCGACAGAGAAAGCACTGCCAATCTTTCTTTACACAGAGAGGTAATGATTTTGTGCCCCTCAGTAATCCCCTCAACACAAAAGCCCCAGCTTTTAATGGGAAGACATAATGTATAGGGAGCAAAAGGGGCACATCCTCTTCTGGCAGATCATAACAAACAGCCAGTTTCCCCATAGTCTACAACAGAGTGCCCTTTCTGCCGAATAGTTGGCCCACTTTTGGCCCAATTAATGAGGATTTCCTGGACCTGTTCATCCTTAAACATCCATGTGTAGTGGCACAGTGGGTTTCGTTCATCATAACTGCATGCACAGCTGCATGTAAAAGCAACAGAACGTAAATAAACCTCACAAATAAGGCAACTGACATTGCAGAGAGAAGAATTCTATTCCTTTTGTAGTGGCTGCTTCAGCAAAGCAACTTTTATTTATTTCCTTATTAAAGCCCCAACAGCCATATGCTAAGCTGTTAACAAATATTTTATGCTTAGATGCAACGTGGATATCTTTACTATCTGCTTGGCTGTGCTGGCTTTCTTAGAACACAAATTAATAAGTAGTACATGGAGACAAAGTCGTATAAAATTGTTCTAGTAATGCTTCTTTGAGTTATTGAGGGTGGGATATCTCACTCATCGCTGTTGGTGGGTTATAAACATATAAAACCATAGCATACCATAAATAATACAATGATACACTAGAAGAGCAGATAACCACACCTGAAAAATTCATACTAAAGCCAACAGATACTATTGTCAGTTCCCTAAAAATACATCATATACATCACATAAAAGCTTGCAGAAATAAATAGGATTCAAGCTGGTTCTGTGCAATAGGGTTCCAGCCTACGCTGAAGCCAACTTGCACTGAGGACTTTGCACATAGGCTTCCCTAATGCAGACACCCATGGTAAAGAATGGACAGCAGGTGTGTGGAAGGCATACAGTGCCAGGGCTGAGCCAGTGGCGCATGGTCCCACTGCCTCTTTGTATATGTACAGCCCCTTCATGCGCTTGACACGGAGGGAACATAAACCATGGGCATTTGGAACCTTTTACACAATTCTTCAGATCCCAGTCTGTCTGATGATGGTGGTGGTGGTGTTGGCATCCATCTGCCTCAAAAGACAGTAGAGTGCACCTCTGGGGGTGAAGCCAAACTGCTGTGTTAGCAGTACTGAAGTTACCTCCCCATGGTACAAGCCTGGGCAGTGTGTATGGAGGTCCTGGGCTGATGTGGTCCAAAGGAAAGCAGAGCAATATGTTTGGCACCAACTTGGCTGCAGTAGTCGTCAGAAGGATGTGTACAAGGTGCCATCCAACCATCTCAGGGACGCCACTCCAGTTTTGTGTAGGGTTTTACTCCTTAGCCTTTTCTTCCCAATATATCCTGCATAGCAACAGAGGTTTAGGATCAGAGTATTCCTTCTCCTAGATGGACTACCTTCCCAGGTTGATGAGCCCTATCTGCCCCTCACTTCCCTGTACAGCACATGCAGAAACCCCCTTCTTGACCATTGGGCCCCCTATTAGTCTTATCTGGTCAATCCACAAGAGCCTGTCTTTGTATGGAGGGGAATTCTCTAACTTTGAGACCCATTGGCTACCCACACCTGGTTTAGCCAGCCAATTGAAGCCATTTCCTGGGGTGTGGCCACTGTCGAATGCTGACAGCTTCTTGGAGCCACAGGTGAGAGCTGAGTGCAAGATGGGGCCCAAAGGTGGACAAGCTACCCCAGAAGAAACACAGCACGTCCCCCACCAGAGGTACTACCCCTGCCCTAACAAACCCCACCACCACCTGTTATTTAGATGGTTTTATGCTGCTTTTTTGCCTAAACTAGTTACCATTTGCCGTGAATAGCATGTAATAAATCCAAAGTCTACAAACAATTCTTGCTTGTGTATTGTACGTTGCTGACTTGGCATCATTGCTGACATGTGCCTTTGCCCCCATATATTGTTGGAATCTGGTTGTGGGTGCACACAAGTATATGATTTGAGCACCAGGATTTTCAGTTTGAAATGAAAGACATTTCCTTTGTTGATTTTAATTTCATAAAATCAAAGTGCCCGGCAGATACACTTCTGATAAAAAAAGGCTTCTGGAAAAAAACGTGATCATTGTATAGGTCCCTGTAAGCATTATTTTTAGTGGCGGCAGAAGAATTAGCACATGTCATGTTATGACTCCCCTAATAGCATTGGAGTAGCTCAAGATGCTTTGGTGCTTATAATCTAGGTTACAGGGAAAAGTTTGATGATTTCAGCCAGAATAATAATCGAGGAATATTTTTAGAACTTGGAGCATTTTCCTTAATGTAAGCAGAGTTTAAGATAGCTACTTTATCCTCTTTTCTGGGGATTTAATTAAGGGAGGATAACAGAGGATCAGATCAGAGGGCAGAGTCAGTCATGCTTAAGTTCAAATAAATCTAGAATAACTCATACAAGCATAAAGTTGGAAAGGACTTCGTGGGTCATTTGGTTCTGTTTACTGCAACTTGAGTCATCATCCGTTGTGCCTAATTATTGACTTATGTATGTGGGCCTCATAAGTGATGTTGGTGGTCGTCACTGGGCATCCTGGGGGTGGGGCGGAGTACCTGCAATTTACAGTGCTAGTGATTGCTTCAGAAAAGAGATGGCCTTGCTTCGTGATGTGCCCCTGACATCAGCACATCCAACTCTTATCACAGTCCCGAAAAGCTGAATGCACTCTTAAACTAGGCAAAGGTAAAGGGACCCCTGACCATTAGGTCCAGTCGTGACTGACTCTGGGGTTGCGGCACTCATCTCGCTTTATTAGCCGAGGGAGCCAGCGTACAGCTTCCGGGTCATGTGGCCAGCATGACTAAGCTGCTTCTGGGGAACCAGAGCAGCGCATGGAAACGCCGTTTACCTTCCCGCCGGAGCGGTACCTATTTATCTACTTGCACTTTGACATGCTTTCGAATTGCTAGGTTGGCAGGAGCAGGGACAGAGCAACGGGAGCTCACCCCGTTGCGGGGATTCAAACCGCCAACCTGCTGATCAGCAAGTCCCAGGCTCTGTGGTTTAACCCACAGCGCCACCCGCGTCCCATTATCATTTCCTGGCCCTTGTATGCCATCTTTGTTTCTTCCTCAAATCACTCCTTAAAGCTCTTTTCCCCCCCAAACCCCCACACACATAACCCCACATAACTGAAACAAAGCCTAAGTGGTACCTCGGGTTAAGAACTTAATTCGTTCTGGTGGTCCGTTCTTAACCTGAAACTGTTCTTAACCTGAGGTACCACTTTAGCTAATGGGGCCTCCTGCCGCCGCCGTGCAATTTCTGTTCTCATCCTGAAGGAAAGTTCATAACCCGAGGTACTATTTCTGGGTTAGCGGAGTCTGTAACCTGAAGCCTCTGTAACTCGAAGCGTCTGTAACCCGAGGTACAACTGTACATGCAACTACATGTACGGTAAGTCATCCCTGTATTCAAGCACTGGTAGCCATAGCTGAGAATGAATTCCACAAAGGCCAATGAGTGGACTAGTAAAAAGGTAAAGGTAAAGGGACCTCTGACCATTAAGTCCAGTCGTGGGTGACTCTGGGGTTGCGGCGCTCATCTCACTTTACTGGCCAAGGGAGCCAACATTTGTCCGCAGACAGTTTTTCTGGGTCCATGACTAAGCCACTTCTGGCGAAACCAGAGCAGCGCACGGAAACGCTGTTTACCTTCCTGCTGGAGGTAGATACCTATTTATCTACTTGCACTTTGACGTGCTTTCAAACTGCTAGGTTGGCAGGAGCTGGGACCAAGCAATGGGAGCTCACCCCGTCACAGGGATTCGAACCGCCGACCTTCCGATTGGCAAGCACTAGGCTCTGTGGTTTAGAGGGAATTAGCACCTCGTCCCGTCTTTGCACCCATGATAGAAAACAAGTATGGTGCTATGAGGCCAGAAGGCATAGCCCACCGATCCTCTTCTGCCATCCCCTGGGAGACTAGTGAATTTCTTTGAAGCCTAGTAACTTTTGTGGGCTCTTGGTGAGAGGCTGATTTAGAGTAGGAAAAGGTGCAGAAAGGGACAATGAAAAAGGATAAATAGGCAGGACCTGCCTTCTCTGCAACTAAAGTGAAATATACTCAGAGTCGCAAAGTGATTTCATGCTCTTTATTCAGCTCATAGTGGTGAGGAGGAATGAATGAAAGTCCCCTCAAAGTATCTGCTTTATATACATTATTTACACAATGGGCTGCACATGATTGGCTAATTCTGGAATTCTACTGTAAGCCAATCAGGTTGTGGATTCACTTATATCTGGAGCATGGTTGGGTGGTTCCTGCCAACTAATCATACTGCTGCATTGTTCTAGGACCAATCAGACTGCTGCATTCTGAATCCTATTGTTCTAGGACCAATCAGACTGCTGCAATTTGGATCCTATTGTTCTAGGACCAATCAGACTGCTGCAGTTTGGATCCTATTCAACTCAGTACATAACAAAAAGGTGGAAGCGTTTGGGTGTTTTTACTTTAGAAAAAAGATGATGTAAGGGGAGATATAGCAAGGATATGTGAAATGAGTGGTTATTTGGAAGATTAGAGAGGGCTTTCCCCTTCTCAGCGGCTGTGGAACATAGGAATTGCTCAGTGAAACTGGCACTGGGTTCAGGACAGACGAAACCAAGTATTTGCACACCTTTAACCAATCTAGAGAGCTGGACCATAAAGAAGGCTGATCGCCGAAGAATTGATGCTATTGAATACTTGATACTTACCCAACTTTATTTTTAGTCGTATGTAGCAAAGGCAGTGAGAGATTTTACTTTCTTGGGCTCCATGATCACTGCAGATGGGGACGGCAGTCACGAAATTAAAAGATGCCTGCTTTTTGGGAGAAAAGCAATGACAAACCTAGACAGCATCTTAAAAAGCAGAGACCTCACCTTGCCAACAAAGGTCCATATAGTAAAAGCTATGGTTCCCAGTAGTGATATATGGAAGTGAGAGCTGGACCATAAAGAAGGCTGATCGCCGAAGAATTGATGCTATTGAATTGTGGTGCTGGAGGAGACTCTTGAGAGTCCCATGGACTGCCAGAAGATCAAACCTCTTCATTCTGAAGGAAATCAGCCCTGAGTGCTCACTGGAAGGACAGATCCTGAAGCTGAGACTCCAATACTTTGGCCACCTCATGAGAAGAGAAGACTCCCTGGAAAAGACCCTGATGTTGGGAAAGATGGAGGGCACAAGGAGAAGGGGACGACAGAGGACGAGATGGTTGGACAGTGTTCTCAAAGCTACCAACATGAGTTTGACCAAACTGCGGGAGGCAGTGGAAGACAGGAGTGCCTGGCGTGCTCTGGTCCATGGGGTCACGAAGAGTCGGACACGACTAAACAACAACAGCGAATATACAGTTGGTTTCTTATGTGCCTGATATGCAGCATTATGAAAATGAAAAGATAGACAGACGTAAAATTGAGGGAATTAAACCGGTACACTTTACCGACAGTGGCACATTGTGAAACTAGGAGTCTACTAAAAAAAGGCACTGTAATTAGGTCATCCCTGAACTGAAGCAGGGGCTCAAAACTCTTAAGGTATTATCTTCCCTCTGAGCACTTTTCACAACTACATTTACTGACTGTATTTAGCATTTCGTGTGCTTTCTCTTATGTTGCTCGTTTTAAAAAGTGTGCAGTGGACTCCTGCTGCCGCAGAGATTACTTTACCAAATTATGTACTTTTCTGAAACTTGTTGCATATGGAGGAAAACCTGGGTGAAACAATAGATGGTCAAAAACCAGGTGAAACCAAAAAGCCTATACTTGGTGTCAAGCCCATAAAATGATGCATATAACTTTCCTGATGCAGAAAAGGATATTGTATTGCAGGCACAGCCTTGCATGTATGTAGTCATTGTCTTGGCCATGACTGCAGCCTGGAGGCCAATATTATTCAGCAACCCTAACCCCCATCCAGGTCCTTGAGGGGGAATACATTTGACAGCAAAGTTAGCTTCCTTGTGAGGAGAGAACACTGGAGATCTATTACGTGTTTGTCATATTTGCAAATGTTATGTATTTACAAATATGTAGATGTAGACCTAGACAGCATCTTAAAAAGCAGAGACATCACCTTGCCAACAAAGGTCCGTATAGTAAAAGCTATGGTTTTCCCAGTAGTGATGTATGGAAGTGAGAGCTGGACCATGAAGAAGGCTGATCGCAGAAGAATTGATGCTTTTGAATTATGGTGCTGGAGGAGAGTCCCATGGACTGCCAGAAGATCAAACCTCTTCATTCTGAAGGAAATCAGCCCTGAGTGCTCACTGGAAGGACAGATCCTGAAGCTGAGACTCCAATACTTTGGCCACCTCATGAGAAGAGAAGACTCCCTGGAAAAGACCCTGATGTTGGGAAAGATGGAGGGCACAAGGAGAAGGGGATGACAGAGGACGAGATGGCTGGACCGTGTTCTCGAAGCTACCAGCATGAGTTTGACCAAACTGCGGCGGGCAGTGGAAGACAGGAGTGCCTGGCGTGCTCTGGTCCATGGGGTCACGAAGAGTCGGACATGACTAAACGACTAAATAACAGACTAAACAACAACAACAGTGAAGTAGAAAGCAAGCGGACACACAAACAGGCATTGTTAGTCCTAAAGCAGTGTCGGATCCCATATGCGACTGCACACTTTGAATGAACCTCCCCGAAGATGCATATTGTCAGCTAGCTCCAGCAGCCCAAACTACTTAATTATTGTCATTTATTTATTTATTATGGCCCTTTATATAATGCCATTCAACAATCTGCATTAACAAAAATAATATAAATAAAATCAATATTTTTAAATAAAATAAAATTAATATGATTAATATATTAGCATGCCTTCATTCCTGGGGGAATCCTTTCCCTAACCTTCATATGCACACCTTAGCGTGAACCTTGAGCTCTTTGAAGAAAAGTCTACAAGGACCAGAATTACCGCAATCAAAATTAATTTGTAAAAACAAGTACTCCTTGTACCCAGAATATGTTTCCTGGGTGATTTCTAAAAGGAAAAGAAATGTGTGACAGCAACATAACGATAATCAGAAGTAGTATTGCAGTTAAAAAGTAGATGAATGCAACGAACCAAATCTATTGAATTAACGAGACACGATGTATTTGTATTTAAAATACAAAAGGGGTTTTATTTTGAAACCTGAAAGACTGCATAGCAAAAGTGTAATGCTTTTGTTATTATTCATTAATATTCTGCCAGCCCTCTCTCTTTCTTTGCACCAGTAAGCCAGACAATCTGAGCATGTAATAAAATGCAGGTGACTGATACAAAATTTGTAGATTATGAGGTAGTTGGTGGCCTTCTCACTGCACCCAGCCTTAATGTATGTAACAATGTTTTCTGAAGCATTTTGGAATGGTTCAGTTTGAAAAGGGTGTTGTGCAAGGTGTCCTTTGTTTTGTTCCTGTGACATCACAAATATCTGGTTCACAAGAATCTTAAAAAAATATTTCTTGTTAAAGAATGAATGTAAGCAAGCCAAACACACAAACAGGATGCATCTCCTTTTACATCATTTTCAAGGGGAAGGGCAAAAGTGGTGAGTGAACCAGTGTTTGAGATTCTCATATGATATGTTCCAGGCAAGCTGGAATTATACTGTAGGTGAAAATCCCATTGTGAGGACTTTTAAAATCCCAAATCACTATGGGTATATTTAGTAATCGGTCACTCCAAACATTAATCTGCGCCTGGGTTGCTGCTCAGGAAAGGAAAGTTTGCACAGGAAGTGAATTCCTCTGAGGATAAGCAGCTTTCATATTCTAAAAGCAACCTTTTTGGTGAGTCAAGTTTACCTTCAAGTGGGGAAAAACATCTGTTAGTTACTAGAGGTTTGGGGAAATACTTAGCTAAAACAGCAATGTATTCTCTTCCATAGTGAGTAAGGTTATCTAAAATGTTATAATTGATTCTCTAATGTCTCTAGAATAAAGAGGAGGGAGAAAGACAGACAGCCTTCAGATTCCATTGAGTTCTGTTTATTATTATCAGATTGAGGCCAACACAATTGCAAACCCATGTGCTAACCCGGCCCGGGAGCTAGCCCGTAAATAAGGAGACACAACAACAAGTGTATGGGATCAAATTAGGCCAAAACTTTCAGATGTAGAAAACCTTGGCATAATAATAATAATAATAATAATAATAATAATAATAATTTATTATTTATACCCCGCCCATCTGGCTGGGCTTCCCCAGCCACTCTGGGCGGCTTCCAAAAAAATATTAAAATACTGTAATACATCAAACATTAAAAGCTTCCCTAAACAGGGCTGCCTTCAGATGTCTTCTAAAAGTCTGGTAGTTGTTCTTCTCTTTGACATCTGGTGGGAGGGCGTTCCACAGGGAGGGCGCCACTACCGAGAAGGCCCTCTGCCTGGTTCCCTGCAACTTGGCTTCTCACAGTGAGGGAACCGCCAGAAGGCCCTCAGTGCTGGACCTCAGTGTCCGGGTAGAACGATGGGGGTGGAGACGCTCCTTCAGATATACTAGTCCTTCAGATATACTTGGGCCTTGGGCGGCATCCCTCTCAGTCCCGGTTGGGTCTGAGGATGCGCAGGGCAGACAGGTGTTGGGAAGGGGACTGTAAAATGAGAATTTACGCAGTGTGCCCCCACTTCACCTGATGTAGGGAGTTTGACCTTACAGCACCGCTCTAGGCCAGTGACTCCCGCAATCAACCCTTTAACGGGCCCCGCATACGCCGCTGCATGGGGGTGCATTAACAATGCTACCTCCCCCCATTCTGAAGATAGATTACACTGGGCAACAATTTTTTTACTTTTTGAATGTTGTCTAGATTTCTACAACTGATTTAGGGTATTTTTGCACTGCTGAATCAGGAAATGGCATCCGTTTCTCTCCATCAGGTCAGGTTTACTGTAAACTGAATGGTGGGCATTGATAAAGGTAAGTACACGTAAATTGCATGTTGCTTCACCATTTTTCAAACTTCAGGGCTTGAACTTCCATTTCTTGGAACTCCTGGAATGCTCAGCAGCAGGGAGGTCTCTCTTCAGAGTCCAACAGTAGTCAGCCATCATGACTGCGTCCCAGCGACCCTGATACCTGGTCTCCATCTCTTTCATGTCCTGATGGAATCTCTCCCCCTGCTCGTCACTCATTGAACCCAGGTTCTCAGGAAACCGGTCCATATGTGAAAATAGGTAGTGCATCTTGACGCTCATGTTGCAGCCCAGGTTTCTGAAAGCAGTCAGCATGTTGTTGACAAGTTCTGCGTAGTTTCTGGCCTTATTGTTGCCAAGAAAGTTCTTCACTACCAGAACAAATGCCTTCCACGCTTCCAGTTCCACTTCGTTCATTGACTTTCCGAACTCTGGATCTCTGATGAGCTGATGGATCTGAGGACCGTCAAAGATGCCAGCTTTCAACTTCTCCATGGTCAATCCTGGAAAAGCCTGGCACAAGTAAGTGAAGCAGTCACCATCCTTGTCCAGAGCCTTGGTGAACTGCTTGATTAAGCCGAGCTTGATGTGCAGCGGTGGGAAGAGTATTCTGTCTCTGTCCACCAGAGGGTCGTTGATGACGTTCCTTTCTTTGCAAGGCACCAATTCCTCCCGCACAGGCCAGTCCTTCTTCGTGTAATGCTGAGCACGGTCCCTACTATCCCACATGCACAGAAAACATGGGTACTTGGTGAAGCCAGACTGTTGTCCCAACAAAAAGTTCACCATCTTCAGGTCAACACAAATAAACCACTTATGCTGATCATAACCAATTTTCTCCAGCACATACTTCACCGCTTCATAGTTCTCCTTCAGTGTAGTCGAGTGAGCCAGGGGTATAGAGGCAAACTGGTTGCCGTTGTGTAGCAGAACACATTTCAGTGATCGCTTGCTGCTGTCAATGAACAGTCTCCAATCTTTGGGTTCGTACTGTGGCACTCCAAGCTTGAGCAGAAGCTGCGCAATATCTGCACAGTACACCAAGTCCTTCTCTTCCGAGAAAAACGGAGGTACTCTTGATGCCTGTTGCGGAAGAAGCAGATGCGAGCACTGTCAGAGAGGAGGTTTTTTCCTTCAATCTGGATGCCAACAGTTCGGCAGAGTCCTTTGACAAGCTGAGGTCGCGAACTAGATCATTCAACTCCTTTTGGGAAAATGGATGTGGAGCATCATCTTCAAGAACCACTTCTTCTTCTTCATGTCCTTCAACACTGGAGGCATCTTCGTCACTAATGTCAGGAAGTTCTCCGAAGATAGGCACTGGAATTTCATCACAATGAGCTACAGGACGACGTGCTGATTGAAGATCAGGATACTTGAGGCTGCTCCGGTTCTTTCTGTTGATCCCCCAACTTTATGCTTTGCCGCACCAATTTATGGAAGATTTCGAGGTTTTATGACTTCAAACTGATCCCTTTTCGACATAATCACCCAGAACTATCGGACCTGAATACTTCTTGTCATTAAAATAATCATTTCCAATCAAAACAATTATTCGACATGGCATTTTACCCCCACCAACTTCTTCTAAAATGCTCCACACAAGCGTACATGTGAACAAAAACGTAAAAAAATGACATGTGGCCATAGCTCAAAAACTTGACCTGATTGAGCAAAACCAATGTGATTTTTGGATTCAGCGCATCAGATTCATCCTAAATCAACTGAAAAAACGCAGACAACAAATTTGTTGTTGACCAGTGTTATAGGATTCTATCCAAGGCCTAAAAACCACCAAAGTTGTGACAATTGCTACGGGCAAGGCAAAACCCGCAGAGCAGGGAATATTCCTTCCTGGCTCTGGGAAACGGCAACCATCGTGCGACCGTAGCAACGCCCATGGACCTGAAAAGGAAAGGGTTAGCCTGCAAGAAAACCACATTAAAATTAGAGGAAGGGATGGGTGGGTGATGCTCCAGAGACTGAATGGAGAGATGGTCGGCTGGATCCCAGCAGTACTTGGTCTTTGCTCCACCCCCCAGCTGGCCGCCAATTGGGTAGCTGGGGAGGGGGCAGAGCAACAGCCAGCAACTGAAGGGGGGTGTCACCCTGGCACGGGAAGCCCACTCACGGTCGCAAACCCTGCCCACTGCTTTGATGAGTGAGCGGTAATTACTTTCAGAAAGTCTGTTATGAGTGTGTACCTGGACTCGCATGTACACAGCCAGCACTATTGTATGTTCCTATACACAGTGCTGAGAGGTTTAGGACCTGTCACTGGAGTTATCACTTGTGCTTGTTATGGATGTGTGTTAATCTATGCCCACAAGAAACTCTTGCGCAAAGTAAGCTTGTTTATTATAGAAAACAGGAGTGACAGAATATATAAAAATGCTGCTATGGACAGCAAAGTTACAATATAAGCAGGTTTCGTTGTTGTTGTTGTTGTTGTTTCGTTGTTTAGTTGTGTCCAACTCTTCGTGACCCTATGGACCAGAGCACGCCAGGCACTCCTGTCTTCCACTGCCTCCCGCAGTTTGGTCAAACTCATGCTGGTAGCTTCGAGAACACTGTCCAACCATCTCGTCCTCTGTCATCCCCTTCTCCTTGTGCCCTCTATCTTTCCCAACATCAGGGTCTTTTCCAGGGAATCTTCTCTTCTCATGAGGTGGCCAAAGTATTGGAGTCTCAGCTTCAAGATCTGTCCTTCCAGTGAGTACTCAGGGCTGATTTCCTTCAGAATGTATAGGTTTGATCTTCTTGCAGTCCATGGGACTCTCAAGAGTCTCCTCCAGCACCATAATTCAAAAACATCAATTCTTTGGCAATCAGCCTTAGTCCAGCTCTCACTTCCATACATCACTGCTGGGAAAACCATAGCTTTAACTATACGGGCCTTTGTTGGCAAGGTGATGTCTCTGCTTTTTAAGATGCTGTCTAGTTTTGTCATTGCTTTTCTCCCTAGAAGCAGGCGTCTTTTAATTTCGTGACTGCTGTCACCATCTGTAGTGATCATGGAGCCCAAGAAAGTAAAATCTCTCACTGCCTCCATTTCTTCCCCTTCTATTTGCCAGGAGGTGATGGAACCAGTGGCCATGATCTTAGCAGATTACAATACATACACGCCTTAATTAAAGAGCAAAGGATGCCTTAACTTTTCTAAAAGGTCTACAGATACGTGACCATAGACTAGAAGTAAAGATAAATGGGGGGAGGAAAGTATACCTGTCCTTAAAGCAAAGCAGAAGTATGCTGAGTCCTGGGGAGCCCAGCGTAAGTTCTGTCCTGTTGGAGCTATGAGAGCCAACTCACCTTTGAATCTACTGTATTTTTCCATGTATAAGACTTGGTTTTCCCCCAAAAAAATAATGTCAAAAATTAGGGGGGCATCTTATACTCTGGGCCATCTTCCCCCATTTTCTTAAATCTGAGTCCCCAAAATTAGGAGGCGTCTTATACATGGGGGTGTCTTATAGATGGAAGAATACAGCAATTTATATATATACTGGGTCTTCATCCAGGCACCTCTTGAGCAATGTGAAACATCAACCCCTGTGATTGCCAAGCAATCACAGTATGGTGAACTGTGGGCCTCCAGCTCAGACTATTTTACTTGTTTGAAGGTAGTGTACATCTGAAGATAGCTGGGAGGAGGAAAAGAAAGCCTGGAAGAACAGTGGAAAGAGAAGAAAAACCCACCCAAGTACATCTCCCCCATGAAGTTTTTCCATATCTGTGACTTCCAATTGCAAGTGCTCTACATTTACAGATCGGCTCAAAAGGGCGAAAGAAAGCTTCGCCAAAGCCTTAGATGGAGTTTGGACTTGGAGCTCAAGGATCTCCTGAAGGAAGGATGCTGTACCTTAAAAAAAGCAGTTTTCTCTGTACAATGGCAGCTCCTACAATTTCAGCTTCTCTAATGTCGGGAAAGGGGGTTGAAAGATTCAGATGAAAGAGTGTGTAGAAATTCAGATAGCTGTGATTATTGGGGCATTATATGCAGAGACAACATTGCCATAACACTAGAAGACTGACAGCTTTATTTTCCTCAGTGGTGTTCAAAAGCTTTTTGTAACATGAGCAGCACACAGCGATTCAAAGCAATTTCTCTGAAAGAAATGCTGCTTAGTGGGAATTATTTGTTGTTGGATATTGTTGTGTGTGATTGAAATGTCACTCCCTGCCCCCTATATTTAACCACAGATTCAAGCCGATCTTTCCCAGTTGCAAACAGCAGTGGACTGAATAGAGCATACACAATATGATATACTAATGAATGTAATTGGTGATCTCTTTACTGACCTATTTATTCCTAGTTTTTCTTCGTTGCCCTTCACCTTAAGGTCCCGGGGTGGGTTCTATGAAGTAAAACTCAACCACGAAATAATGCATAATGAACAAACCATAAAACCAGCAATAAAAGCACGAAGCATAAACTGTAACTGATAACACCGTTTACAGGGAGGTCAGTGAAAAACTCACACTACACTTTTAAAGGCCAGGGTGCAGTGGTACCTTGGTTCTTGAAGTTAATCCGTTCCAGGATTAATCCGTTCAACTCCCGAAACCATTCAAAAACCAAAGTGCACCTTCCGATTGGCTACAGGAGCTTCCTGCACTCAAGCAGAAGCCGTGTTGGATGTTCAGCTTCTGAAAAGCGTTCACAAACTGGAACACACAATTCCGGGTTTGCAGCGTTTGGGAGCCGATTTGTTTGACAACAGCCATTCGGGAACCAGGGTTCCACTGTATATAAAAAGAAGGCCCTGCCATGAGCTACTGCCCCCTGAGACTTCTAAGGATGGCAGCACTGTCAACAGGGCCTTTGCTGATCTCAATATGCCAACTGGCACGAGAGGAGAGGAGGTGCTCCTTCAGATATTTGAGCCCCAGGTTGCTTATGACTTCATGCATTAACATAGACACCTTGAATTGGGCTCAGAAGCAATGCAGATGCTTCAGGTGTAATAGGAGTTTTTACAAGCATGGCGGACTTCATTCTGGCTGCTTCATTCTGCGCCATTTACAGCCTCCATGCTATTTATGTGCCACTTACAATTGTAATCATCTCTGTGCTCTAACAAGAAACATAGCAAATACAATAAGGATAAAATCAATTAAAAACTACCCATAAAATCATAAATGACTTCAAATGCCTGCTGAAATTACTGATTTGTTTAGGATGGGGGGAAACTTGTTATATTAATGAATGAATGAATGGCCAAGGGTGAATTTGGCATAGATGATGATAGATAGATAGATAGATAGATAGATAGATAGATAGATGATAGATAAAAAGGTAAAGGGACCCCTGACCATTAGATCCAGTCATGACCAACTCTGGGGTTGCGGCGCTCATCTCGCTTTATTGGCCGAGGGAGCCGGCGTGCAGCTTCCGGGTCATGTGGCCAGCATGTCTAAGCCGCTTCTGGCGAACCAGAGCAGCGCACGGAAACGCCATTTACCTTCCCGCCGGAGTGGTACCTATTTATCTACTTGCACTTTGATGTGCTTTCGAACTGCTAGGTGGACAGGAGCAGGGACTGAGCAACAGGAGCTCACCCCGTCTTGGGGATTCGAACCGCCGACCTTCTGATCAGCAAGTCCTAGGCTCTGTGGTTTAACCCACAGCGCCACATGCGATAGATAGATAGATAGATAGATAGATGATAGATTGTGAGCAGCCTGCCTGCAGCATTGAGGACTCGGTAAGACTGAGAACTGAGTGCTTCATTTTGCCAGTGTGTCATTCAAAATGGAGCCGGGACTGCACTAGGCTGCCACTAGCTGTGTAGCCCTTTTGTGAGTTCTGTTTTTGTGTTTCATCTCCTGTTGATCGTGAGAAAGGCTATACTTTAATCCTTGCCTCTTAAGCGCAATGAGACAAACAGTGCGGAATATAGGTTGGTGGGAAGGTTGAACACAGGCAGCATAAGATAACATCACAGGATCTTAAAAGCAGTAGTGTTGAGATTGGGTGGCCAGAAGCAAAAGTAGACAAGGACTTGTTCACTTTTAATAGGTGCACAGAAGAGGAGGCATTACAAGCTGCATCTGCTGAAATTCTCCCTTCTGCATCTGCTCTATTTTTTGCATCTGCTATATTGTCATCTCTGATACAGTCCCTGCGCAAGCATGTCATACTAAGGATTTTCAGCAGCTCAACCAGCCCTGTAGCTGTGCTTTTTTTAAACAGCAGATGACCTCCCAGAATTAGGTGGAGAAACATTATCATTTGCTAATTGGTGCACATCACACTGCTGTTAAAGCTCCAACAGGAAGGGCCATTTTAAACTTGTAGGATTGTTCTGTTACTCTGGAAAAAACCTGTTATCTGTACACATTCTTATGTGACTTGAGACTTCAAAGACACTAAAAGATTCTTGGCACATAATTCTTTTTTTTTTTTTTACAAACAGGCTCCCATGCCCACTAACATGCAGATTTCAGAATGCCTAATTAACGTGGTACAAAAATAACTTGTGGTCCATTTCTATTTTGGCAGCAGGAAAAGGACATTTAAGTATGTATTTTCCTCTGCAGAAGGCTGGCGTTTGAAAACCTCCCTTCTGGCACAGCTCTTTCTTGTTTTATTTCAGAGTGAGCTAATCCCACAGACTTCTTATCATGAAAAGTCAGTTTAGATTTGTATGTAATGAAACCAGGTTATCTGTCATGCAACCTAATTAGTTCGTTCCATCTTAATTATGTGTCATTTCCTTTCCAAGCTCAGAAGCACCAGACCCTGGAAAAACAGGAGGGTGTGCAGGAATTTCTAACATACATACATATAAGAATCGTTAACACGCTCTATTTAAGCAGGGAGAGTTATTCTGCCTTTTAAGTGGTTTGCAGAATAAACACATGTGCAAAAGTGCCAATCCATAGCTGATCCCTGCTTTAAGCACCAATATTCCCTTGCATTGGCGTTAATTGAAGTTGGCAACAGAGTGGCTCTTCCTCTGCAGCTGTGACTGGAGCCATGTCCACAAATGATTTTCTTGCGGTGAGATCATTCTTCTTGCAGGGGGTTGGACTAGATGACCATCCGGTTCCCTTCCAACTCTATAATTTTAAGATTCTGTGGTGGCAGGTAATTGACAGGTGGGTAGCCCCATCCACCCATCAAAATCATCTACAGGAGTGAAGATCTTGCCTTCTGCTTGATTCACTTCTCGACTGTTGTTTCAATCTACCGTATTTTTTGCTCTACAAGACTCACTTTTTCCCCTCCTAAAAAGTAAGAGGAAATGTGTGTGCGTCTTACGGAGCGAATGCAGGCTGCGCAGCTATCCCAGAAGCCAGAACAGCAAGAGGGATCGCTGCTTTCGCTGTGATTCAGAGTATTTTTTTTCTTGTTTTCCTCCTCCAAAAACTAGGTGCATCTTGTGGTCTGGTGCGTCTTATAGAGCAAAAAATACGGTATTTCAAGAGTACATGCTTAGCTTGGCCCACTATAAGGTCATAAGAAGAAACAAAGGATTTACCGCTTGCATTTCTATCCAGATGAACCACTTAAGCTTAAGCTTGTTCAACCTCATCCACTCCAAAACCTTCTCCAGATAATTGATTGTTGCTGGAATAACTCTGATTGTGGATTATTGGACTGTTCAAAACATTTTATCATTATTTATTTATAATCACTGTGTCATTCTGATACACATTTGAGCTGAATTGCATATCCAGTTTTCTATTTTAGATCTCTCATTGTGAGTGATCCTAGAGCAGGCACAGGCAAACTCAGCCCTCCAGCTGTTTTGGGACTACAATTCCCATCATCCCTAGCTAACAGGACCAGTGGTCAGGGGTGATGGGAGTTGTAGTCCCAAACATCTGGAGGGCCAAGACTAGCAAAGGGTTATTTGCTAAGGATTTTGTCAACCTAGGCAACCTTCACTTTCTCTTTTAGTTAAATGTAAAAATCTCCCATTCTTACAACATTTTGAAGTAGTTACCGAAAAAGACTGGAGCTACCGAGAAAGACTGTCACATAGAGGAGGGAGAAAGGTTGTTTTCTGCTGCTCCAGAGAAGCGGACACGGAGCAATGGATCCAAACTACAAGAAAGAAAATTCCACCTAAACATTAGGAAGAACTTCCTGACAGTAAGAGCTGTTCGACAGTGGAATTTGCTGCCAAGGAGTGTGGTGGAGTCTCCTTCTTTGGAGGTCTTTAAGCAGAGGCTTGACAACCATATGTCAGGAGTGCTCTGATGGTGTTTCCTGCTTGGCAGGGCGTTGGACTCGATGGCCCTTGTGGTCTCTTCCAACTCTATGATTCTATGATTCTATACTTTTATTGTGCTATGGTGATCTACCGTGGTGGACTGTTTGACACACTACTCATAGCAAACTCAAGTCTGGTGCTAGGAATGCCCTCAACAGGGTTACAGCCAATTCCGATGCATTAATGGTTATATGTGTATCATACCTTAGTTTGCAAACTCAGGTTTGTCCCCAGCTTACATTTGCAAGAGTATACTTATAAAAAATGTAGCATTGATAAATGATATAGTATAATAGAAAATCTATTGAAATGTTTATTAACCGTAACTGCTGGGCTGCTGCTAGCCTTTGGAATGTCTCTTCTTCCTTGCTAACTGTAATAATAATAATAATAATAATAATAATAATAATAATAATAGAAGTAGTAGTATTATACACAACAGCACTAGGGTGGATTATTGGAGTGAGTGTTAAATTAAATATTGGTAAATGTCACAACAGCTTGGGACGCGGGTGGCCCTGTGGGTAAAACCTCAGCGCCTAGGACTTGCCAATCGTACGGTCGGCGGTTCGAATCCCTGCGGCGGGGTGCGCTCCCGTCGTTCGGTCCCAGCGCCTGCCAACCTAGCAGTTCGAAAGCACCTCCGGGTGCAAGTAGATAAATAGGGACCGCTTACCAGCGGGAAGGTAAACGGCGTTCTGTGTGCTGCGCTGGCTCGCCAGATGCAGCTTGTCACGCTGGCCACGTGACCCGGAAGTGTCTGCGGACAGCGCTGGCTCCCAGCCTATAGAGTGAGATGAGTGCACAACCCTAGAGTCTGGCAAGACTGGCCCGTACGGGCAGGGATACCTTTACCTTTACCTTTAAATGTCACCACAAGCATTTTGGCTCAACAAGATATTCCCTAGAGCATCGAATTCAGATTACTGCATTAAGCTTGCACTCACAGCTTTTAAGATGAGTGTTCTTTCCTGCAGCACTATTTAAGCCCACAGTTGTCACAACTATTGTTAACAAGCCTCGTTTCTTTGTTGCCTGCAGATACAGTAGCAGAAAGAAGCGCATTACGAGAACACGTGTATCCTAAACTACGAGAATTCTGCAGGGAAAACTACGGACTTGAATTTCAGGTAGCATTTTCCTCATTAAATATTTAAGTTGTGATGCACATGCAGGGAATCTTTTAGATTGATGCTGTACGATGGACCTTAAGGTATCATTCTACGCAGAATTTGTTTAAAAAAATAAAAGGGGGTGTGATCATTCCACACGCAGGTGTAGCTACACTTGTGGGAAGGATCAGCTTGGGCTCATTGTAACCCTCTCTTCTCTCCTTCTCCTCCCTGGCTGACTGTTTGCTACAGATATACAGTGGTACCTCGGGTTACATACGCTTCAGGTTACAGACTCCGCTAACCCAGAAATATTACCTCGGGTTAAGAACTTTGCTTCAGGATGAGAACAGAAATCATGCTGCGGTGGCGCGGCGGCAGCAGGAGGCCCCATTGGCTAAAGTGATGCTTCAGGTTAAGAACAGTTTCAGGTTAAGTACGAACCTCCAGAACAAATTAGGTACCATATTTTTTGCTCTATGAGACTCACTTTTTCCCTCCTAAAAAGTAAGGGGAAATGTGTGTGCTTCTTATGGAGCGAATGCAGGCTGCGCAGCTATCCCAGAAGCCAGAACAGCAAGAGGCATTGCTGCTTTCGCTGCGCAGCGATCCCTCTTGGTGTTCTGGCTTCTGAGATTCAGAATATTTTTGTTGTTGTTTTCCTCCTCCAAAATCTAGGTGCATCTTACGGTCTGGTGCGTCTTATAGAGCGAAAAATACGGTACTTGACCTGAGGTGCCACTGTAATTTGAGGAGGCCTTGCAGAAGAGAAGGGGACGAATGGATGAGCATATACAATGGCATGCACTGGATTCCTGTTGCAAGTAATGGCCAGCATGCTATGGTGCGTGAGTGTCTGAGAGCCAGACAGGTTTGCGTAACAATGAAGGCTCCCAAATCTATCACTTGCTTTGACCCCATGGGGATGATTTTTTAAAAAAAGTTTTTATTAAGTTTCTTACAAATATAACACATACTACAACAACAACAAAATCACAAATATAAACAAAAGAGAAAATAAGAAAATAAAAATATATATTGACAAACACCCAAACAATACAAATTAACTGGCTATCTAAACTTCTTACATCATTAACATGGTTTTGACTTCCTCTGAGCTCTCCCATCTGAATTTCCTTGTATTTAAATGTAGCAGTTTTCTAATATCATTATTAAAACACAATATTCCAATTAAAATCAAATTTCTTAACTTTTCTTGAAGTTCTAAATCTCAGTTATTTTACTAACTCTTACTTTCATCCTAGGCCTATTTAGTTCTTTCAAGTAATTCCTAATTTTTAATGTTACAATATTTATTCAAATGCTCTTTAAATCGTGGGGATGAATTTCAACTTGGACGTATCAGTCGGACCTGAGTTTATAATGATTGGACTGTGCCTATTATTATTCAACAAGCAAAGTGGTTTTGGCAGGGAAACACACTTAACTGCTCCTGCATACATAGGTGTTGTTCGAAAGATGAGTTCCTGTGTCAAATCTAGGTGGGCACCATAGTTTTTCTGCCAGCTTCTCCTTCACTCAGCGGAGATCACAAACTCGTTTCCAACTCCCCTAGCACCCTTCAGAGATTTCCCTTCATACCAGAGCTCCCATCAGCCAAGCCAGCTGGGACGATCGCTGGGGCTGATGAGACTTGTAGCCCCAAACATCTGGAAAAGCACCAGGTTGGGGAAGTGATTCATGAGTTGGACACAACAGGGATATTGAATTTTGACCAGATGCATTTGACTTTTAGGTTTTCTACAATGGTTCACAGTTTAACATGATTGTTTAGTCGTGTCCGACTCTTCGTGACCCCATGGACCAGAGCATGCCAGGCACTCCTGTCTTCCACTGCCTCCTGCAGTTTGGTCAAACTCATGCTGGTAGCTTGGAGAACACTGTCCAACCATCTTGTCCTCTGTCGTCCTCTTCTCCTTGTGCCCTCAATCTTTCCCAGCATCAGGGTCTTTTCCAGGGAGTCTTCTCTTCTCATGAGGTGGCCAAAATATTGGAGTCTCAGCTTCAGGATTTGTCCTTCCAGTGAGCACTCAGGGCTGATTTCCTTAAGAATGAAGAGGTTTGATCTTCTTGCAGTCCATGGGACTCTCAAGAGTCTCCTCCAGCACCATAATTCAAAAGCATCAATTCTTCGGCGATCAGCCTTCTTTATGGTCCAGCTCTCACTTCCATACATCACTACTGGGAAAACCATAGCTTTAACTATACGGACCTTTGCTGGCAAGGTGATGTCTCTGCTTTTTAAGATGCTGTCTAGGTTTGCCATCGCCTTTCTCCCAAGGAGCAGTCGTCTTTTAATTTCGTGACTGCTGTCACCATCTGCAGTGATCATGGAGCCCAAGAAAGTAAAATCTCTCACTGCCTCCATTTCTTCCCCTTCTATTTGCCAGGAGGTGATGGGACCAGTGGCCATGATCTTCGTTTTTTTGATGTTGAGCTTAACATGATTACAAGATATCAAAAGATAATCTCTAAACAATAAGCAACTAGGAACAAAAATAAATGCATTTTAAAAAATTGAAATAACTGCACCAATCATGGCTAACACTAATCCAAATGAAATGTGTAGAAATCATGGTTTATAGAGAGTGGATTAGTTGGGCTAGTTTTTGGGATATTCCCATCGGCAGGGGAACCCACAATTTTCTGAGTTCTCATTTGTAATAAGACACATATATGATGTACTCAATGGAAGGGCAATATCTGTGGCCATTATCTGTGACCTCTGTACATGCTCACTTCTCCCTGGGCCATTTTTGTTTTGCTCCATTAGGCGTGCTATGTTTTGTTTTGTTTTCAAAGTACTCACTGACATCGGAAGCAACATTCCTGTGTGCCTTTGTACTCCTGCCAAACCTGGGGTTTAGCGTAACAACGCTGATATCTTCATCTTGTTTCTTAGTGAGCCTGTTTTGGCTACAGTTCTGTCAACATTCACCAGCAGGTTACATTACTAGAGGGAGTAATTCCAGTACCTAGAAAAAGTTATTTTGAAACGAATTTTTTACAAAATCAGTTACCTTCTAATCCTCAGGTAAAAAGGCTGATTTTGGTAATTTGTTACATATTGTAACTGTGTAAATTATAACCCAGTAAGGTAACAAAAGGCATCATACAAATGCCTTGAAAATATATACAATATATCTTACCCTTTATGGACCTTTCGTGCCTACAATTTGCAGTAGTTCATTGCAGTTCATTTGCAGTAGTCCATTGTCTCTACAAACTTGGTATCTTATCTTGTCATCAGTTTGAAAACCCAGAACATTCAGCTGATTGGCCGTAAGGGGTAAATGATTTTGATTCAGATGCTTCTCATCTCCTGTTGGTTTTTCCTACAACATTAACGTCGCAGGGCTGTGACACAGAAGCATCAGCTTTGCATAATTTTTAACGAACGAGGAACACGCACACAAAATGGGACTCGGTTCTTATGTTGTACAACAGAATGTGTGCATACCTAATCAGGCATCCAAGTATTGCTGTTCAGTGGCCAAAAATACTGAATTGCAATGATGTGATTATGCTTGGCACATGGAAACCAGAACTGGGACAGTAGTATGCCAACTTATGCTGAAGGGCAGGCTTTTCGTTTGCAAGTTCCTCTCTTTTTAAAGGTCAACGAATTGCCTTTCAGTTGCACGTTGTGTGAATACTGATGTTAAGTAGTTGCTGGTTTGGGGATGATTTTTGTTGCTGTTGTTGTTACTTTACACTCTCCCGTCTAACTAGATATGTAAAGGATTAGTGCAGTTACGTGTGTTGGATGCTATATTTTGTGGCATTTATACATGGCAACTATTTTTTCAGCTTCTTGTTGTTGTTTAGTCGTTTAGTCGTGTCCGACTCTTCGTGACCCCATGGACCAGAGCACGCCAGGCACTCCTGTCTTCCACTGCCTCCCGCAGTTTGGTCAGACTCATGCTGGTAGCTTCAAGAACACTGTCCAACCATCTCATCCTCTGTCGTCCCCTTCTCCTTGTGCCCTCCATCTTTCCCAACATCAGGGTCTTTTCCAGGAGTCTTCTCTTCTCATGAGGTGGCCAAAGTATTGGAGCCTCAGCTTCACGATCTGTCCTTCCAGTGAGCACTCAGGGCTGATTTCCTTAAAAATGGATAGGTTTGATCTTCTTGCAGTCCATGGGACTCTCAAGAGTCTCCTCTTAGACATGGTTATATTATTGGATTCAGAAACATTAGCAAATTTGAATATTAAGAGGAAATCCCATCACCCATTACCGGAAGAAGTTCCCAATATATCGACAGTAAAAATCCAGAGGTTTGCTGCCTTCAAGGGCAAAAGGGAAAAATCTGCACTTTTGACTTACACATTTAGTACCTGTTTTCAGTGCCAGATGCCGGTGGCAAGCAACAGAGCTTAGCTTTTATCACTGTGCCCTGTTTGGGAACTCCCAGAGGAATCTGGCTGGCTATTAATGGAAAACCAGAATACATGGCCCCTCAGTCTGATCCAGGAAAAGAATTGTTGTGTTTTTAATATTGGTACCTTCAGTGGCTTCCATACCATGAGGTTTTATTTCCACAAGCCTTGACTAGATCCCTTATTTGGGGGATTAGCCTGCAAACTATGTTCAATAGAAAGGAAATCCTAAATAAATCCTAGCATTATTTCAATAGGTCCTACGCTACATTAAGATACTGGTAATAGAGTTCCTTATCAGACATGCCATTTAGAAAAAAAAGGTTAGTCCCCCAACCTCTCACAATTCTCTGCTTTCCTTCTTTAAATTACACATCCTTGAGATAATTAAAAGAGCTGTTTAATTCAAACCTTTCTGAATCCAAGAGTTAGCACATTGGCAGAAGCTTGTGGTGCGCAATAGATGTTGAAGAATACAATAGTAGGCCATATTCATCAGAAAAAAATAAATAGCAGTAGTGGGGATGTAAATATAAACAAGAAAGATGTTCAAGTGCCTGTGCTGTTAAGAAGACCATGATCTTTAGCAAAACTGTTCTGCAGTCCTTATGTTATCCAGCCGGAACACAAACATACCCAATACAGAACTATCATTCTGGTGATAGTATGCACATCTTTGCAACTAATTCAAGGAGCAATCTGTGCACACTTAGTAGGATGCAAGCTCCACTGCATTCCATGGCATGTCTTCCAAATAAACTTTCATAGGATTACCCCTGTTGGTAACTAAAACTTATTTAACTACAGTTAAAGGTAAAGGGACCCCTGACCATTTGGTCCAGTCGTGGCCGACTCTGGGGTTGCGGCGCTCATCTCGCTTTATTGGCCGAGGGAGCCGGCGTACAGCTTCCGGGTCATGTGGCCAGCATGACTAAGCCGCTTCTGGCGAAGCAGAGCAGCGCATGGAAACGCCGTTTACCTTCCCGCCAGAGCGATACCTATTTATCTACTTGCACTTTGATGTGCTTTCGAACTGCTAGGTTGGCAGGAGCAGGGACCGAGCAACGGGAGCTCACCCCATCACGGGGATTTGAACCGCTGACCTTCTGATCAGCAAGTCCTAGGCTCTGTGGTTTAACCCACAGCGCCACCCGAACAACAACACAAACACATACCCCATTGCCAGCACATACCCCTGCAAGATGATGTCACAGTGCCCACTCCCATCAGCTCTATTAGCAATAACCCTCTTGCTGCCAGTCCAAAGGCATCCTTCAATACTCCATGTATCCATTGTTTGGGACATCACAGCACCCACAAAGGTCCCAGAGCAGGCATTCTGGAGACCCACCTGGGCAAAAGTTAAGGTTCCTTCCTTGGATCCCAATATGTTGTTGGAATACAACCACCCAGCATTGATACCCAAAGTTGACAAGGCTGCTATAGCTCCTCAGCCAGTATAAGATTATGCCCTGGGACTCTATCACAACCCCTTCTCTTAATACTCCTGAGTTACTCAGTTCGGCCTCTCATTGTCTTGGTTTGTGTATATGAATTAAGCAACTGCAGGGAAAGCTATGAGAGAACCTCCACTTTCTCTCCACACTGAGAAATACCTTTTGGCCGCACTGTGTGGTACCAGAGAAAGCTAAGGTGTATGGGGGGGAAAGGAAGCTTATTTCTGATAAGGTATCTGTTAGGGGCAGGGCTGAGGCCATGGGGCAGAATTGGCTTATCCCTAAATAGTGGCCTACAGGCTCTTCAGCAGATTATTCCAAATTTAAAAGGAGCTTCCCATGTAAATTCCACGTTGTCAAAGATGACTTTGCTCCCTTCATTGTGCCACCCCACAGAGTTTTCCTGGGTAGTGTGGGGCGTTTTACAGTCTGGCCCAGGGTAGTTAGCAGAACCGACAGTAGTTTTGCTGTTTGGCAAAGCATTTTGAGGATAAATTTGCTTGCATCCACTGGGACCTTGACTGCACTATTACAGCAGATGAGTTTTGAGAGGTGTGTGTGCAGAGCACTGTCTAGTCCTGTTGTGCTGGATGAGTTTCATTTAGTAAGGCTTGAGGATGTGGACAAGGTGGGACCACTTGTGCTCTGGACCCTTGACACTCTTGGCTGATAAAAACCAGCAGAGAGGCGACTGTTGGCAATTCCTTTCTGGGCTCAGTTCAGAAGTTCTGGTTATGACCTACCCGTATTTTTCGCTCCATAAGACGCACCTGACCATTAGACGCACCTAGTTTTTAGAAGGGGAATGCCAGAAAAAAAATATTTTTAAAGGGAGCACTGAGCAAAACCTGTAGGCATCCCAGGCTCTGCTCAGCACTCCCTTTCATGAGCCACGTGGAGTGTGTGTATGGCGCTTGCAGGCTTTTTCCCAGGAGGGAGAAGGGCAGCCCTTCTCCCTCCTCAGGGGGAAAAGCCCCCAAGAGCCGCACACAGGCTCCACGCGGCTCGTGAAAGGGAGTGTGGCTCTTGGGGGCTTTCCGGGAGGTGGGGGAAGGGCTTGAGGGGCTGCCCTCTGTCCCTTCCCCCACCTCCCGCAAAAGCCCACAGGAGCCGCGCACCCTTTAAAGAGCTCCTGCGGGCTTTTCTACGAGGAGGGAGAAGGGACTGACGTGGCCAGTCAGTCCCTTCTCCCTCTTGGGGAAAAGCCCGCATTCCGCTTGCATTCACTCCATAAGACACACACACATTTCCCTTTACTTTTTAGGAGGGGAAAAGTGCGTCTTATGGAGCGAAAAATACGGTATAAAGCTGTCAGTGGCACAGGGCCACAATGCCTCAAGGACCATCTCTCTGCATATGAGATGACCCAAACCTTGCGATCATCATCTCAGGCCCTTCTTTGTGTGCCGCCTCCATGAGAGGTCTGGAAGATGGCAACATGAGAATGGACCCTTATCTAAAGTGCCTCCCTGTTTGCTTTCCCCAGAGAAGTTTGCCTAGCATCTTCATTACATATATTTAGGTGCCAGGCAAAAATATCCTTCATCTCCCAGGCCTCTTTGTCTAATTAAACAATTGGGCCCTTTGAAACTGCAGGAGGTATTGTTTCTGTTTATTACTCTATTATGTAATTTTGCATTTTTATATTGTAAACACTGTCCTCAGATGAAGGGCAGTATAGAAATTGAATAAACGGTAATGGTGATGATGATTGTGAATTCATCTCATAATGTAGTTTTTCAAGGCTTTGAAGGATGCAGTCCTGTACAGTGGTACCTCAGGTTAAGTACTTAATTATTTCTGGAGGTCCGTTCTTAACCTGAAACTGTTCTTAACCTGAAGCACCACTTTAGCTAATGGGGCTTCCTGCTGCTGCCACGCCGCCGGAGCCCAATTTCTGTTCTCATCCTGAAGCAAAGTTATTAACCTGAAGCACTTCGGGACTTAACTTCTGAGTAAGCATGCATAGGACTGTACTGTTGTAGAGTTGTACAAATGACAGAGTGGAGTTTCATTCCAGGCATCTGGAGCATATAGCAGACCGAAAAGTTTGTAGAGTTGCAGCTTTTCTCCTGTTATGAATCATTTCATAGCACATTGTTGGCACCAGACAAACGATGAGCTGATAATAGCAGCTGCAACACCCCCTCTCAGAGCACTCCACATGCAGTCTCCTTCTCTCCTGTTCCCACACCTTCCCTTGTTCCTCCTGTTGCACATTCCTAGCCCCCACACCCTGCATATATCCCCCATACTTCATCATGGGGAAAGGTTTTGGGGTTTTCAACTGATCTCCACATTGGGGCCCTAATGTGTAAATTGGATGTCAGAATTTGCAGGCACAGGGGAAACGGTGCAATTCAGCAGCAGCAAATACAGTGGTACCTCTGGTTACGTACTTAATTCATTCCGGAGGTCCGTTCTTAACCTGAAACTGTTCTTAACCTGAAGCACCACTTTAGCTAATGGGGCCTCCTGTTGCTGCCGCACCGCCGCGTGATTTCTGTTCTCATCCTGAAGCAAAGTTCTTAACCCAAGGTACTATTTCTGGGTTAGCAGAGTCTGTAACCTGAAGCGTATGTAACCTGAGGTACCACTGTATAGGCAAAACATACTGCCCGAAATTATTTTGCCAGTCTTTGCTCCTTTAAACACGGCAGTGTCCCTCTTTTCCATCTGAGCTAAATTATGAAGTGAAGTGATGCCACACTGTCTCACTTAATCTCTTTAAATAAATATAACAGCTTCCCCCCGCACAAACACACACGTACACTAACTTGCATCTTATTAACATTATTCAAATTAGATCTTTAGGCAAAATCGAAAGTCTAAACAGCAAGCCATCTGTCATTCTATATTCACTGGGACTATTGCTTCCAAAACAACAAAATATTAAGGGGGGGCGGGGAAGGGCATTATGGGGGTCTGAGTTGTAGTGGTTTGTCTTTTGTGGAAAGTATAGTGGAGGTTTCAAACCTGACTTCTTTTTATTTTCCTTTGCTTCATTCTTCCTTTTTAACTTTTGAGCCACCTGCCGAAAGTGAGAAAGGCTGTTTCTCTCTTCTCAAACTGCTGGCCTTAAATGTAGAGACAGATGTGAGGCTGATCTTTCCCCAGAGTGATGGGATCCACGCTCAAACCTGCCCCCAAATTCTGGACTTCGACTTCAGACCTAACCAACACTAGCTCTGTGGTTCCACCCAATGAACCCACACCAAAATCAGGCCCCAGAAAACACCAAACATTTTAAAAATATATATTTCAAGACCTGAATGGCATATGCAAAATGTCATACCAAAGAACTTTTTCTCTCATGGGCACTTGGGATACTGAGAAACTTTTTCTTTTCTTCTTTTTTTTTAATTAAAAAGATTCTAGCCCTCATTGTTATAAATGGTTGCTGGTGGCAATCAAGGCTCTGTACAGTGGTACCTCGGGTTAAGTACTTAATTCGTTCTGGAGGTCCGTACTTAACCTGAAACTGTTCTTAACCTGAAGCACCGCTTTAGCTAATGGGGCCTCCCACTGCTGCCCGCCGCCAGAGCACGATTTCTGTTCTCATCCTGAAGCAAAGTTCTTAACCCGAGGTACTATTTCTGGGTTAGCAGAGTCTGTAACCTGAAGCGTATGTAACCTGAAGCGTATGTAACCTGAGGTACCACTGTACAGGTAAATAGTTTCAGTCTCTAGGATTCTGGGAGGGGCCCCCCAAAGTGTTCTTGTTCTGTGCCGCTGGGGGCATAGCTGTCAACGTTTCCCTTTTTTTAAGTGAAATTCCCTTATTCCGAATAGGATTCCTCGCAAGAAAAGGGAAAAGTTGACAGCTATGGCTGGGAGTCCCCTACCACCCAAGATTAAAAGAGGGATCAAGCTCAAACAAGTAAACAAAGACAACCCCAAATCTCTGATTGCTTCATTGTTACATGTTGGAATGTTAAATTGTGAAGCATATTAACAACCACATTGTTTGTTGGATTTCCAGGTCATTGACCTATACTGGGGAGTGGAACCAGAAGAATGGGACAGACCAGAGTTGCAGAAAACTCGTATGAGGCTCCTAGAAGATTGCTTGAAAACATCTGCAGGTCCATGTTTTGTTGTGGGTATAAAAATAATGCTTTATCTAATTAACCTAGAAGCCGTAGTGTGGTTATAGATGCTTTCCTAAGGACATACCTTTAACAAACAACCTAATAGTTCACTTTATTTTCACCTCACTCTGCAGGCACTACAGAGTGCCTATATATCAGCAACTCTTCCAATAACCTCATGATGTTACTGACACCCCTGTGAAAATTAGTTATGTAAATTATGGTGCACAGGAGCTGACCTCAGTCTTTGCTGCTTCATTGGAGGGAGTATATATTTTACGTAACGTTTGCAGATCTGTTTTTAGAGCAACTGTTTCAGGTTTTGGATGTTTTGGATGGGGCTGAAACAGGGGTAGCCAGTCCTACAGATCTTGGCTGGACTTCAGCTTCCATCAGCCCCAGCCAAGATGGCCAGTAGTGAGGAATGATGGGAGTTGCAGTCTAGCAGCCTCTGGAAGACACCACACCAGCCGCCACCACAATAAAACTATTGCAGTAACCCACAGACAGATGCAGCAGAATAGCAAATTTTCAGCAGCAGAAGTCTTGCTGTAACAAATTTGATACTTGGCCTTGCTGGCTGGAGCTGACAGTACAGTGGTGCCTCGCAAGGCGAAATTAATCCGTTCCGCGAGTCTCTTCGTCTTGGGGTTTTTCCGTCTTGCGCAGCACGGCTATTAGCGGCTTAGCGGCTATTAACGGCTTAGTGGCTTTAAGAAAAAGGAAACAAACTCGCAAGAACTCGCAAGACGTTTCGTCTTGCGAAGCAAGCCCATAGGGAAATTCGTCTTGCGGAACGACTCAAAAAACGGAAAACTCTTTCGTCTAGCGAGTTTTTCGTCTTGCGAGGCATTCGTCTTGCGGGGCACCACTGTAGTTGGATTCCAACTGCCACATGTTTCTCATCCCTGCTCTGTATCATCTGTAATCGCCACCAGCTGTATCTTCTTGTTCTCCTCCAGGGTTGCCATTGCACTGATGCCTGCTCTGAGCCCAGGAACCCTCTGGGTAGAAGCATGACCTTTCTTTGCAGCATTTTGCTCCACTCGAGCTAGAATCATCATCTCTTGCTTTGCCTCAGGCCTGTATTTGTGGGCCAGTTTCAGAAGCCAAGTAGCTTGTGGGAGCTATTTAACTGCCAGGGGCACCTTCAGACTTTTGCAGAGGATGGCTCCCTGGTCAGACCTAACAAGATCGTTTCCCAAAGTGGGTCAGATCCCATTTGGGCTGGTTATCTTGCCTAATAATAATAATAATAATAATTTACTTATATCCCTCCCTCCCCAGCCGAAGCTGGGCTCAGAGCAGCTAACAACAGTAAAATAATACATGATTCTAAAATCAATTCATTATAAAATCAGTTCAAATCAAATGACTGGCAACTATTGGGCTAGAGTTCTGTGAGGATTGCCAAAGGAGGGGGTCAGGCTGTGCCTTGGCCAAAGGCCTGGTGGAACAGCTCTGTTTTGCAGGCCCTGCAGAAAGATGTCAAGTCCCGCAGGGCCCTAGTCTCTTGTGGCAGAGCGTTCCACCAGATCGGAGCCACAGCCGAAAAAGCCCTGGCTGTGGTTGAGGCCAGCCTAACTTTCCTGTGGCCTGGGACCTCCAAGATGTTAACGTTTAAAGACTGTAAGGTCCTCCGTGGGACATACCAGGAGAGACGGTCCCGTAGGTACAAGGGTCCTAGGCTATATAGGGCTTTAAAGGTTAAAACCAGCACCTTAAACCTGATCCTGTACTCCACCGGGAGCCAGTGCAGCTGGTATAGCACCGGGTGAATGTGATCCCGCGGCGAGGACCCCGTAAGGAGTCTCGCCGCGGCATTCTGCACCCGCTGGAGTTTCTGGGTCAGTCTCAAGGGCAGCCCCACGTAGAGTGAGTTACAGTAATCAAGTCTGGAGGTGACCGTCGTGTGGATCACAGTGGCTAGGTCAGGGCGAGAGAAGTAAGGAGCCAACTGCTTAGCTTGGCGGAGGTGAAAAAATGCCGCCTTTGTTATAGCTGCAATCTGCGCCTCCATGGAAAGGGAGGTGTTGAAGATTACACCCAAACTCTTAACAGACGGTGCTGGCACTAATTGCGCACCCGCAAGAGATGGGAGTTGATGCCAAAGATCTTGGGCCTTTTTTCAAAGAGTGTGTTGACGGCCCTCATAGTCTCCTGCTTCTTGACCACAGCAGGAGCTGGGGCCACCTTCTTTGCCTTGGCCTGTTTTCTCCCTATGGCAGCTTGATGAGGGAGGAAATCTGGCAGGTGAACATACTACAGGTGAACCTAATGGGAGTGTCAGGAAATAAGCAGAAGGTGTGAAAAAATTACCATAGTGATTGTGCTCGTGGCAGCAAATTTTTACCAGAAACACTGTATGTATCAAGAAGGAGATCAAGGGGAAAGGGGGTTGGGAAAATAGGTGCTGTGAGAAATGAGGCGAGGAGAGAGAGAAAGAAATGATCAGATAAGCAAAGAGAGAAGGGGGAAGAGAGAGAGAGAGGCAGGCAAGAAGTTGGTGGAGGGAGAGAGAGAAATATACAAATAAGCAATAAATCAAAATGGATAAACTAAATATTCTAGTAATTGTCACCCATGGTTTGCTCACATGTATGCAATAGCTGAAAATTTGCTGTTTCATATGCTGTAGGCCTGTGGCTTTTAGAGATATATGCTTTTAATATTAGAGGGACAAATAGACACCTGTTTTTTGTGGGGGGCTCAGGAACCATCTTTGCTTTTTATTGTTTGAAGATGACCATCAATAGGAGTATATTAAAACTGCCAAATATAGCATAGGCTTCTTAGCCAGTGAGTTATCTTAAACAAGACAACTTCACTAAGATTTTTGTGTGGCCATAAAGAGTTTCACCACAATTTCAGATCTGAAGGGGAAATGTAGAAATTGCCTTTGTCACTTGTTGGCGGTTTTTGTGTTATGCAGACTTATGTTTGCTTTTAATTGCTGGTTATGCTAATGCGTTCAAAGAAGTTGAGCTGTAGCTCATTTCTAACAATTTTCCAATCACAACTTAGAATTTTAATGCTCAGAGTGCAGAGATTAGCAGAGTGGTTGTTAAAAGAACAATTCCATTCATAGATTATCCCATCTCAAGATGTATTTGTAACAGGCTCAGTTTTGTGGAGCTACTTTCATATTTTTTCCTTGTTGGATCTGTTAATGGACATTCTGGATTACAAAGTTATAAGCAACAGATTCGTTTCATTAAAAAAAACTGGAGAAATTGGAGGAAGAATTGTAGGACGGGACACTGATAACCACTTAATATAGCTTTGTGTGAGTTTTATTTTCTTTAAGGCTCTGTGCCGAAGAATAGCAGGGAATAATAGGAAAGTAATAGAAGATATTTCCCTATTCATGTTTGTTGTGTCTTCTCTATTCATAGCAGCAAATTCAGCAAAGCAATTGGGTGGCAGGGGGTGGGTAAACAGCAACTTTCCTGCAGATATGTGTGCAACTAACCCAGAGATTCCCTGACCTCATGCCATCCCAATGAGTGCAACACCAATTCAGTGGAATGACTTTTTCTTTCACAACACATTCAACAATCGTGAGCTGCTTGTATAGCTCACCTCCATCTTTGAAACATATTGTGATTGGCATGGCCGATGATTGATTGTTAGATGCCCATACCATCTTCTGCAGTTAAGCAGCCACCTTGGCGCTTTGGACCGGCAACGTTGGCGAGAAAATTGCGGTGCCGTTTCTGTTTGATCCATTTGTTTCTTTACTGCCTATAATTTTAACTTTGCTGGTAGGCATTTCTTTCCTCAGTGAGGCTGCCGTAAAGGTAAAGGACCCCTGACCGTTAGGTCCTGTTGCGGACAACTCTGGGGTTGCGGCGCTCATCTCGCTTTACTGGCCGAGGGAGCCGGCGTACAGCTTCCGGGTCATGTGGCCAGCATGACTAAGCCGCTTCTGGCGAACCAGAGCAGCGCACGGAAACACCGTTTACCTTCCCGCTGGAGTGATACCTATTTATCTACTTGCATTTCGTGCTTTTGTACTCCTAGGTTGGCAGGAGCAGGGACTGAGCAACGGGAGCTCACCCCGTCGCGGGGATTCGAACCACCGACCTTCTGATCGGCAAGCCCTAGGGTCTGTGGTTTAGACCACAGCGCCACCCGCATCCCAAAGGCTACCATAGCTCTGCTCAAATGGAGTAGTCATTTCCTACAAGCTTTCGGTCACACTGCTGTTGAGAGGCCAATCTCTTTATGAGCCAGGTTTTTGTACAGCGGCACGTGCTCTTCCAGCATTGCAATTTCAGTTTGTGCAGAAGTTGTCGTTCTCTCCCACACAGAGACACCAGTATGTCACAAGGACACACTGATGCTTCCGTTCTTCTTTGTAGCAGAAAGGTCGATGCCTAGCCATCCCTCACTTTGATCAAATGTCATTTCAAAAGATGAAGGCAAAATATTATTATTTTCAGGCCACATGTGCCTGAATTTTCAGAGAAACAAAACATGATTAAACAGAGAAACACAGAGCACTATTTTCTCATCTTTTGGTCTGACAGCCAAGAGGCAAAAAAGTATTGCTTAAGGGTCATGATGTCCTGCTATTCAAAGCCTCTCTTTAGCATTGGCTTGGATACTAACAGTGAGCCCTAAAGAAAAGGGAACGGAACTGAGAGCTGTTGATCCCTTCAACCCCTCGATTGCCAGGATTGCTTGTGCTGGTTTGGGCAGGAGGCAGAGTCAGTGCAGCTGTTTTCCGAATCATGTCCATTGTTTGCTCCGGACTATGACAAAGCAGAAATATACATTGGTGTGTTTTGTTTTTTAGGGAGGGGAAGTGAAAAATTAAAAGTCAAAAATTGAATTTCTGTAAAACCACTACTATTATTTATAAACTGCTAAATGATGCTCTGAATTCTAAACAATTGAAATGAAAATAAATCCCTGCTAGCTGGTTGCAGTGGAACAGACAAGAAACAAAAGGGATAGAAAAGGGAAGAGTGGGGAATCTGCATTGTGTTTTCAACAGACTCTAGATACATGTAAAATTTGGTCACTGTGCGTAATGTTCTCCAAGTTCAGTTTGTTAAAATCCAAAACTTTTCTTCTTCTTCTAAACAAATCTTTGGCAGTATTTGAAACATCTGCTTTTGCTACACGTGGTTTCAAAGTAGCTAAGAAAATAGATTTTATTTCCTCAAGTTTTTCAATGGCTAGAGAATGTACTTTTCTTTTTAACATGTTGATTCTATGTGTTATTTGCATATTCCACCCTGCTTTTGTAAATCACTCTGGAAGCTGCACAAAGGTGGCATATAAAGCTTATATTATAAACCTTCTGTAAGAAAAACCACTTCAGTAGTTCAGTGGGAACATTTTTACATAATCTTTACGTTTTTAAAGTTAGTGTGGTAGTGGATGGAATGTTCAAATCCCTACTCCACCATGAAACTTAGTAGCTGAATTTGGACTGGTGACGTTCTCTCACAATAACCCACCTCATAAGTTGTGTTGGAATTTCTTGAAGGAATGGTGAGATAAAAATATAATAAATTGGTTTAAAAAGAAAGAAACTCATTTCCTTTTCACCTCAATAACTCAGTTGCTGAGATAAATAAGAATTTGTAATTATTTGCATAACAGCTTTTTAGACATTCCTACTGTCTTTGAATATGATTTTTTTTAATTTCTAAACATCAACTAGTTCTAATAGAATGCCATCTAGTGGCTCAATATGATATGCTATTTCCATGTGTGACTGTTGAACAATTTTTAATTTGTTTGAGGGCTAATCTCCTCATTATATTAAATATTGGAAATGTATACTCGATTCTGACCCAACTAAGCCTCCTGATGCATATTTTGCTCTATACACTTCCAGAGTTAACACTGAATGCATTACTTCTGGTAAATGAGCCACCATAGCTGCTAGGGGGCCGTGAAAATTTGTGTCCCAGGCTCTTTAGACTCTACCTATGTACTATCTGAAACCAAAGGGTTGTCAGATTTGAAATATCTGGCTCTTCTTACCCCGCTATTCTTACCACTCAATCCTGAATGTTTACGCAGAAGTAAGTGCCACTGACTTGGTGGCAGTCACTCAATAGCAAGAAATTCTACGTGGGATTGTTTCCATTATTTTTATAAATTACTTTTCCGTGCATGACTGGAAGATTTGAACCTTATTCTGCTCTGGTTTCACTTCGCTGTCAGGAACATTTGTGGCAGGTTTTATTTTGGGAGCTAAGTTGTTTGTAGTCCCACTTTCCCCTTTGATTACGCTCGTTAATAATCAACTGTACAGGAATCAAGTCAAGAGGGGCTACTATTATCTGCGTATAAATTAGGAAGATAATCTACCTCAAAGTCTGTAGAGTATGTGTGGTGCTTTTCATCAACATCATGACTCACCCGGGATATTAAAGCACCTCAGGATGAAAAGCCTTCTTGGGGCTCATCCAGATTACCTATTTATTGAGCATTCCTTTGGAATTGTTTGTGGGGAAGTTACATTGCAAAGAGCATTCATCCTGATTTACTGTATTTTTTGCTCTATAAGACTCACTTTTTCCCTCCTAAAAAGTATGGGGAAATGTGTGTGCGTCTTATGGAGCGAATGCAGGCTGCGCAGCTATCCCAGAAGCCAGAACAGCAAGAGGGATTGCTGCTTTCACTGTGCAGCGATCCCTCTTGCTGTTCTGGCTTCTGAGATTCAGAGTATTTTTTTTCTTGTTTTGCTCCTCCAAAAACTAGGTGCGTCTTGTGGTCTGGTGCGTCTTATAGAGCGAAAAATACGGTACTTGTGGAGTATCTGTGTGTTTCCCTGTCACTTTCCTAACCACAAAAAGTTGATTATTATTATTATTTAAGTGTATTTGTTGTTCTGTGGCAACAGAGCACCTTAATCCATCTTAATTCACAAATATCCTGGTTATACCCTTGAATCCCTTCCCCAAAATACTGACAATCTGGAAGCGCCTTCAGATTCCACTTCTATTGTCATTTCAAGCTCCCCAGTAATTTAGCTTTAATTGCTTTGAACAATGGTCTTCAGCTTAAAATCTTAGCACTTTAAATTATTTCAGTTTGACTTTTCCAGAAGACAAAGAGGCACTTTTCAGAAATCCTTAGGAATTCAACTTTTATGTATTCACTGTGTTGTTTAATAGTGCCTTTTAAAATGTAAGTAGGTAGGTAAGTAGATTTAGTAGTTATTAGCTTTGGCTGTTTAAGTCAGAAGTACCTGTTTCCCATTACTTGCCATTTTCCCAACTAACCAAAAGTCTGTGATTTTAAGCGGCAGACAGAAATTCAAATGGTGCCAGGTTGCAGGGGGTAGATAAAAATACACTGGCCTGGTTTAAAGCAAGCTATGGGGTTTATATGAACATGCAGTGTGCTAACTCAAGGTGCTTAAAAGTTCCCACAGCACCCACATCCTCTGCTACCAAAACAAACCAGTGGCTGGCTTCCATGCCATTTGAACTCAGGCGCATGGCTTGCTTCCTCCAAACATACCTGTCCATTGTTAGGATATTTCCGTTCCACCTTAAAAGGGAGCAGGCTTTGTGAGTCAGATTCTGCGTATTTCCTGTTTCACAGGATGTTTCTGTTGTGTCTTTTGTTTTCGCTCTCTGTGTCTGGAGACACTGAAGCAGGCAGTCATGTTTTTTTTGTTCTGATCAACGCTGAATAAAACTTGTAAATAATGCTCTCCTGAGTGCGACTTTTGCTGTGCATTATCTGCTGATAAAGTGTGCATGAGCTCTGGAATGTGGCAAGCTATTTCTGGAAACTCGTGTCGCTAATTGCTGATACTGTATCTACGGGAGATCGATGGATCGTCCGGCAGCCGGCTTGGGGGCCATGATGGACTTTGTCTCCCTGGCAGTATCCCAACATCCATTGCTCGTGTGGTTGCTCGAGAGTAACCAGGCAGGACTCTGACCTGTCTTTTACTTGCTTTATTTCGGTGCAAACTATTTACAGTGAAGAGCGTCAAAAGTTCATGTCTGGCTCAATCGCTAGCAGAATCCGGGAGTGGTCTGTTCTTGAACCTCCCCCAACATAAAAGTTTCATCACCCCCAGCCTTTGCCGCCCCTCCTTGCGCCTCAAACTACTGCGCATGACGGGCAATGGCAGGGGTGTGCTTCCCGCCTCTCTGGCTTGCTCAGTCGCGGTGTTAAGGCTCTTTCTAGCATCCTCTGGTTCCTGCCTCTCTTCTCCACTGGAGGTGGGGCTTTCCTCCTCGCTGAAAGAGGAACTGGTTCGCAAGATTTCCAGAGGCTCCCTGTAACACAGCTCCCCCTCTGTCTCTCGCCTCTGAGCCGATGGCAGTTCCCTGACAATACCACAAATGGTAAGCAAGGTTTGTTCGTAGCTTACCACCTGTGGTTTGGAGAAAACAAAGCATGATCCCAGGTTTGGACAGCATGACAATCATCTTCTATCTTGTTTCATCTGTGATGTAGCAGAACAGGAAGAGGAGCACTGTGGGAGCTTTAGAGAAGTGTGGGAACTTCAGAGCAGCATGTATCACCACACAGCTTGTTCGTATTAAACCATGTTTTGTTTTAAATTATGATCTAGTGTGATGTGACCTAGTATTGAAGGTGCTCGAGAGAATCATCAGTTACCTACCTTCGTTATGTAGAAAAATAATCTTGTAAAGCTTCCCTTCTTGGTCTCTTCTTCCCACACACAAGCAGCCCAATTGCTATTTGCAACACTGCATTAAACGATAGCAACAGTCTGTTATTAAATTTTATTGATACATTTTTACTGCAGGGAGGGAGGAGGACCAACAACCAAGGAGAAGCAAAGAAGAAGCACACTCACGTTGAGCCATGGTTTGTTCATGTTGAGCCATGGTTTGGTTTAGCGTAATGTGCAAACCAGGTCTGTATCTGTCAGTTTGCATGAACATGACGCAGAGTTCCCCCAAAATAGACCAGAGGCAATTGTACTTCATCCAGCAGAGCTTTACTTGCTACTGAAGGCAAATGAGCAGAATGATCACACATCCAATACATTCAGGATTGGCACAATCCATAAAAATCCAGTGGCAGCACTTACAATGAAACTTAGAATACAGTGGTACCTCAGGTTAAGTACTTAATTCGTTCTGGAGGTCCGTACTTAACCTGAAACTGTTCTTAACCTGAAGCACCACTTCAGCTAATGGGGCCTCCTGCTGCTGCCGCGCCGCTGGAGCACAATTTCTGTTCTCATCCTGAAGCAAAGTTCTTAACCTGAAGCACTGTTTCTGGGTTAGCGGAGTATGTAACCTGAAGCGTATGTAACCCGAGGTACCACTGTACAGTTGACGCTGCGGGTTGCGAATGTGATCCATGCGAGATGCACATTCGCAACCCGCAGCGGTGCGTCTGCGCACGCACAGGTTGCGATTCGGTGCTTTGTGCATGCGCAAAGTGAAATTTAGCACTTCTGCGCATGCATGACCCCCGAAACCCGGAAGTAACCTGTTCTGGTACTTCCAGGTTTCGGCGGGTCCATAACTTGAAAAAACACAACCTGAAGCGTCTGTAACCCGAGGTATAACTGTACTTATAAGAAGACTAAACCTTGACACTATAGCATACAGAACAGAACACCACAACAGAAACAAAGAGGTTTTCCCTCCCCAGTGGGCAACAGTATCTTCATAGCGAGCAAGACTTGCACAAACTAGGTAACTCAGACATCATTTAATATGTCTTTAACTTTGTTACTAAACTTTACTTTGTCTTGCACATACACAGGGCCTTCTGGGAGAAAAATATGGCAGCATCCGAATACCAGGAGAAGTGGAAGCATCTGAATTTGAAATGATTCTGGACGCTGCTATCGAGGCAAAGCTGGAAACAAAGATTTTGGAAGAGTGGTATTGCAGAGACGAGAACTCCGTGCCACCAATGTATTACCTCAAACCAAAATTTGAAATGCCGAAGAACAATCCCAACATGGTAAATCGCCTTCCTGAAATGTATAGGTTTCCGATTGTTTCATAGTCATTGGATGTCATAGTTGACTATAGTTAACAATTTACCACGTTTAATGGAGATGACCTCTGCTTCACTTCTTCCCCAGAAGGAACAAACTGCATGGCTTAGTACTGCTTCCAAACTGGGGGTCATCATCTATTTTGCTACCAAACAAATCACAATGTGTAAAGCAAGGTTTGGGCTATGACTTAGCAATCATAGTTTTTTTCATTGAATCATAGAATTGTGGACTTGGAAGGGACCAGGAGGTTTGCTGCCTTATGCGAACTCTGCAGTTCTGTCCAAGAATCTGTCGGAATTGTAGGACTGCAAGTAAGCTAGAGGTCTCTAACAGAACTCACAGCATCCTACAGTTCTCAGGTTTTCATTGAGAAAGTCGTGGCAGTTACCGTATTTTTCGCTCTATAGGAGGCACTTTTCCCTCTCCAAAAATGAAGGGGAAATGTGTGTGCGTCCTATGGAGCGAATGCAGGCTCCTTGGCTTCAGCGATAGCAACGCGAAGCCTCCAAAGCGCAGAGGGAAAGCTCCCCCCGCGCTCCGGAGGCTTCACGTTGCTTTCGCTGAAGCCCCCGGATCGCAGAACTGCTGCTGTGCTCTGGGGGCTTCAGGCAGCTATCTGCAAGCCTTCGGAGTGAATTCCCCCACCTCGTAGAAAAGCCCGCAGGAGCCGTGCAGCCTTTAAAGAGCGCACCGCTCTTGGGGGCTTTTCCCCAAGGAGGGAGAAAGGACTGACTGGCCGAGTCAGTCCCTTCTCCCTCCTGTGGGCTTTTGCGGGAGGTGGGGGAATTCCCCCACCTCCCGCAAAAGCAGGGAGAAGGTCTGGGAGAAACGCACAGGCTGCGCGCAGCCTTTCCGCTGCTCCCAGAGCTGAGGGGGTGGTCATATTTTTTTCCCTGATTTCCCCCTCTGAAAACTAGGTGCGCCCTATGGCGCGAAAAATACGGTAACTTGGTAAACTTACTGTGTAGACTTACGCTTACACAGACATCTCAAAGGCCCTTCTGTTATCACGATCTAGCTTCTATTACTGTTACATCTCCATCTTATTCCTCCATCTGTTTCTGCATCGGTTCGCTGGCCCGGAGCTGTGAGTGCAGTTCAAGAGCCCAAGTCAGACCACCCTTGAATAAAAAGTTCAAACACTGCGCTGGTTTGAAGAGATAGGGAGACATTCATATCTAGCGGCTGTTGAGCAAAATAAATTGTTGATTGCGATCCAGCTCTCAGCTGGCAAGAGTCCACAGCACACACAGAAACATGCACACCATCCTGGGGTTGGCATTCTTCCTGGCACTCAGCAGAACAGCCAACGTTTCATGAGAATGAATTAGCCTCTTATTCAGCTACAGAGTCAAGATACATTTGTAAAGCAGAACGGGATGCCTCCCTAAAGTTGTCCACAGCTCCTAGCAGAGTTGAAATCTGTAAACTAAGAGGTTCAAAGGGCAATAATGCTGTGCCAAACTAAATCCCCTTGAACTTCAAACTGATTTCAAACTTGTTCAGCTGTTAGACAAACACAAAAGCAGCTTTCTTTTCTATATTTTTCGTTTTATGCATGAATGACTGTACTGAAACAAGAGTTAACCTGGTTAAGTTTGATTAATATGGAGGTGTCAGGCTTTTGAGCTGCTCAGTGGCGCCAAGTATAGGGGGTGGAGGGGGCTTCAGCTCCCCCAATATTTTGGGGCAGAGAGCAGCAGAACCCCAATATTTAGGGGGCCACTGCCCACCACGTGCCCCAACCTCCACCTGGCAGCCCAGGAGCCAGGTGGCGGCTGGGACAAACAAGCACAGAGGTCGCCCTCTGCCACGATCATCTGGGTGGCATCACATGATGCGTCATGTGACATGTCATGTGACACGTCACCTGACTGCACCCCCTCAATGTGGGGGGCACGTTGGTGCCCCTGGAGCTTCTACACGATATTTAAGGTCTGAAACAGAAGCCCAGTACACTGAGGCCTCAGATTCTTTTTCAGGCCTAGAGTGTACAGGGATGCTGCACAGTTTATGAATTGGACTCCTTGATATAACAACTAGGATTACGATTTTTATATCTTTTATTGGGGGGGGTCACATTTGACCTCCTGACCCCACATCTGTTATTTTGGACTTATAAATTTTGTTGCTTTTAAAAAAAGGAGAAGAATGTTACAGCTATGTTTGTTACTGGTTTTTTATCCAGATGTTTTATTCTTTTTCACATTTCTTAAGTTTGCTGAAATTGTGCGTTACCTTGCAATCCCCCTTGAAGTCTGTGCTTGAATGTAGATGTATTTTGAATAACACTATATGACATTAGAGACATAATCTAGCCAGATATAAGGGTTTTTATGCAATGTTGATTTTAATGTGCAAGACAGAAGAATGGGTTTTCACTCCTTCCATTAAAACAGTGTTATTGTGCAATTTTATGATAATACGTGGTAGTAATTTATTGTGTGCTGTTAAGCCTCACACACCTATCACTCTCTAATCATAAGTCTTGCTCAAATTTGCATGTACATAACTCGGTTTCTGTACATTGATTGATCTACGTGTGCAGCAGAATAGACGGCCACTTCAAACTCAAGGCAGCTGAGGGAGAAATTTGCATTGCTTTTCTGAAAACAGAAAACTCCCACAGCAGGGAATGAGCTAACCTAGAACATTTCCCCCTGCTTTGTTAGCCTTTATTTTCTGTAATTTTTTAATGTGAGAGAGTCTTCAATGTGTGTAGACAGAAGTGGTACTGTCACCCCTTTCACCTCATGCTGAACTAGAATTCTGAACTGGAAGTGTGTGTAGACTCAGCTTTGATAAACAGCAGCTAAATGTATGAACTGACTCCATTGAAAGGCACTGCATATCAGGTGACATGAAGCAGCATGAAAGTTCTGCCTGAAATATTATATCACAGTTCTCTCTAGAGTATCTGATATCCAATTATAACATTCAATTTGTCACTTGATGTTGCAGTAATCTTGTTAGGGATATGGATGTGCAGGCCAGCTCTGTAATGAGACTTTCCTTATTTTCAGTAGGTGTTATACCCCTTATTTCCTATCCCTCATGGTGCAAGCCCCATCTATTCCAGGCATTCCTGGAAATAAGGGAAAATGAGAAATTTCTAACTATGGGGGAACTTCGTCTTTGCTATGTTATTTTAGCTACTGTTGCCCGATCTCTTAAATACAACCTTGGTGGTTGGTGAAGAAATCGATGCTGGCATCTTCAGCTTTAATTAACTATTTGTTTTTGTTGTTGTTTTAAAGATGGAAGCATCTTCGAACCCTGTCAGTGACAGCAAATGGCAGGAGATATCAGAAGAGATTAAGATGATGATTAAGACAGCTGTGAAGATGCTTTATGAAAAGGGGAAAATGAAACACAGTCAAGCAAAGAGATATCTTTCCTCTGGTAAACATCGAATTTGGGCATGCAGTGTACATACATATATTTCTGTGATCAGCCAAGTACATGCAAAAAAGGAAACATTTTCCTTTTATTTTGATTGTAATAATTGTGTGTTAATTGACTATGACCATGCATAACTTCTGTCTCTTGGTCATGGCGCTGAGCAACCAAGAGACAGAGAAGGCAACGCAGAGACTACAAAGTGCATCGATTCCTCCCTTGTGGAACCTTGTCACTAGCAACAGAATACAGTGGTACCTCGGGTTAAGTACTTAATTCATTCCGGAGGTCTGTTCTTAACCTGAAACTGTTCTTAACCTGAAGCACCACTTTAGCTAATGGGGCCTCCCGCTGCCGCCGCACCGCCGTAGCCCAATTTCTGTTCTTATCCTGAAGCAAAGTTCTTAACCTGAAGCACTATTTCTGGGTTAGCGGAGTGTGTAACCTGAAGCGTATGTAACCTGAAGTGTATGTAACCCGAGGTACCACTGTATAAGGGAAGGGCTGGAGGAAGCTTAGGTGGTCTGCTTCAGTTTTGAACGTGACAGAGCACTTTTCATTCTGTTTTGCGGGGACTTTAGATTTCCTCTTTGCTCTTTTGTTCCCCTCCCAGCTATCGAAGATGAATTTGATTTCGCCTTAGGGAAACAAACCCCAGCTTTCCTGAAGAAGTGCGTTTGCTACATTCGGAAGATTGCAAACATAGAACGTTTTGTTAAAGTTCCCGAGATGGAGAAATACATGGACGTGTTTCATACGGGTGGAAAGTTTCTGCGGGACCCAGAAGCGCTGGAGAAACTCATCAAACTCAGGGATGAATTTGTTCCCACCATTGTTGCTTCGTCGAATTTGAGAGTCTACACCTCTGTCACTCATTGCGACATCAAACATGGTTACACCCAAGAAGTGGAGAACCACTACATCGAAGGGCTTGGCAAACAGTTCTATGAAGACATGGTGGATATAATCCAAGCAACAGTGCAACAGAATTTTGACATAGAGACAGACTGGCTGTATGATGAAGTCCTTCAACATTCCTCCCTATGTAGAACCTACTCGTCATTCTATGAGTACAGATGTGATGCTAGGAATATTATGCACAAATACATTCTACCTAGGAAAATGGGACACATTAACCCTCTTGTCATATATGGAGGACCATGCACTGGAAAAACATTTTTATTAGCGGAAGTGGCAAAGAAGGTAAAACACACGCAAACACCTATGTGTATTTATTTTGCTGCTGTAAATTTAACTGCAAAAATACTATGTTTTAATTTGAGTACATCTATAAACCCATATGTTTATGACAAGCTATCATTATAGGTGCTCCTAAAGACTCCCACTGTGTTGTCCTATTCTTAGAGCAGATTGGTACAAAAATTGCAATAAATTTGCATGAATTGCAATAAATTTGCATAAATTTGTCAACGCACCCTCTTTTTCCTATGCTCTGAAGTTCTGAGGGTGGGTGGATTATTTTAGTGACCACAGTCTTCATTTTGCTAAAAAATAAAAGTATGTTTTGTAAAGACATATTTGCTTTCTTTACATCTTGTTGAAGAAGGGGTACATTTCATCCCATATATAATATCCAGCAGTTTGGCAAATTGTCCTTCTTTTAATACTATTCTTTCTGCACCAAGAAACCCCTGAGTATGTGCTCATCTGGCACAGAAAATTCTTGAGCATGTTCTAGGATGCTCAGTCAGTTCACATAAAGTAATATGCTGGCTTCTTATGCCTTAACGTTGCCATTTGTGAACTGAACGTTTACCTGGGAATATATCCAACTGTCCACCATGGCTTTCATTGAAATTGTTTTTCAGGAAAACCTGTTTGCCATTATTTTTCTCATCACTGAGAAACCCCCCTGATTTTCTATCACAGGCATTAAAATTGCTGGCATGCTGTGATCCATCAATTTCCTGTGAGGGAGATGCATGTATAGACTTCCTCCGCTGTTGAACTGAGCACCTGCTCAAGCCACAGCAGATAAGAAAAAATAAAATCCAGCTAGGCAGCCATACACTCACTTCATTGAATGTGCAAGAATTACACTTCCATTGCAAACAATAGTGCTCTTGAATTGTTAGCAGCACTTTTAATGACTTGCCATATGTAACAGTGATAGAAGACTGGTTCCCATGCAACATTTGTCACTGTGGACAGACTCCTGAAATCATTCTGGTGGAATGGTTAGCATTGGGGGCGGGGAGTGTTTCAGGGAAAACATAATATTTTTATCTGTATTATATCTTTAGATTTATTGTTGTTTAATTCTAAATGGTTTTATTTCTTCTTATGAGCCACCACCCTAAGAGTTTTGGGGTTTTTTTGCCACAGGGCAACCTATAAATACTGTTAAGAAGTACCGTATTTTTTGCTCTATAAAACTCACTTTTTCCCTCCTAAAAGTAAGGGGAAATGTGTGTGCATCTTATGGAGCGAATGCAGGCTGCGCAGCTATCCCAGAAGCCAGAACAGCAAGAGGGATTGCTGCTTTCACTGCGTAGCGGTCCCTCTTGCTGTTCTTGCTTCTGAGATTCAGAATATTTTTTTTCTTGTTTTCCTCCTCTAAAAACTAGGTGCGTCTTGTGGTCTGGTGCGTCTTATAGAGCGAAAAATACGGTAGATGCTAGTCAATTGTGTGGTGGAAGTAGCACCACAAAGTGATTTTCCTTCTCAGCTTTCCTGACCTAAAATAACCTTGCACAATATAGTAAAGGCTTTATGGAAATCATTTTGTAGCACATAAGGATATTTCCCCCATTTTTTATAATGTGAAATTTGAGGAAGGTGGGTCTTCTACCTCATAAATAACCACATACCTTAACTCTAATGTTCTACCACCACTTGGTTATCTTTCCTAAAAATTATATCTATCTGCATGAGTAAATGGATCCAACCCACTATTTTCAACATGACTACTTCAGTAGGATCCATGTAGAACCTGCCATTCAGTGAAGCCCTAAGGTCCTGCTTAGTTGCCACAATTTACACTGGCCAAACATGAATTCATACAAAGGTCTTGTATAGAATGTCCAGAAAAAAATTAGTACACCTCTGACTTTTCCATTTATTAAAAAGAGAATAAAAGAGAAAGCCACATGATGTAATTAATTAGCCATAGCGACCTGCAGACTTATACAATAATCCTTGCAATATTGCTGTCGCTCATTTGAGTATCACAGAATAGAATAATAATCATGTTTGCAGTCTCCAGCACCCAACTTTGTTCACCTGCTCAGTGGGTCAGCCAAATGGTGGGTTATGGCTTCCAAAGTTATCGGTAGGGAAAGTAAGAAGGTGCTGACAAGGTTGAAGTACTAGGGACAGAGCCACAACCTACTTGGTAGTCAGTTGTGTAGCATCTACTTCCATAGTAGAGTAGAAAACCCCAACACAGACTTACAGCACACCTTGAATCAAAAGTAAGTCCTGCTAAATTCACTGAGGCTCACTCCCAGGCAAATGGGGTTAGGATTGCATCCTAAGGGTGGAGCGTCTCCACAGCCATCGTTCACCACAGACACTGAGGTCCAGCACCGAGGGCCTTCTGGCGGTTCCCTCACTGTGAGAAGTGAGGTTACAGGGAACCAGGCAGAGGTAGTGGCGCCTGCCCTGTGGAACACCCACCAGATGTCAAGGAAATAAACAACTAGCTGACTTTTAGAAGACATCTGAAGGCAGCCCTGTTTAGGGAAGTTTTTAATGTTTGAAGTTTTATCGTATTTTTAGTGCTCTGTTGGGAGCTGCCCAGAGTGGCTGGGGAAACCCAGTCAGATGGGCAGGGTATAAATAATAAATTTATTAGTAGTAGTAGTAGTAGTATCCAACTAAGTCATACTCAAAACAGATCCATTTGAATCAATGGGTTTAAGTTAGTCATTGACTTCACTGGATGAATATGATTTAGTTGAATATTACCCTTAAATCTGTACTACTTAATATTTGTTTATAAAGCAGAGTGGAACTGCTTTCTGTCTGTCACATTTATATTGTTCTTTCTTTATTGTTTGATTTTCATTAGCTCTGCTAGTCCACATATTAATCTATTTATACTTCTGCATTTGTAGGCTTATGCTTGGCTAAAGGAAGAAATGGGACCAGAATCTGACCCTGTGGTAGTTATAAGGTTTTTGGGATCCACAGAGATGAGTACAGATCTTAGGAATCTCCTTCAAAGTATTTGCGAGCAGTTAGCAATTAACTACCGATGCCTCGTACAAAGCTACCCAAAAAAAATCCACGACCTTCGGGACTTGTTTATAAACCTTTTGAATGAGTCTTCATTTCATAGACCTCTGGTTCTGATATTTGATGCTCTAGAGCAGCTTTCGGATAATGATGATGCTAGAAAGTTATGGTGGCTCCCTGTTCATCTGCCCCGTTCGGTCCGAATTATTTTGTCAACACTGCCGAACAAACATGGAATACTGCAAAAACTGAGGTGCCTTATACACGACGATGATAACTATATTGAGTTGACTCCTAGGGACAGGAAGATGTGTAGTCAAGTTCTCAAGCAGCAGCTGCTCCAAGTCAAGAGAAAAGTAACATCAGGCCAACAAATTTATGTCAACGAAGCTTTTTCCAAATGCACACTGCCCATGTTTGTAAATCTAACCTTCCGAGAAGTCCGAAACTGGAGATCTCACAAGGATGTTGATGAGTCTTCTCTCTGTGTTACTGTTCACGATAGCATAGAGCAGATGTTCTGGTCTCTAGAGACCAGCTGTGGGCCAAGGCTTTTGTCCCGAGCCCTTGGCTACATCACCATGGCAAAATCCGGTCTGAGTGAAATGGAACTGGAAGACATTTTAGCACTTGACAACACAGTTATGTTTGAATTAAACGAAAGCATCAGGCAACACAACCCTCTGAGGGTACCTTACATCTACATTGCAAAGCTGAAAGAAGGACTAACAGGATACCTGATAGAAAGGCAAGTAAAAAACGTTACGCTACTAGTTTGGGCAAACAGGCACCTGCAACTTATAGCCCAAAAGATGTATCTTCACAACGAAGAAGACGTTCATGAAATGCATACCGTGATGGCAGAGTATTTTCTGGGTGTTTGGTCAGGAGGCAGAAGGAAATCTCTTTACAGTGAAGATCAATATCTGAATGGTTGCCTTGACAGCGACAGTCGGAGCATGAATGATGACGAGAGGCACATCATGGACCAGACAAATTTTGATAGGCAGTCACCTGATCAGCCTTGGGTATTCCAGTGCAACCCTTTGGAGCCCGACATCTTTTTTGTCAATCACAGGAAAATGACGGAGCTTCTGCACCACCTCACACGATGTGGGAAAACAGACGACATGTTGTACGGTGTCATTATGAACTTCAGCTGGTTGTACACCATGATCAAAATTGGGCAGTTTGACAAAGCCCTCTCTGATGTGGAGTTGGCCTATAACTACTCGCAAGAAAAAGAGCTGAAGTTCCTTGCAACCACGCTCCGTGCTATAAAATACAAAGTGATGAAATACCCAGGCACTCTCTCAGCTGAATTGCAACAGAGGCTTCTCCCAGTTGCGAGCTCCTTGCCGAAACTGAGGCAGCTTCTTCTGGAATGTGACAAAGATGGCCCTAAATATTGCTCCATTGTTCCATTGCATTCCTCTATGGATGTGACTTACAGCCCCGAGAGATTGCCTTTGTCCTCCAGTTGCACTCAAGTGACAGAAATCCTGCCAACTTTTAATCCAAATACAGTCATCGTGGCTCTAGAAAACGGCTCCATCAGTACCTGGGATGTGGAGACCCGCCAGCTACTGAGGCAAATTACAACAGCTCAGTCAGTCATTTTGGGCATGAAGCTTACAAGTGATGAAAAATACCTTGTGGTGGCCACAACAAAGAACACACTCTTGATTTACGACAACCTAAATTCCTGCCTTCTGTCTGAGGTAGAGATTAAGGGATCAAAACATGGTGGGATTGGTGTAGGTTCTAGTTTTATAAATGGATTTACATTGTCAGTAAACCATGCACTTTCTTGGCTAGAAGCTAGCAAAGATGTTACCGTGATCGATCTACTTTATGGATGGCCACTTTATCAGTTCCACTGCTGGTATGAAGTGACTTGTGTCCAGTGTTCCCCAGATGGAATGTATGCTTTCTGCGGACAGTACTTGAATACTGCATCTATATTCCATTTAGGTAGCGGGGACAAGCTGGCCACGGTGACCTCTGAGTTTTCCGGTGGCTTTGTCAAGTTCCTTCTTGTCCTAGATACAGCTCAAGAAATGGTGATGGTGGACAGCGAAGGTGGTCTTTCGATTTGGAACACGGAGGATGTCACCAACCCCCAGCTAACAGATGACTTTGATTGCAAGAGAGGGGACAGTGAATTTGTCAGTTTTGAACTGGCTGAAGATCAAAGTGCAATTTTAATATGTAAGGCCCTCAATATAGAACTTCTTGACACAGCTATGTGGAAAATAGTTGAAAAGTTTAGAGCGAAACATAACGAGCGATTTGTATCAGCTGTACTGTCCAAAAATGGTGACTGTATTGTTGCTTCCATTGAAAATACCTCTGCCATTTTTGTTTGGAGGAGAGACACAGGGCAGTGCATGGCCAGCTTACAAGAAATCTCAGGAAACATAGTCAGATTAATTAAATCCAACCATCATAACATGCTGCTATCCTTATCTACCAGTGGTGTCCTTTCTGTATGGGATATAGATATCATAACTGCTATGTCCAACATTGACAAAACAGGCAAGCCAATCCAAAGATTGGTCTTGTCTGCTCGGGGTGAAGTGATTTATACACTCGATGGGTCTGAAACTATACATAAGTGGAATTTTGGCACGGGGTTCATTGAAGCTGTGTTTAAGCATGAAAGCATTGTTGAAAACTGCGTGCTGACTTCCACTGGTGATTTGATGATTACGTCTGATGATAAATGCAGTCAGTATGTATGGCACACTGGTTCGGGTGAAAATCTGTTCCGTATCAACGGACAAAAGATATGTCAGCTCTTGATAACACACAACGATCAGTTTGTCGTCTCCCTCTGTGAGCAAAATGCATCAAGGGTTTGGAGACTGGCAACAGGCCACAGAGTTTGCAATATTCTTGTAGCCTTACAGAATGCATTTATAACTACCGCTAACACATTTGTAGTTGGAATGACAAAAAATAAAGTCTTGGCCGTGAGTTTGTGGACAGGGAGTATAACCAAGAAGTTCTGTTGCGATGATGGCATTGCCATTGTCGATATTAAACTGATCCCAGATTGCCCTGATATTGTAGTCTTCATAACATCTACTGAAACTGTAAACATCTGGAGTCTTACTGAAGAAGTAATTTGTAGACGTGTGCAACTGCCCAACACTTTCTTGAAGACTTTGGAAGATTTTGAAATATCACCCAATGGAAAACTGGGCATCATATCCCGCGGCGATGAGAATATCAACGTACTTGATCTTCACAGTGGCAAACTTCGCGTTGTCCATGCTTCCGGTATCATCTGGAGGCAGAAGCTGTCTCGGGACGGCCGCTACCTTGTATACATTTGTTTTCGCACTGGTGAAGAGGATGATGATAATGGTGCAATCTCTATCTTGATTGTAATGAGACTAGCAGATGGCAAAAACATTGGTGCTTGCTCCCTTTACAAAACACCGACTTTCCTCGCTCTTTCCCAGAGGCATTTGAACATCATTGTAGGTTTTGATGATGGAAGCATAGGCACTTATACTGTAGTGGATCGAGTGGATGCAGCGCTGAAAATTAAAATTGCTACTTCAAATAGCCGACAGATTTTCAGCAATGCAACACAAGTGATTAGACCGAAGTGTCACAATTATAATTTCAAGGTGACAGCAGACTGCATATGGAGGGAGTCTACAGAGGTGTTTGCAAGAGATAGTCCCATCACGGTGACAGACCCCGAGGCAGGTGAGGCAACTCCAACCAAAAAACACAACTATTGCTATGACAAAGTGTGCTCTGCCATAGATTGCAGGAGCCACGGGTTCACCCCTGACAATTGATCATAAATTAATAAGTAACTAGTTCAACAAATCTCTGCTTATCCCATTTATATTTTACTACCAACAAATTGGGAAAGAGCAAATTTAAAGCAAGTTTAATTAGTGGCTGCAGAGTTTAGAAAGAAATATTCAAATATAAGGCTTCCTGCAATGCCTTGAGTGAAAATTTCTAGCAATATCATTTATTATGCCAACCTAAAATGTTGGAGGAAGAAAATGTTGTAAAGCTTTCTAACAAGAAATGAAACTACATTTCATATTGGAATGAGGTGGTTCAAAAGTTTTAAAATCCAGGTGGGCATAAGCCTAAATCTCTGGCTACTTCGAATTACTATCATGTGCAAAAAAAAAAAAATATATCCTTCTGGTGGTGCAAATGACAATGTCACATGTCAGTCCGGATGCATTCTGTAAGCTTTTGAAGTAGTAGCTATTTGTATTGTGGGGGAAAATGGGGGCAAGCACAATTCGGTCAGTAAACAGAACTCCAGGGTCTTGCTGATTTCATTCGGGTCAAATGCTTCATAGGAATTGCTGCCACTAAAATCAGTGAGACTTCACTTTGCTTGGATTTCACCCATTGTACAGAAAGAATAGAGAAGCTGAGCATTGTGTCCAGTACTAGTAATACACACAGTAAACCCATTAAAACTAATGGACATAGGTCCATTAATTTCAGTGGGTCTGCTCTGAGTACAACTTTGGTTGGCTACAACCCTGATAACCTACAAATCAAAAATAGGCACACGTGACACAACAAATCAGTCATAATAACAAACTAAAAGTTACAAAATTTCTATGTTTGGACTTCTATTCAAGTTTTTCTATTACAAATCATAGGAACTGCTAGATCATGTAAGAAAGAAACTTAACTCCTGAAATTGTGTTGTTTTCTGTCTCTTTCACACTGTATTTTAGTACTGTGTATAAAATAACATTTTCAATGAAAAAGGGCATTAAGGATAAAGAGTCAAACCCACCTACCCTGTTCCATTATATCTTTTGTTGTCAAAAAAACGGTATCATTAGTTCTGTTGTCCCAAATATTCCACTCCTTGCAGAAATCTGAACAGGAAGCATTCAGAAATGCTGTGTGTCTTGATTCTCGTAGTGTTTGCCTTACTATCATTCCTGTTCTTCCCTGTGTGAAACACAGATCAGATGACCAAATACTCTGGGACTAACATTACGCTTCTGTATGTGCTGGGGGGGGGGCGCGAGATTCTGGCTGCCCCAAAGGGGTCTTTCCTGTTCGACTTTCTAATGAATTTCTTACTTCTATATACAGTATTTATGCCTCTTCACTCCCTGCTGTAGGACTGTTCATGGCCTTTTTATAGAACTTTATCAATTTCAAGGCAGAAGTTGTGGGGTACCCTTCTTTATTTCTGATTGCTTGGCTCACTCATTTGAACCCAGAAACGAGCTACGTACATTCTGATGCCCCAATCCACAGCTCTATTAAGGGGAAAGGTGGCGCTGTGGGTTAAACCAGAGAGCCTAGGACTTGCCGATCAGAAGGTTGGGGGTTCGAAGCCCCGTGACGGGGTGAGCTCCCATTGCTTGGTCCCTGCTCCTGCCAACCTAGCAGTTCGAAAGCACGTCAAAGTGCAAGTAGATAAATAGGTACCACTCCAGCGGGAAGGTAAACGGAGTTTCCGTGCGCTGCTCTGGTTCGCCAGAAGTGGCTTAGTCATGCTGGCCACATGACCCGGAAGCTGTACGCCGGCTCCCTCGGCCAATAAAGTGAGATGAGCGCAGCAACCCCAGAGTCGGTCACGACTGGACCTAATGGTTAGGGGGTCCTTTACCTTTACCTTTACTTGGAACGTAGTGGCCAATTTTTCACACTTCTTATGGGAGATGCAAACTACATGAGCTGCCTAAGCCTGAATGGCTTGTGTGTGAGAGTGGGGTTCTCATCCAGCCCTAATCACAGCTCATATGTATTTTAAAGTGAGAGAGCTAAGTAACGCACGCATGAGCCATTCATGCCAGGCAGCATTTTGCAGTAGAATATCCATCTCTAAATATCAAATAACCCAGTGGGAAGCAGCCCTAGTTGCTGAGTCCCACCAGGATTTGTGTCACTAATTGACCACAACCACAGATCCATCACAGGCAGACCATTCGTGTCTCCCACTCAACGACAACTCAAACTCAGTATTTTTTAATTCAGATGCTTCACACATTCCACCGAGATTCATCAAGTGCTGAATTGTCAAGTGACGCGGGGTCAGACGATGTACATGCAAGTGAGAACCAGCCCAGCGATTTTGCTGCAAGTGCTTATATGATAAGCAAGAACACCAGCACAATGTTCAGCAAACTGAAACACAGAGTTAGCGTTACAGGGGCATTGAGTTGGTGTAAGCAGCAGATCAAGGGGGCCAAGAATTTAGGATCAGGGTGTCTGTTGTAGGGAGTTTAATGGAGCTGTGGAATGGCCAGAGGTTTGTGTCCCTTACTGCTTGATCTTAAATGTGGCACATGTTTCAAAGGATGTGATTGAAACCGATTTGCTTGTATTCTTAGATGTTGAAAATTGAACTCTGGCACTACTCAAGAGTAGGGTACCTATTTGTTTAGGCTGGAGTCTGCCCTAATTTCATATTAAGTGGCGGAAAGTGGCTTGATTTTTATTTATTAAAAAAGGAAAAAGGTTTCAGGAGTGGAGGTGCTAAACCTTTGCTCCCAACAGCTATTTCTCCAGTGTCACTTCTTTCCCTAAATGGGCTCTTAATACCAGTCAAGAAAAAAACACCTTTGGCAAAAGAGGTTAACTATAGGTGCATCCCCAATAATATACCTGTTGGCTTTAAAATTTGGACACGCGCAAGCCACGCTTTATGCATGTTTGGGACAGACCCAAGTTGGAACAAATGGGTCTGCCACTATCACTTCTGTTTTGAGTCTTAGTGACCAAATTTCCAGGAAACAAATACCTAAACTAGGGAATAACTACAGTGTGTGACTATTCTATGTAAAAGCCAATCTAGTATATATATATATATATATCAAGTGACTTGAATGATTTTCCTAACTTGTTTGCAACCAATAGATCATATTGAATGTTTTTATGTAAACTTTGTATCGTTGGGGAAGAACTACCCAATCAGAGATTTATATTTTCATAAATGTTAAATTTAGTTAAATTTTGTTACAGAGTTGTTTAAATTAGAAATCTATTGCTGTCTTCAAACAATATACAGTCTTGTGTATGCATTGTTTGTATGAATAAATATAAACTACATAATGAAACTAGGGCGTGATTTCTAACTTGTTTATTTCGCAAAAGCAAATTTCCTCCTGGTGTCGGTCCAGATGAGTAGCACAGTGCAAATGGAATTTCAAAGTTCTCTGCCGGTGCCCCACAGCTTTGCTGACCAGTGGCAATGAGCAGTAATCATCACTTAGTCTGAATAAAATCCCATTCCCAAGGCTTTGTAACTTGCTAAAATAATGGTAAGGCGTGAAATCAAATGGAAGGATTTTCAGACAGCTGAGGAGCACAGTTCCCAATGATACTCATTGAGTTCTGTAAGACAGAGAGCTATAAGACAGAGAGCTACAGCTGGTTAGATTGTAGATGGAGGGGGGACACTTGCTCCCCTTAAAAACCTGGAACACTGGTTCAAGGTTAAGGTGAAGCTAAGCCCCTGCCTCAATGGACTATACAACTTCTATTCTTCCTGATCTAGCTACATTACTTTACCAAGATAAATTAATGGCCGCCAGTTCCTCCTATGGAAAGAAAGTACTTCACTTAAGGATTGCAGTGGAAGGATGAATCTGCCCACTGTGTATTACACTACAGTGGTACCTCTGAATGCGAACGGGATCTGTTCCAGAGCCCCATTCGCATCCAGAAGCGAACGCAACCTGCGTCTGCGCGTGCACAGGTCACAATTCGCCGCGCATGCGCATGACGTCATTTCTACCGTCTGCGCATGCGCGAGCAGCGAAACCCGGAAGTAATGCGCTCCGTTACTTCCGGGTCGCCGCAGCGCACAACCCGAAAATACTTATCCCGAAGCTACTTCAACCCGAGGTATGACTGTAAAATGATCAGCTGTTCCCTGATAAAGATCCCTCTGGAAATCATATATACCTGGCTGGACTTGTTGCAAATATAATAGCAATACATGGTTTTTATACAGTGAGCCTTTTCCTTAACTTTTCAAAGCATTTCACATATGCAGTCACGAAAATACCCTGTAAGAAAGCCTTGTTCTGTTGTGCCCATATTAGCAAGAGCTAGTTGTGACTTGGGGGTGTTAGGGGAGAGTTAGTACCTCTGGTGGGGGACACATCGTGCTTCTTCTGCGGTAGTTAGTCCACCTTGGATCTGCACCTTGCAGTCAGATCTCACCTGTGGCTCTTAGAAGCTGTTGGTGTACAACAGTGGCCACACCACAGGAACAGTTTCAACTGGTTGGCTAAACCAGATGAGGGTAGCCAATGGGTCTCAAACCCTCAATATGTACAGACTTCCTCTGCATGCAAAGACAGGCTCTGACATATTGAACAGACATGGCCAATAGTGGATCCAACAGTCAAGAAGGTCGTTTCTGCACAAGGTGTAGAGGGAAATGAGGGGCAGATGGGGCTCATCAACTTGGGAAGGTAGCCCTTCTTGGAAAACGCTGGTCCTAAACTTCTGCTACCTTGTGGCATATCTTCAGGAGAAGGAAAGATGTTGTTGTTTAGTCATGTCCAACCCTTCATGACCCCATGGACCACAGCACGCCAAGCATGCCTGTCTTCCATTGCCTCCCGTAATTTGGTCAAACTCATGCAGGTAGCTTCAAGAGCACTGTCCAACCATCTCGTCCTCTGTCGTCCCCTTCTCCTTGTGCCCTCCATCTTTCCCAACATCAGGGTCTTTTCCAGGGAGTCTTCTCTACTCATGAGGTGGCCAAAGTATTGGAGCCTCAGCTTCAGGATCTGTCCTTCCAGTGAGCACTCAGGGCTGATTTCCTTAAGAATGGATAGGTTTGATCTTCTTGCAGTCCATGGGACTCAAGAGTTTCCTCCAGCACCATAATTCAAAAGCATCAATTCTTCTTCATGGTCCAGCTCTCACTTCCATACATCACTACTGGGAAAACCATAGCTTTAACTATACGGACCTTTGTTGGCAAGGTGATGTCTCTGCTTTTTAAGATGCTGTGTAGCTTTGTCATTGCTGTGTAGCTTTGTCAGGAAAGACTACACAGATCCAGAGTGGAGTCCCTAAGACGGTTGGATAGTGTCTTCTTTGTATGCCTCCTTGTAGGCCAAGAGGTCTTTGTCAACTGGGCAGCCCAGGACCTTCATATACACTGCCCAGGCTTGCACCCTGGAGAGATCACTTCAGTGCTGCTAATGCAGAGGTTTGACTTCACCCCCGGAGGCGCACTCCATTGTCTTTCGAGACAGATGGATGCCAACAACATGTGGTAGCTTGGCTAAGACCACCAGAGAATTGATGTGAACTTCCCAATTCTCAACTCACAAATGGAACCACTGCAAACATTCCTGGACTACAGATTGCAAAACAGTGGGTTGCAGTAGAGAAATGGGTCTTGGTAGACTTAAGACCAGGCTGACAGCAATGCTTAGCAGGAGGGAAAGCAGAAGAAATTGTGGGGAGGTCACATGTCAAGAGTTCTACTGCCATGAGATATAGTGAAGATGTGGGTCACACCAAGCAGAGGCAAGAAGCTTGCCCTCCACAATTGGAACACATTTGCTATTGTGGCCACAATTACAGTTTCGTTCTCTAATTCGCATGGAGGGTTTGGGATTAATAATTTTGGAGGAAAGGTAAACAGCTGTATATTGCAGCTAGATGGCGCAGTTGACTTGTTTTCCCCTCTCTGAACACCTGTCAGGGCATATTCACTGAAGACACAAGTAAAAGGGCACTGCTTACCTGCCATTGAAGTCAGTGTCCAAACTCACAATCACTGTAGCAAGTTGGGTCTGCCCTTGAAATATTCTATACAGTCGTCCTTTGGTTTTCAAACAGATTAGTTCTCGAAAGTTTTGGCACCCGAACGCCACAAACCCGGAAGTGATTGTTCCTGTTTTTGAACGGTTTTTGGAAGCCAAACGTCTGACGCAGCTTCCGTTTGGTTGCAGGAGCTTCCTGCAGCCAATCAGAACTGCACTTTGGTTTCTGAACGTTTTGGAAGTCAAACGGACTTACGGAACAGATTCCAAGGTACGACTGTATATCCATATGGAGATGGGGAGAACCAGATGTCAAATCCTACTCAACCTTTATCACTGCCAATAAAAACAGCCACGTGCAAGAGTAAATTTTAATAGCTTTTTTATTTTCCACAGTTTGGCATGATAGCCATTCCCTTAATTCATCAAGGATGTAGTCAGTGGAGTTTGGACAACTAGAAACATTAATTCTCATAGCCAGGGCCAGCCAACCCATGAAATAACTGCCTCAGGTGGCAGGATCCACAGAGGCAGCAGATCCCAATGTAGATCCCCTTGTTTCTGATGTCAATCTTCACTCACTCCTCCTTCGGCGGAGAGAGGGGCACCATTTTGTGGTACTCCTCAAGCGCCAAAATGTCTTGGGTCAGCCCTGCTCATAGCTAAATTACTTGCACTATATTCCCTATTATCCTAAAGGCTGTATGCAGATAACACTCCTTTATTCATCTTCATGGGGGGAAAACATTGACATTGGTTGCTGCTATTCCTACTTTACAACAAGAAGCTGAGTGAATGAGCCAGCTTTCCGAAAGCAACTTCTGGTGCCATTTACCAGAACCATACCTTGTTATGCCAGAGATTTCCAAACTTCCTTTCTATGAATATTATTTCCATTTTTTCCTGCAAAGGAACATTTATGGAGGATTCTGGAGTATATTCTAGAGCAGGGGTCAGCAAACTTTTTCAGCAGGGGGGCCGGTCCACTGTACCTCAGACCTTGTGGTCGGGGGGCGGACTATATTCTTTTTGAGGGGAGGGGAAATGAACGAATTCCTATGCCCCACAAATAACCCAGGGATGCATTTAAATAAAAGCACACATTCTACTCATGTAAAAACACCAGGCAGGCCCCACAAATAACCCAGAGATGTGTTTTAAATCAAAGGGCACATTCTACTCATGTAAAAACATGCTGATTCCTGGACCGTCCGTGGGCCGGATTTAGAAGGCAATTGGGCCAGATCTGCCCCCCCCCCCAGGCCTTAGTTTGCCTACCCATGGCTTATGCAAAGGAGCATTCTGCTCAATGTAGGCTTAACATTTGCATTATTACCTAAATTAAAACAACAGCTGCTTTTTTTAAACCCATGAGGGTAGAAGTTCCTTAGCCTACAGCAATGGAAATAAAGAATGGCTCTGTGATTTGCAATTCTGTATCCCAGAAGCCCTTTCTTACTCCACACTCGCAGTCTTCGTTTTCTTTTCTCTCTCTCTCTATATATATAAATAATATTTTTATTGGTTTTCATTATAACAAACATAACAATAAACATCAAGAAATAAACAAATTAAACAACTGTATCATTTTGCATAATGTTTGTACATTCAATACAGTACCGAAATATGGGATTTCTCCAATCCCCCGACTTCCCTCTACCCCCTCCATTATTTCATGGTTAAATCGCGCATGTCCAAATCATATTTCCATCCATTCATATCTATTTTTATCTATTATGATAGTATTGCAAGTGTTTTTTAGAATCCTGCTGATGTATTTACTTGTATACCATGCTTTGTCATATATGCAATAAAAGTTCCCCATTCATTTTTAAATTTGTTAGCAATCCTGATTTCTAAGTCTACCAGTTAGTTTGGCCATCTCTGCATATTCCATTAACTTAATTTGCCCAAAAAAATGTGGGAATTTTCCCCTCTTTCCAGCATTGGACTATCAATATTTGTAGTCAAATAGATGAAAATATTTTTATTTATTTGTATTTCTCTTCCTATAATTCCTAATAGGAGGGCTTCTGGTTTTTTAACGAAGGTTATTTTAAACATTTTCTTCAGTTCATTATGTATAATTTCCCCCAAAAAAATTATACCTTAGCACTGTCACCACATATGATAAAATGTACCTTCTACTTCTTTACATTTCCAACATTTCTTATCTTCTGATTTATACATTTGCGATAACTTGACTGGTAGTAAGTACCACCTATACATCATTTTTAGTCTTCATTTTCTTCCCTCCGTACAGTGAAGGAACTCTCATGCCTTTCCACCAAAACCGGCACCCAAATTTTGGCAACTAGTCGTGCAGAACTCTTGCGTGCCAAAAGGGTGCACAGGAACACCTCAGGCAGCCTAGTTCCTTGTGTGACGTATGCACCTTGCTTCCTTCAAGTCTATCTCTTTGAAGCTACAGTCCTTACCTGGAAGGAGGTATGTGACTGAAACCAATGGCACATAATTAGCAGATTAATCATTAGAATCATAGAATCATAGAGTTGGAAGAGACCACAAGGGCCATCGAGTCCAACCCCCTGCCAAGCAGGAAACACCATCAGAGCATTCCTGACATATGGTTGTCAAGCCTCTGCTTAAAGACCTCCAAAGAAGGAGACTCCACCACACTCCTTGGCAGCAAATTCCACTGTCGAACAGCTCTTACTGTCAGGAAGTTCTTCCTAATGTTTAGGTGGAATCTTCTTTCTTGTAGTTTGGATCCATTGCTCCGTGTCCGCTTCTCTGGAGCAGCAGAAAACAACTTTTCTCCCTCCTCTATGTGACATCCTTTTATATATTTGAACATGGCTATCATATCACCCCTTAACCTCCTCTTCTCCAGGCTAAACATTGCTAGGCTCAAGGCTGTGAAAGCCAGCCTTTGCTTCTCATAGGCTTGCCAGCTCTTCAATCACCTCTGTAGCTATGTCTTTAATAGCAATTTGATGTGCAGATCATAGAGTTGGAAGGGACCCCAAGGACTATCCAGTCCAACCCTCTGCAATGGAGGAATCCCAACTGAAGCATCCATGACAGATGGCCATCCAACCTCTGCTTAAAAACCTCCAAGGAAGGAGAGTCCACCACCTCCCGAGGGAGACCCTTCCACCATCGAACAACCCTTACTGTCAGAAAGTTTTTCCTGATGTTGAGTCGGAATCTCCTTTCTGGTAACTTGAAGCCATTGGTTCGAGTCCTACGCTGCAGAGCAGGAGAAAACAAACTAGCTCTGTCTTCCATGTGACAGCCCTTGAGTTATTCACATGTGGTTACGTGTATACAGTGGTACCTCGGGTTACAGACGCTTCAGGTTACATACACTTCAGGTTACATACACTTCAGCTTACAGACTCCGCTAACCCAGAAATAGTACCTCGGGTTAAGAACTTTGCTTCAGGATGAGAATAGAAATCGTGCTCCGGCAGCGCGGCGGCAGCAGGAGGCCCCATTAGCTAAAGTGGTGCTTCAGGTTAAGAACAGTTTCAGGTTAAGAACGGACCTCCAGAATGAATTAAGTACTTAACCCGAGGTACCACTGTACAGTGGTACCTCGGGTTACAGACACTTCAGGTTACAGACGCTTCAGGTTGCATACACTTCAGGTTACATACGCTTCAGCTTACAGACTCCACTAACCCAGAAATAGTACCTCGGGTTAGGAACTTTGCTTCAGGATGAGAACAGAAATCGTGCTCTGGCGGCGCAGTGGCAGCAGGAGGCCCCATTAGCTAAACTGGTGCCTCAGGTTAAGAACAGTTGCAGGTTAAGAACGGACCTCCGGAACGAATTAAGTTCTTAACCCGAGGTACCACTGTACTATGATTTTCTGCCCCTCGAGTTGCTGATAACAGCCACAAGTCCAGGCTGGTGTTTTGTTTTGGTCACCTGACGACCCTACTTAATGCTGGTAGAAATAACACACTCCAAAGGCACTTCTTGTCCCAGGGTCTCCTCATGTAAACAATGCCGGTGGTATTCTTTGGAAGGGAAATATCCAACAGAGACTTCTGACAGTGCTCTCCAATGCTACACTTGTCTGCTCAGGTGTCCCCTTGGGTGGAAAGGAGATCATGGGGAGCTTTTATTTCCATAGAGCACTGCCAAGAATAGTGGTGTTTCCAGTTCCTGAGCTCAATTCGCCCAGCAGGAAGAGAGCTGTCGATTTTGTGACTTCCAGAGGGGGGAAAGTACCGAAAACACACAAAAGCACGGTCACAAGAACCTTGCTCGGATTGCTACAGAAATAGCCATTGTGTAGTAAAGCCATCACGTGGGCTGCTGGAGGTTTGTTTGCCCTCCCCCCCCCCCATCCTGCAGGAGCAATGAAGTTTGGCAGGTTTCCTAGCTTGCAGGTAAAGGGTTACAGAGTCTAGGAAGTATTAAATGCAAACTTTAAAGGCTTTTATTTTCATCTTCCGTCACATGACTCCTGGGTGCCCAATGACACTCGCGACAGTGTCTCTCATGAGGAGGTCATGCAAACTCCCGCCTGCTAAAGGAGGCATTTGTTACATATTTAGCATTCAAATGCAGAAGCCGGGCTTAAGCTATGGGAGATCCTAATCAGGAGCCAGGTTCGTTTCCCCAACAGCGCAGAAGCTGCAGGTAAGAGAAGCTCTTCTCTCTTTCAAAACTTCTGCCGCTTTCCCTGCGAGGCTTTTGAAACTGAGACACCTGGCATAATGTTCTGTGTCGTAGCAGAAGGACTGTGATGCTACCTTCGGATAGAAACCTGTTAAGAGTTTCACTTGTTGCTGCAAGAAGCACTGTTGGGTTCTCCTTTAAAACGAGCAAGTACGTTCCTCTAGCCATCAGTGGCTCCAGACTTCCGAAAACTTCTCGTTTGCGCATTTCTTCAACAGATGGGTTGAGGTTGAATGGTGCTGAGGACAGGTGTTTATCGTGGGAACAGGGCTACTCGTGCATGAAAGGCTTTTTGAAGCACCCACACAATGTTGAAAGCGTCAGGTGCCAGCCTATATTTCCTCTCCCCAATTCCCTGGCAATTTAATCCAGATTTACCCTTGGGGTGGGATCTCATAAAGTGGGGAGACTGTCTGTTGTCAGAGACCTCTTTGTGATACTACCGGTTTGCAAATTAAGCCCCAAATATGGAGCTGAATATCAGGTTAATAGACTCCTGACTTTAAATTGTAACATGCATGGGGATGGGCAGCAACTGGTGGGAATTGCTTGGGGGGGGGAATAATATATATTTGGCACATGTCTCTTGAAAGTTTGTGATATGTTTTGTGTGAAAAGTGGCTTCGCCTATTGATTTCAAATTCCATGAAATTCAAGAGAATTCTTACCATTGAAAAAAAGTGAATGCATTAAATGCACCTTTGCAAACTTGTGTGTGATAACAGATACACAGATGAGGCTCTCTGATGAGTGAATGTTTGGCAGGGAACGTGGGTGGAAACATCTCGCATAAGAAGCTACTGGTTGGGGGTGTAAATGGGATTTTAAGGAAAGCAAGTGAAGAGTCTGAAAAAAATAGCATGCTTCTGATTCTAAATCAGGTGGATGTACAAATGTGAACTTAGGCAACGATTGTCTTGAGTTGCTGCTGTCAAGTTCTACATGTCCTGTGAAAGAAGGACAATGGCAGGAGAAAGGGAGTTCTCCCACCTCCGCCACCGGCGCTTTCCATTTGATGTAACTTGATGTCTTTTAGGAGATAGTTTTTGTTAAGACCACTTTGGGAATGGAAAAAATGACACCTAACAGCACACAACCCATAGCCAAGATCTGCTGGGATGATCAAGCCTGGAACAGACAGAGATTGTGGGCTGTGCCAGCAGAGCTCAGCTGGAGCCACATTGGCAGAACTCGCTCAGCCCAGCTGAGCCAGATCTATACTGGCTCAGCCAGCTTAAGCCAGTGAAACTTACGCTGGAGTAAGTCCCCCAAAAGTGTGGTTTGGGGTATAGCAGGGGCAGGATGGGCAAGGAGAGACTTACAACTACAGTCATACCTTGGTTTTCGAACAGCTTAGTTCTCAAACGTTTTAGCTCCCAAACGCCGCAAATCTGGAAGTGACTGTTCCGGTTTGCGAACTATTTTTGGAAGCCGAACGTCCGATGGGGCTTCCGTGGCTTCCAATTGGCTGTGGGAGCTTGCTGCAGCCAATCAGAAGCCACGCTTCTGTTTCCAAACGTTTTGGAAGTAAAACAGTTTTCCGGAACTGATTCCATTCGACTTCCAAGGTACGACTGTATTCCAAACCTCTTTTAGCTCAGTCATGTGACACGGCAACCAAGAGTAGACTTCAGTAATCTTTCGTGATATGGCGCCCCGTGTGAGGCCAAAATTTGGCACCTCCAAATGGATCTTCTCAATTATGGATCTTCTCAATTTGGCACCCTCTTGGCTCTGTGCAATTTAGGGGCAAATCACCCACAGCGCCTGCCCTAAATCAGACACGACTGGTAAATTAGCCGAACTTACACTGGTAAACAGAGTGCTTGTTTTCTTTCTGCTAGACTTGGGCCACCTCAGCCGTCAGTTGTCTCAATCCTGAACAGAGTTTGGAATAGGATGAATTTATGTTAGCATAAATTTCTCTGGCTTCCTATACAGTGGTACCTTGGATTACAGACGCTTCAGGGTACAGACGCTTCAGGTTACAGACTCCGCTAACCCAGAAATAGTACCTCAGGTTAAGAACTTTGCTTCAGGATGAGAACAGAAATCGTGCGGCGGCCCCATTAGCTAAAGTGGTACCTCAGGTTTAGAACAGTTTCAGGTTAAGAACGGACCTCCAGAACGAATTAAGTTCTTAACCCAAGGTACCACTGTACTTAGGATTGCTCTGAAACACACTTATTATGGCATAAGCTTTCACGAACTAGCATTGTCCTTTAGACATAAGCCAATGAAAGCATGTGGTATATAATAAAAGTATTAGTATTTAAGATGTTGCCAGACTCTTAGTTCTGTTGCAGGAAAAACAACAGTCACCTCGGGACAGTTCTACTTTGGGAATGAGCGGCCTATAAATCTAATGCTATGATTGTTCTAGAACACAATGGTGTTTTGCTGTGCTCCACTCACTGATCTTGTTAGTTACTGTGTCTGAGAATCCTGGTATCTATTTTTCTATCAGTTATTTCCATTGGGGATTTAAAAACACTTTGTGCACATACTGTACAGCCTTGTAAAGGTAAAGGTACCCCTGCCCGTACGGGCCAGTCTTGACAGACTCTAGGGTTGTGCGCTCATCTCACTCTAGAGGCCGGGAGCCAGCGCTGTCCGCAGACACTTCCGGGTCACGTGGCCAGCGTGACGAAGCTGCTCCAGCGAACCGGCACCAGAGCAGCACACGGAAACGCCGTTTACCTTCCCGCTATAAAGCGGTACCTATTTATCTACTTGCACTTAAGGGTGCTTTCAAACTGCTAGGTGGGCAGGAGCTGGGACCGAACGACAGGAGCTCACCCCGCCACGGAGATTCGAACCGCCGACCATGCGATCGGCAAGTCCTAGGCGCTGAGGTTTTACCCACAGCGCCACCCGCATCCCTCGTACAGCCTTGTAGATGTTTGCATAAAACATCTGAGGTGTCCCCTCAAAAAATTAGCTACAGTGTACCCTAGTATTACTGATTATTTTTATTTTTATTTTTAAAGGGAGGGGTATCCAGTCATGAACTTCCTGCCATTTTTTCTAGTTATGCCCAAGATTATGGTGATTGGTGGCTTCTGATTCAGGAGTAGAGATCTTGACCATTCTAGATGAAGTCATTCCTTCTTCCAAAGGTGAGGTAACTGCAGCCTGAAATGAGTTTCAGGATCCATCTTGGTATTCATGGGTCCCCTTGTGGCGGCCAAGTGAAAGGAGTGTTTTATATCTTGTTAACTACATTAGAAGGGACGCGGGTGGCGCTGTGGGTTAAACCACAGAGCCTAGGACTTGCCGATCAGAAGGTCAGCGGTTCGAATCCCCGTGACGGGGTGAGCTCCCGTTGCTCAGTCCCTGCTCCTGCCAACCTAGCAGTTCGAAAGCACGTCAAAGTGCAAGTAGATAAAGAGGTACCGCTCTGGCGGGAAGGTAAACGGCGTTTCCGTGCGCTGCTCTGGTTCACCAGAAGCGGCTTAGTCATGCTGGCCACAGGACCCGGAAGCTGTACGCCGGCTCCCTCAGCCAATAAAACAAGAGGAGCACCGCAACTCCAGAGTCGTTCACAACTGGACCTAATGGTCAGGAGTCCCTTTACCTTTACCTAACTACATTAGAAATTTGCTTGGAACTTGCAGCTGTTTCAGAGTCATTAATTAATGCCAATATTAGTGAGCTTATTTCACCAATGCTGAAGGAACTGAGTTTCAAAGTGCTGGTCTTGTCCGTCAAAGCCCTATATTGCTTGGGCTCTGCATATCTTGTGAGATGTCTACTCCAACCTTTTGAGGTCTACAGGGGAAGCCCCTGATGTAGGGTACAGCCTTCTTGATGGTGGCACCACTTTTTGGTACTAAGGAAAGAAAACAGGAGAGGATGCTGGCAATCTACTCAAATCTAGGGCATGCTATGGATGAAGCCTTGACTTTGGAGTGATCTTGACTCTGCAGTTGTTGCCAGAACTGATGGTGTATCGTGGGATCAGTTTCAGCTTAGACTGGAACTATTAACCAGTATCAAATACAGTCATACCTCGGGTTACAGATGCCTCAGGTTGCGTTTTTTCGGGTTATGGACACACAGAAACCTGGAAGTACCGGAACGGATTATTCTGGTTTTCAGCAGTCGTGCATGTGCATAAGCGCTAAATCGCGCTTTGCACATGCACAGAAGCACCAAATCGCAACCCGCACATGCACAGATCACGTTCACAACCCAAACGTCCACTGTATGCACTTTGAGGGAAGGTGCAGGTTGTGACAGAAGAACAGATCTATCAAAATCTGTTTTGCATGATACTGAAGTGGTATCTCTGTTTTCATAGTCTCTGAACACCAGATACAGGGAATAAATATCAAAAGTGGGTTCTTGTCTTTTCTATGGCCTATTTGTAAGGTATTTGGAACCATGTGACTAGCCACTGAATGCCAGGCGAAATGAACTCTCAGTCAGTTCTTACGTTCTTGGAACTTATAGATGTTTCCCACTGAAAAGTAAGGGGCAAGAAGTGCTTAGCTGAATGGCCCCTATACGTATATATATCTATTTAAGGAAATACAGACGATCGCTGCTACTGTTTGCTTGCTACGTCGCCAGTATGGGGAGGGAGTGGCCACCAAACTCTTTTATTGTGCCTTCACTTTTATTTTAAATCACGACTGTACATAGTGGCTGGGTGGGTCCTGGATATCCAGCATTGTAAGATACTCAAAGGTAAATGTGAGAGAGATGTTTAGTGACGTCATATGTTCCTGGAACACTTTAAAAGAGAATAGCAAATATTTGATCAGGGAGGTAAATACAACTGTTCAATGTCTTTGGCAAAACACCGATAAACCATTCCTAAGCGAATCTTGTCTTAGTCTGGATTTCATACCCACATTATTCAGAAGTGGCAAACAGGGCTTAGTATAAACTTGCTTTTTATAAACTGTCTCCAACGTATATTGGAATACAGTGGTACCTCGGGTTATAGACGCTTCAGGTTAAATACGCTTCAGGTACAGACTCTGCTAACCCAGAAATAGTACCTCGGGTTAAGAACTTTGCTTCAAGATGAGAACAGAAATCGTGCTCCGGCAGCTAAAGTGGTACCTCAGGTTAAGAACAGTTTCAGGTTAAGAACGGACCTCCAGAACGAATTAAGTTCTTAACCCGAGGTACCACTGTAGTCCTTTTGGACACTATATCTCTAAAACGTTATGAAAATATTAAATGCATATTATCCAGAAGTGCTCTTCCTGTAGTTGTAACTCTCCTTTTCTCCCTGCCTGAGGGCTTCCTTACACATTGCAGAAATCGCTTTTCCACTTCCTATGCATTTACAGTCATTTTCTCTGCGCCAGTGAAACTTTTTTGAGTCCCTGCTGAAGGCATTTAAACATGCCTACCCAGATGTTTAGAAAGTTTGTAGGAGTTTTAATTTGTTTTAGTCTATTTTATTGCGGTTTTAACCTTCTGTATGTTATCAATTATGGTTGTCAATTTTTTAGCGGTTATTTTTATTTTGTAAACTGCTCTGAGGTTTTTCCAAAAGCAAGCGGTACATACATTTTGTGAAATAAATAAATAAATAGCATCTCCTGCTCTGGCTTTCGGAGCAAAGTGTGTTGGTAAACTGACCATAATGGTGTGTGAGTGGTGCTTTTAACTTACCAACATTTAATAAAATGCATAATCCCACAATGAAATTGCTTGTGCTTATTATAGCACAGGGGTGGCCAACTCCCAAGAGACTATGATCTACTCACAGAGTTAAGAGCCAATGATCTACCTGTGATCTACCACAGACGTCCAGTGATCTACCAGTAGATCACGATCTACCTGTTGGACATGCCTGTTATAGCACAATTGCAATTCCAACATGTTTTACTGTCTGTTGTGGAAAGTAGCCAGTGTGCTGTCATTCTGTCGCCATTGAATGTTGTTCATTGCATTATTTATTGTGGTTCACCTGCCCTTAGGATTTTATCCTTAGAAATAAAAGGTGTGTACCCCTCCAAACCTCAGAGTGACCCCTGAGTCTGGTAATACCTTCCTCCTAGACAAAGGTGGTACTGGTGACTTGGTTACACTTCTATGAGCAAAGGAATGTTTAGAACTGGAAGTGAATTACAGTGATAAATTTGGCACTTTGGCGCCAATAAATGCTGGTCCAAAATCTCTTCCCTGAGGCAGCCGCTTCACGCTGCCTATTTACACAGGAATTCCCTTGATCTCTCAACCTGAGCCTCCTGGTCCACTTGCTGTGTTGTTTTCCAGGTGAAACTCAGAAAATTAGAATATTGTGGAAAAGTTCATTTATTTCAGTAATGCAACTTAAAAGGTGAAAGTAATATATGAGATAGACTCATGACATGCAAAACGAGATATGTCAAGCCTTTATTTGTTATAATTGTGATGTTTATGGCGTACAGCTGATGAAAACCCCAAATTAACCATCTCAGAAAATTAGAATATTAAATGAAATCAGCAAAACAAGGACTGCAAATAGAGCAATATTGGACCTCTGAGAAGTAGAAGCATGCACATGTACTCAGTACTTGGTTTGGGCCCCTTTTGCATCAATTACTGCCTCAATGCGGCGTGGCATGGATGCTATCAGCTTGTGGCACTGCTGAGGTTTTATGGAAGACCAGGAAGCTTCAATAGCAGCCTTCAGCTCTTCTACATTGCTCAGTGTCATGTCTCTCATCTTTCTCTTGGCAATGCCCCATAGATTCTCTATGGGGTTCAGGTCAGGCGGGTTTGCTGGCCAATCAAGCACAGTAATCCCATGGGCATTGAACCAGGTTTTGATACTTTTGGCAGTGTAGGCAGGTGACAAAGTCCTATTGGAAAATGAAATCAGCATCCCCATAAAGCTCATCTGCGGAAGGAAGCATGAAGTGCTCCAAAATCTCCTGGTAGACGGCTATGTTGACCCTGGACTTAATGAAGCACAGTGGACCAACACCAGCTGATGACATGGCTACCCAAATCTCTTTTCTGATGAGAGCAGCTTTTGCATCTCACTAGGAAACGAAGGACCCAGAGTCTGGAGGAAGAATGGGGAGGCACACAGTGCCAGATGCTTGAAGTCCAATGTGAAGTTTCCACAGTCTGTGTTGATTTGGGGAGCCATGTCATCAGCAAACTTTTTCAACAGGGGGCTGGTCCACTGTCCCTCAGACCTTGTGGGAGGCCGGACTATATTTGGGGGGGGGGGGGAGAAAAAAGAACAAATTCCTATGCCCCACAAATAACCCAGGGATGCATTTTAAATAAAAGGACACATTCTCCTCATGTAAAAACACCACACAGGCCCTACAAATCACCCAGAGATGTATTTTAAATAAAAGGACACATTTTACTCATGTAAAAACATGCTGATTCCCAGACCATCCAAGGGCCGGATTGAAAAGGCGATTGGGCCGGATCCAGCCCCCAGGCCTTAATTTGCCTACCCAGGGTCTAATTCTCCACTTTCATCGCAACTGTGATTCTCACATTAGTCTGACTACCTTTGATTGTTATTCTCCTACAGACTGTGGTGAGCCAAAAATCCGCCTTTTCACAGAATCATAGAGTTGGAAGGGACCACGAGGGTCATCTAGTCCAACCCCCTGCAATGCAGGTATCTTTTGCCCAATGTGGGATTCGAACCCACAACCCTGAGATTAAAAGGCTCATGCTCTACCGACTGAGCTCTCTCTTTTAACAAGTTAATTTTCCCACTACCATAATTTATGGCAGGAGGGAAATCTAAATGATCTGTTGCTGTCGTCGCTGACAATTGTTTCCATTGTGACTCACGCATCACCCGTTCCATTTCACACGGTCATAAATTCCAGAAACATTCATCTGTGTGCAAAATCAAAGAAGGGTTAAAAAAGTTCTATATAGGCCAACTAGGTGCTACGGAAAAATTAGCGTTCGATCTTAAATACAGTCAAGGGGCAATTCTCTGTTGTCCTAGAGCACGGGACTGGATCTAATGGGCTTAAGTTACAGGAGGGTCAGTTCAGGTTCAACATGCAGAGAAAAATGCTGTTTGCAATAAAAAATCATCATCAATCTTTATTACGGTCCAGAGACCCAACAAATCATTACAAAGCAATACACAATTCATACAGCCTACCTCCAGGTTAAACAAGCATATTGTTCAGAATATAGGGATCATTTGTTCTTCCAACCACCGATAAAAACTTGGCCACTGCTAATGTTCTAGCATTTGTCCGGTCTTCCAATAGGAACCTGACATAATGAGCCTCTGATTTTCCTGGGAAAGGTACCAGCAAGGGTAGTATCAGTTCAGCCCTGGCTTGCTCATATTTTGCGCAATGCAACAAAATATATTTTATGGAATCGATGTCTTGAGCACACAAGCAAAGTCTGTCCTGGTAGGGAACTCCTCTCAACCTGCCATCCGACACTGCAGAAGGAAAGACATTTAGTCTGGCTTTGGTGAAAAGCCTTCGATAGTTTGGTACTGTCAGGTTTTTAATGTAAGATGTTAACTTAAAGACATGCCCATATGGTACACAAAATAAAAAATTGTGTGATAGGAACCTGCTACCCAGAGGTCACACAGGTACGTGTACACAAGCAATCTTCTTTTTCAGGCTTTCTACTTTATATACAAAAGGTAGGGCACAATGATGTCACCTGTATGAGGAAAGGAGGAACTTCTCGCATGCTATCTTCAGTTAATTATTTCTATAAATATAAATCTACTGCCCAAATTCACCGGACTCTGGTTGACTTTTAAACAAGTTTTAATCGATTAGCCGAGCCCTTTAAACATTGCAATCTTAATGTTTCTAAGTTTGAATCATCCGAGGGTGCCTTTCGTCTGCCACTGTTTTTTTTCTGGGCGAAGGCTCCGTACATTTAGCACTCCTGGCAGATGTACAACAGGGGCAGCATTTTCCTATTGCTGTGTGCTGAGGGAACCCTACACCCACTGATGGCGGAAGTTATTGTGCAGTAGTTAAAGGCACGAGGCTTGGAGGGAGAATTGCATGGCCTTACCCTCCAACATTTCTCTGATGAAAATTTTGTTGTCGTTTAGTCGTGTCCGACTCTTCGTGACCCCATGGACCAGAGCACGCCAGGCACTCCTGTCTTCCACTGCCTCCCGCAGTTTGGCCAAACTCATGCTGGTAGCTTTGAGAACACTGTCCAACCATCTCGTCCTCTGTCATCCCCTTCTCCTTGTGCCCTCCATCTTTCCCAACATCAGGGTCTTTTCCAGGGAGTCTTCTCTTCTCATGAGGTGGCCAAAGTATTGGAGCCTCAGCTTCACGATCTGTCCTTCCAGTGAGCACTCAGGGCTGATTTCCTTAAGAATGGAGAGGTTTGATCTTCTTGCAGTCCATGGGACTCTCAAGAGTCTCCTCCAGCACCATAATACAAAAGCATCAATTCTTCGGCGATCAGCCTTCTTTATGGTCCAGCTCTCACTTCCATACATCACTACTGGGAAAGCCATAGCTTTAACTATACGGACCTTTGTTGGCAAGGTGATGTCTCTGCTTTTTAAGATGCTGTCTAGGTTTGTCATTGGTTTTCTCCCAAGAAGCGGGCGTCTTTTAATTTCGGGGCTGCTGTCACCATCTGCAGTGATCATGGAGCCCAAGAAAATAAAATCTCTCACTGCCTCCATTTCTTCCCCTTCTATTTGCCAGGAGGTGATGGGACCAGTGGCCATGATCTTCGTTTTTTTGTTGTTGAGCTTCAGACCATATTTTGCGCTCTCCTACAACAACAACAACAACAACAACAACAACAACAACAACAACAACAACTTTATTATTTATACCCCATCCAGCTTCCAACATAATAAAAACATAACGAAACATTAAACTTTTTTAAAATTAAAAACCTTCCCTATACAGAGCTGCCTTCAGATGTCTTCTAAAGGTGGTATAGTTACTTATCTCCTTGGCTCAGGGGGTCACATAACTCCATTCCCTCCAACATTTTTTCGATGAAAATAGGAACGCCCTAAGCAAAAGTGGGACATTCTGGAATCAAATCAGAAACTGGGATGGCTTCTGTAAGTCCGGGGCCGTCCTGGGAAAATAGGGACACTAGGAGAGTCTGCATGACAGGCTGGCTAATGGTGTAACTGTTTTTAAATGGTTGAAGCAAGTTAATACAGTCATACCTCGGGTTGAAATAGCTTCGGGTTGAGCGTTTTCGGGTTGCGCTCCGCGGCGACCTGGAAGTAATGGAACATGTGGTTTCGCCACTTGCGCATGCGCAGACGCTAAAAATGATGTCACACACATGTGCGGAAGTGGTGAATCGCAACCCGTAGACGTGGGTTGCGTTCGCTTCAGGATGCGAACGGGGCTCCGGAACGGATCCCATTCACATCCAGAGGTACCACTGTAAAAGGAATTAATTAAAATGAGGCAGACTCTACACACTGAGTGACTGCAGTCGTAAGCAATTAAATGGATTAGGAATGCCTGCCAAAGCCCAAAATCCCTTTGCTTATGGAGATGTTTGTGGTACCTGTGGCTGGTAAGAAGGATTTTGTGTTCTTTTCTTGACCTGCTATATGCCCTTAGCGGTTCTTATTTCCTCCCTGCTCAGTGACATCAGCTTAATGCCCACCTAGCAATGGTTTTCTCCCGTAACACCACACACCTGTCACATTTTAAAAGCCAAACAACAAATGTAACACCGTACAGCCCTGCAAGTGAACTGCATGGTCGCAGACAATGTGATAATTAACAAAGAATAGCTTCTTACTGCCGGAATACCAAAGCAGAAAACAAAAGCTGGGCAGATTACCCAGCCGTACTTTTTCCTGGTTGCAAGTTGATGATTAAGAGCAAAGCAAGCACTTTGTTTTCGTCCTGGCAGAGTTCCTTTAACAGTTTCCTGACAGGTAGAAATTCAGTAAGGCGATTCTTTACCTGTCATTGTATTCCCACGCCAGGTAAGACTGCACCTGTAGTGTGTGTCTTTTGTGTTTTGCTTGCCATTCAGATATTAAAGGCACAGGAGTCCGGCAGGAGAAAAAGCTGGCAACCATTCAGAGCTAGCAGCGTTCGAAACTCCCATTGTTCAACACAGGTTTTGTGACAGGGAATTTGATGAATGCGAGCAGTTTCTGAGCTCTGGGAGCAGTACGGCGCACCTAAGATTTCAGATTAAAACTGCCACTGCTGGAACAAAAGGAGGACCTTTTTCTGCCTCTCCACTTCCAGCCACTCTCTGAGGGCTGGAGAAGGGACCCTCATAAGAATATTAGGGGGGCGGGCAGGGGACGTATGGCTTTGTTTTTTGCTGTCTTCAGATGAGGACTAGACCATGTGAAAAATGAATATAAGCCTTTAGCTGCAGTTCATTCATTTTCAGCTTTGTATTCTTGTTACTAAAAAGTGCACCGAGACATTCTGTTGTTGTGCCCATAACCTAGGTTTAAGGTGCCATTTAGCTCCTAGCTTTCATATCTTAGTTTCTAACACTGAGGGCTAGTATATTTAGAGTGGTTTTACTTCCTTTTTTCCTCACCTGCTTTCGGCATTACATCTCCTATTTTAATATTAAATTAATTTAGGAAGTATTTCCATACTACTAGTTTAGCACTGTTATATGACTGTGAATCACGTTCCTGCGAATTACAGTTCAGTTTTAGTTCCGTATTCAAACTGTTTGGCCACTTCATTGACAGGATGCTGAACTAGATTGGGCCTTCCAGCAGGCTCCTCTTACGTAATTCTACAAAAGAGTACAGTGGTACCTCTAGTTACGAACTTAATTCGAGAAGGCGACCATATTTAATCGCCAAGAAAGCCATTTCCAGTTGTTGTTGTTGTTGTTGTTGTTTAGTCATGTCCGACTCTTCGTGACCCCATGGACCAGAGCACGCCAGGCACTCCTGTCTTCCACTGCCTCCCGCAGTTTGGTCAAACTCATGCTGGTAGCTTCGAGAACACTATCCAACCATCTCGTCCTCTGTCGTCCCCTTCTCCTTGTGCCCTCCATCTTTCCCAACATCAGGGTCTTTTCCAGGGAGTCTTCTCTTCTCATGAGGTGGCCAAAGTATTGGAGCCTCAGCTTCAAGATCTGTCCTTCCAGTGAGCACTCAGGGCTGATTTCCTTAAGAATGGAGAGGTTTGATCTTCTTGCAGTCCATGGGACTCTCAAGAGTCTCCTCCAGGACCATAATTCAAAAGCATCAATTCTTCGGCGATCAGCCTTCTTTATGGTCCAGCTCTCACTTCCATACATCACTACATTTCCAGTTACCACCTGCCTAATGTCAGGTGCTGGGAGAACCTCAGTGAGAGCATCCTTCATCCTTCTCTGGGTTTGGGCAGACAGATCTTCTACAAGGGCGCTCTGCCTTTAAAGCAAGTGCGTAACAAGCTGAAACTGAACAGGCAAAGCTGTTGCAAGCTGGGGAAGCCCTTTCCTCCATGAGACGTAGGTCATCATGCCACCTTTTTGCCCCTTGGTCTGCTGTACTTTTTAGGTTCCTAAGAAAACCAAAGAAGGTGTGAAGTCAATGCTGTTTCCATTTCTAGAGTTCTTTTCTGGAAAACTGTATTAGGGCCTAATCGTCCTTCATGATTATAGCACTGATTATAGAATTCAGTGCTACAATACATCTATAAAGGAGAAGCCAAATAAGGTGCCCTGGATTTCAAAGTTTTGCTGGATAAATAAACTTCACTTCTACTGTCTGAAAGAGGTTATTGTCTCTTTAAAACTTAAAAAAGGTCCGTGTTATCAGCATGTATTTTTGGTTTGCCTCCTCTGGGTGGGGCATGGAAAAGACAATATTTGCCTGCCTTGTGGTTCTATTCTTTTCACGCTTGTATATTGTATTCTCTTGCCCCACACCCCCAAATTTACCAGATGGATTTATGTCAGGCTTTTGTTTCAGTTGTCAGAATACAATGGTACCTCAGGTTACATATGCTTCAGGTTACAGACTCCGCTAACCCAGAAATAGTACCTCAGGTTAAGAACTTTGCTTCAGGATGAGAACAGAAATCGTGCTCTGGCGGCACGGCAGCAGCAGGAGGCCCCATTAGCTAAAGTGGTGCTTCAGGTTAAGAACAGTTTCAGGTTAAGAATGGACCTCTGGAACGAATTAAGTACTTAACCCGAGGTACCACTGTACATTGAACTGTGTATATATATATATATATATATATATATATATATATGCATTGTAAAGTTTCGTAATTATTAATAAATTTATGTCTATCCAAATAAATTAGCGTATGCAAATTTTATGCAAAACTGGGTTCCCTCCTCCCCCCCTTTTATGTTGCATTTCCTCTCTTTTTCGGTAATGCAGAATTGGGTACCACTTATTTTTTTCAGGCTTATCCACACAGGAGTTTGGTGTGGGTTTGAAACTGCAGGTGCCTTGTTAAGGTGGAACATTCTCCACATGGGCATTCATCCCCATCCACAGTGGGAAATTTAAATATATGTGCTCTTTTTCTTTTTCTCTCTGGGTTGCAACCCTGTTTCAACACAGAAATTGAATGAACATTCAACAAAATAATCATTTTAAAAAACAGAATCTATCGCCTCTTTGCCCTTGTGTCACACATTTCAGAGCAAGAAATGGCAGACTTGGAAACCTGTAATGTATCATGTTGTGACAAGGAAGAAACATCACAGTGTAGACTGGGTTTATTCTCTCCCAATTTCCTATAAAATAAGCTTCCAACAAAGAAACTTAAAACAATATAATCCTGAGACTAAAGTTACAGTCGCTTCACTTCAAAAATGAAACTTCTTCCCAACCTTTGGCCTAGCACGGCATTCCATAGATCATTTGTTTGCATGTCCTGGAAAGTGTCATTAAGGCACATAATTATCATATGCACCCTAAGGTGAAATACTGTGGTATCTATATAAGTAAAGGTAAAGGGACCCCTGACCATTAGGTCCAGTCGTGGCCGACTCTGGGGTTGCGGCGCTCATCTCGCTTTATTGGCGGAGGGATCTGGCGTACAACTTCCGGGTCGTGTGGCCAGCATGAATAAGCCGCTTCTGGCGAACCAGAGCAGCACAGGGAAATGCTGTTTATCTTCCCGACAGAGCGGTACCTATTTATCTACTTGCACTTTGACGTGCTTTTGAACTGCTAGGTTGGCAGGAGCAGGGACCGAGCAACGGGAGCTCACCCTGTCACAGGGATTCAAACTGCCGACCTTCTTTTTTTTAAAAAAAAGATATTTATTAAAGTTTCAACATATTACAAAAATAAGCAAAAAAAAGAAGAAGTAAAGAAAAAAAGTAAAAAATGAAAATACAAGATAAAAACAATTAAAAAAACAGATTAGTCTTTCCATGTCTTATCTTTCATTTGCTTGTTTCCCTGACCTCCTCACACCTCCCTTTTTTGTATTCCAGTTCAATTAGTTAGTTCAGCAAATCCTTTCCCTCTTTGGTTTTATCTTAATCTTCCATCTTAATATATTATAACTTTAAATTATCACCTATTAACAATCCATTTTTACATATTCCTTTATAACATTGCTGCTAAAAACCACTTAGCTTCAATCCAAAATCATTCTAACATTCATTAATTTTGCAGTATTTCTGTAAATAGTCTTTAAATTTCTTCCAGTCTTCTTCCACCGACTCTTCTCCCTGGTCTCGGATTCTGCCAGTCATTTCCGCCAGTTCCATATAGTCCATCACCTTCATCCGCCATTCTTCCAGAGTGGGTAAATCTTGTGTCTTCCAATACTTTGCAATAAGTATTCTTGCTGCTGTTGTGGCATACATAAAGAAAGTTCTATCCTTCTTTAGCACCAATTGGCCAACCATGCCCAGGAGAAAGGCCTCTGGTTTCTTCAGAAAGGTATATTTAAATACCCTTTTCATTTCATTATAAATCATCTCCCAGAAAGCCTTAATCCTTGGGCACGTCCACCAAAGGTGAAAGAATGTACCTTCAGTTTCTTTACATTTCCAACATTTATTATCGGGCAAGTGATAGATTTTTGCAAGCTTGACTGGGGTCATGTACCACCTGTAAATCATTTTCATAATATTCTCTCTTAAGGCATTACATGCCGTAAACTTCATACCTGTGGTCCATAACTGGGAACGAACTGCCGACCTTCTGATCGGCAAGTCCTAGGCTCTGTTGTTTAACCCACAGCGCCATCCGCGTCCCTCTATATAAGTAAGTGAAGCTATTACAGGCAGTGATGGAAGTGGAGAGGAGCTTCCATACCTTGGAAGCCGAACGGAATCCATTCCGGAAGTCCGTTCGACTTCCAAAACGTTCAGAAACCAAAGTATGGCTTCTTGTCCTGCAGCCAATCGGAAGCTGCGGGAGCCCCATTGGACTTCCAAAAATAGTTCACAAACCAGAACAGTCACTTCCGGGTTTGCGGCGTTCGGAAGCCAAAATGTTTGAGAACCAAACTGTTCACAAACCAAGGTACGACTGTATAGCTGAATGTCTTGAAAGGGTAGCAAATTCTTAGTTGCTTACTAACTGTGGTTGCCTTCTTAACAGCAGGTAGTGGGGAGAAGTATTTGAGTTATTTTTCTGCCTCAGAAGCCAAAATAACCCTGTTGACCTTGGGTAATATGCGCCTTGACTTGGCACCATTTTGTCCTTTGCCTCAGGCAGCAAAATGTCTTGAGCCAACCCTCCTCATTGTTTTGAGGCAATATGCTGTTAAAGGCTCAGCTGGGAGAAAAACAAGAGGAGTGGAATAAAGAATAAGGAAGAGTATTTCCCTGTGTATACAAGCCACTCCTGTTCATTGGCACCGTGAAGTTAAAAAACAAGACCTCACTGGAAAAGTTTACATACTACTTCTGAACATGTGGCATCACAAGCTGCCCTCGCTAGGCTGGAACCTCATTTTTTGTTGGTAACTTTAGGTGAACAGAGAGCCTATTCTTCTTGAGAGGGAAAAATGGATTAAATGGCTAGTTGGCCGGACTCCAGACAATGCTAAATCTCTTAAAGGAACAAATGTTTTCTTCAGCTTTTAAGCATTGTTCCACTGCAGGACTGCAAAAGACTGTAAATAACATTAAGATAAAGAAATCAAACACCTTTCCATTCAATAGCAGGATGGAAATAGAAACTGTGCTTCACAGAGGCCTCACCGTTATAGTCTTTCCCCTGTATATATGGATTGCAACCTGCCCCTTGGGTCAATTAATTGGCTTTGCAATTCACTAAGACACAATTGCTTGGATTTGAACATTTTACTTCAAATGGTTGTGGCTTTATAAGAATGCAAGTCCTCCTGTCACATCTCTTATAAATGTGTCAAGGAAATTCTTTTTGTGAGAGATAAATCAATTGGGGGAAAGTATCTTAGGTCTGAGATACAGATTAAATTATATGTTCTACACAGTTGTTGAACCCTGTCTTTTTTATATAAAAAAGAGACAAAATTGAACGTGATGTTGGACTGGGAATAGACCGATTTGAAACAATTTTCGTGAGAAAAGTATTGAGAGACCACAATCTCATACCTTCCAACATTTATCCAATGAAAATTACCTCACAATGTACAAGGGAAGGGTATGAAATAAAGTTTTTAGCTGTAAGCTAACTTGAGTCCCTGTCATGGAAAATGGCAGGGGAGGAGGAGAAGAAGAAGAAGAAGAAGAAGAAGAAAAAGAAGAAGAAGAAGAAGAAGAAGAAGAAGAAGAAGAAGAAACTGTGAGAATGATCAGGAACATACCAGAAAGTAAATCCTATTGAACTCAGTGGGACTTAGTTCTAAGGGGAAAAATGTTTAGGATTGCAATGTAAGACTGCACAGTCTTTACCCAGTTACCTGGGAGTAAGCTCCATTGAATACAGTGGGACTTACCGTATTTTTCGCCCTATAGGACGCACTTTTTCCCCTCCAAAAATGAAGGGGAAATGTGTGTGCGTCCTATGGGGCAAATACAGGCTTTCGCTGAAGCCTGGAGAGCGAGAGGGGTCGGTGCGCACTGACCCCTCTCGCTCTCCAGGCTTCAGGAAGCTCTGCGCAACCCTCGGGAGCCCGGCGCGAAGCCGCGCCGGGTTCCGGAAGGTTGCACAGAGCTGCCTGTGCTCCCGGGCTCCGTGCAGTTCTGCGCAACCCTCGGGAGCCCGGCGGGAAGCCGCGACGGGCCCCCAAAGGTTGCGCAGAGCTGCCTGCATTCCGAAGCCTCGGGCGCACTGAAGAGCGCACCCGGGCTTCGCGCAACTCTCCGCAAGCCTGGGGACACCGGCGCAGCTCCCTAAGCTTGTGGATAGCAAGCTGTTCTGGGGGCTGGGGTCGGGGGAAGCTCGGGCTTCCCCCGCACCAGCCCCGTGCCTGGGGGGGAAATAATTTTTTTTTTCTTTATTCCCCCCACCAAAAAAAACTAGGTGCGTCCTATAGGGCAGTGCGTCCTATGGGGCGAAAAATACGGTACTTCTCAGTAGACAGTGTAAGCCTCCATTTACAATAAAGGAATAAACACTCCACATGTTTCCTTAAAAATGGCTGGCAGCTGAAGCATTGCAGTGACATTTTCCTTCAAAATTATAGGAAGGGCTTCGTACGCTTTCAGGAATTTTATTTTCAGTATAAACAGAACTCAGTTTCTTGCACCTACACACACACACAACCACTTTTAATTGTTCTCCAAGACATAGAGGGGAGGAAAAAGAGAAGCCGGGACGTTCTGGGATCAAATCAGAAACTAGGGTGGCTTCTGTATTTTCGGGACTGTCCCTGGAAAATAGGGACATCTGGAGGGTATGCAATCTTTCTTTTCATGCTGAACAGTTGCTGGTGTGTAGACGGACTGGATGCGTAGGGATTGTGCCAAATGGAGAAGGAACTGGAAAGTCTTGTGTGTATCCCAAAGCACCAGTCTGTAACGTCCCCTAGGCCAGAGTGATCCATTGTGAGCTCTTCTTGGCCTTTGTGTTAGATGGTAAGGTAAAAAGGTAAAGGACCCTGGACGGTTTAGTCCAGTCAAAGGCAACTATGGGGTTGCGGTGCTAATCTGGCTTTCAGGCCGAGGGAGCCGGCATTTGTCCACAGACAGCTTTCCAGGTCATGTAGCCAGCAGGACTAAACCGCTTCTTGCACAATGGGGCACCGTAACGGAAACCAGAGCACACAGAAATGCTGTTTACCTTCCCGCCGCAGCGGTACGTATTTATCTACTCGTACTGGTGTGCTTTTGAACTGCTAGGTTGGCAGGAGCTGGGTCAGAGCAATGGGAGCTCACTTCGTTGCAGGGATTCGAACCACCAACCTTCCAATTGGCAAGCCCAAGAGGCTTAGTGGTCTAGACCACAGCACCACCCACATCCCTAGATGGTAGGCTCAATGGATCATGGACTCATCTTGGATATTCACATTGCAAAGCGCTTGTACACTGTGTAAAAAGAATTTAATTGCAGAGTGTGAGCAAGAACCAGGCTTTGTTAACAACGCAGCACTTGGACATGTCTTCAGTGCTTGTGCTTGTCTTTATCTTACCTGATAGCCAATAACTCTGTCACTGTTATCCTGCTCTGCAGAGGAATGGCCTAAAGCAGCAATTTGCCTGAGGCCATCCAACAGGAAAATAGCTAAGTCACGGATCTGAACCCAAGTTGAGGGTGAATGTTGTGTCCTCGGGGCCATTACTGGTTCCATGCCTTGTGCCCTTTAGTGGAAAGATACAGCTGAAGTTATCCTGCTGTTGTTGCCATTGTTTTAAACTATCCTGCCCATTTTTTCCTTAGCATAAGAAGCGATAAGTTTAGAGCAGGTGGAACAAAGTGTTTGCAGTGCGTTCCAGTGAACCCCAGAAATATTTTCATTTCTGTTTGCCTTCCAGCTTTGAGAGTTGATAGTAAATGACAGTACTCTCTCAAGTTTTGCAATCTGTCACACTGAAAATGCAATCTCAGCTATTATCTCTGTCTCCTTAGGAAACAACAACAAAAAGTACTGTTTTCTTCTCTAACACTCACTGCCTCCATCTATATATCCTATTTAGTTTTTAGGGAGTTAGGATTATTTCTCCCCTTTCAAAATCCTGTTTAAGTCTCTTAAAGCATGTCTCATGATGTTTGGGTCTGCAAATCATTAGTTCTGCAAACTTCATGGCAAATCCCTTCCCCCCAATTTTGTTCCAGTCTGATGTGGAGAAGATGCTGAAAAATTGAAAATACTCATTTCATGTTCCTAACACAAGTTAAAACTGAATTATTCTAAACCTTCAATTTGCAATAGGTGCAGATAATCTCCTAGCAGTTGAGAGCTAAACCAAGGACAGTGGTACCTCTGGTTATGAACTTAAGTCATTCCGGAGGTCCATTCTTAACCTGAAACCATTCTTAACCTGAGGTACCACTTTAGCTAATGGGGCCTCCTACTGCCGCCGTGCCGCCACCGCGTGATTTCTGTTCTCATCCTGAGGTAAAGTTCTTAACCTGAGGTATTACTTCCAGGTTAGCAGAGTCTGTAACCCGAAGTATTTGTAACCCAAGGTACCACTGTAAAGAGCTAGTATGGTTGCATTCTGTTCTATAAAGACCCTAGATGCATGACTCTTTGCTCTCAAAATACAATGAAGTTCATCACAGATATTTCTTTGACTAAAGCAGTTTTATTTAGTCTCTCTTTCTGTTAAGTTAAGCTTTCATGGCATACCGTTTTGCTATAAGAGCAAAAGAGGGAATAAATAAAATTAAATTTCAATTTAACAAGTTGCAACTTGAATTGAATTGAATTGTTATGTCTTCAGTGGTCTGTGTTTGCCTGAGCTTGAGTCTGGAGCCCCTGGACTAAGGAATCTGAGCATATGTTCTGATTCATGATATCCAATCACAGAACATTTCAGGATTTGGGCCTCTGCCATTGGCCCTTAAATTCTGACTTATGATTCGCAGCTTGGAAGTTTGGACAGCCAATCACGTTGGGAGTGGCCCAGGCCTTCAGAAATCTATATAAGCAGTTGCTTTGCCCCTGTTTTCCAGTTCTGTTTGTTCAATAAAGATTCTTGCTATTATCACTGTGCCTTGCCTTGTGGGAACACTTCATAAATAACCAACAAAACCAGCCTTATTTGCTCTGCTGCTGAGGGTATAAAAAAGGCCCAGTTCACTGTCCTGCTGACCAAGGAACTCTGTTGAACACTGGCCCATTTTTATTCTAACAACCTATTGAGATAGGCTAGATTGAGCTGGATTTGATGATGTACAGCTGAATGTGTGGAACCAGCTCCACTGAAAAGCATTACTTTGGAGATGATGTGAGATGCAGGCTCTGTTCTGTGACCTTTCACCATTCGCACATGCAATCCATCGCATTACGTCGCAGTGATCAAATAATGTATACGCACATGTGAACAAGACCTTGGTCTTATGAAGAGGTCTTTTGGTTGGCTGACCCATTGCGGATCATGTGCAGTTTTGTAATATCAGAAGAATCAGGAAACATACAATATCTGTTAACTAAATGCACCCTTTGATAGGCCTGGCTCCCTTAGGCACAGTGCGTGTTAATCAGTGTTTTACTCAAGAGCCACAGCCAAAGCAGTAATAATTATTCAGTGAAATGCATGATTACTATCACAAATGCTTTCATTCCTAATTATTGCTATTATATTCATGAGTCGGAAACTGAGGCGACTTCTAGGGAAGCAGCACACACAAGGTTACATGGGAATCTATGCAGAGAATTAAGCTACACACCACCATCTCTCCCACAATGCACTATGTGTGCTATACTTTTCCTACTACAGTGGAACCTTGGTTCCCAAACAGCTTAGATGCCGAACAAATCGGCTCCCGAATGTAATTGTTCCGGTTTGTGAACGTTTTTCGGAAGCCAAACATCCGGCACATCTTCCGTGGCTTCCGTGCCTTGGTTCTTGAACCATTTTGGGAATCAAACAGACTCCCGGAACGGATAAAGTTCTGGAACCAAGGTTCCTCTGTAGTGGTAAATGAAGCTTGCGTTCTGCAGACATAGATATATTTCTTGCAGTCTCTAGAAGGGTCTGTTCTCCCAAAGCCAAGTCTGAAGAGGCAGCTGCATTCCCAAAGCCCAACATTCTCTTCCACTTGCAATGGATTGACTTGCTCTATATTCAAAAGACCACTTGCTGTTAGCATCAGTCTGTCTCAGAACCTGTCTTCAGAGGTAAAGTCAAACCATTGTGGGGTTGCAGTGCCTGCTGTGGCTGTAGAGACTGATAACAGGAGAGACATGTTTTGTTGCAGCTGGGGCAGATGAAGACGTTTCTTCTCTCTGTGCTCCTTCCAGTTCTTCCTTCCTTCCATTCCTCCTCTGATCATTGCTGCGGATGCACAACCTGACTGTCTGTCTCCAGGTGTTGTGATCATGTGCAAGGGCTACACGGTTGATGTTGCCAGCCTTCGTGTAATGTTTGCAGACATCTTTATAACACAGAGTTGGTCTGCCAGGGGGACTAGTGCCCATAGAGCATGTCCTTAAGCATCCTGCCATCTCCCATTCTGCAGACAGGACCAAGCTAGCATAGACATCTCTGACACAGGAGTGCAAAGCTGCTGCAAATGCAGTGGATGTTTAGACGTTTAATCGTGTCTGACTCTTTGTGACCTCCTGGACCAGAGCACGTCAGGCACTTCTGTCTTCCACTGCCTCCTGCAGTTTGGGCAAACTCATGCTGGTAGCTTCAAGAACACTGTCCAACCATCTCGTCCTCTGTCGTCCCCTTCTCCTTGTGCCCTCCAGCTTTCCCAACATCAGGGTCTTTTCCAGGGAGTCTTCTCTTCTCATGAGGTGGCCAAAGTATTGGAGCCTCAGCTTCAGGATCTGTCCTTCCAGTGAGCACTCAGGGCTGATTTCCTTAAGAATGGATAGGTTTGATCTTCTTGCGGTCCATGGGACTCTCAAGAGTCTCCTCCAGCACCATAATTCAAAAGCATCAATTCTTCGGCGATCAGCCTTCTTTATGGTCCAGCTCTCACTTCCATACATCACTACTGGGAAAACCATAGCTTTTACTATACGGACCTTTGTTGGCAAGGTGATATCTCTACTTTTAAGATGCTGTCTAGGTTTGTCATTGCTTTTCTCCCAAGAAGAAGGTGTCTTTTAATTTTGAGGCTGTTGTCACCATCTGCAGTGATCATGGAGCCCAAGAAAGTAAAATCTCTCACTGCCTCCATTTCTTCCCCTTCTATTTGCCAGGAGGTGATGTTGAGCTTCAGACCATATTAATGCAAATGCAGTGCAGAGTCTCAAATCTTTGTTTGAGACTCTTCCCTTCAATGTATGTTCACCACACTACCTGTCCTTGTAAAAAGGCGGGTTGTGGCATTAACAAATCCATATAGTAATATCCTTTTGGTTACTGTAATGTCCTCTGCTGAAGCAAACAGTAGCTTGCTAAAACTGAAATCGATTGTCCCAACAATGTGTGATAATTACAGAGGGCGAGAAAAGTTTCTAGTGTAGGTGGCTGCCACATGTCACAGCACTGACATTTCCTCCTGGTGTAGTTTCACAAACCTATTTATCACTTGCAACGTCAAATGATGGCTTGCACTTCTGAATGGGATACATCAGGTGCAGCTCACAAGATGGTGTGTCTGTGTTGCTTCACATCACCTGAAATCCAAAACTTTTGAGCAGGAACATTCCACGCATACATTTTTTTTAAAAAACTGAGTCTACAGCTTTCAATCTACACTCTATGTAGAGAAACCGAGTGGTGTACCTAGATGTGTGAACCTATATGGCTTGATTCAACTTCTTATTTCTTCTTTGCCGATCACTCGTAGCTGAGTAAGATTGTCTTCCATGAACACGGTTTTAACAGTGAGTCCGTAAGTGACTGTGGAGGCCAATTCTGGATCCACACGTCCTTCCACAGTGGGGATATAGGTTTCCGGGTGGGAGTTGATCATGGTGAGGGTTTGCCAAGTGTGTCTTCCTCTTAGCATGTTTCTTCCTTTCCTCCTGAGTTTGAGCGTCTTCAAAGCCCATGACACCTTTGGTAAAGGCTGTTCTCCAATTGGAGCACTCGCAGGCTAGTGTTACCCAATTGTCAGTACTACATTTTTAAAGATTTGCCTTGAGAGAGTCTTTCAACTAAGTTGTTCCCAGCACTAGTGCAATAGAGCTTCCATCACACACACCCTTTGACTCCTCCAGATGTGCTCTGGTGGGGTCAGGAGAAGCCCCAAAGCAGCCTGCAGGGGCAAGAGAGGGGAATTTGTTCCAATCGAGCAAGCAGAAATGCTTCTGCTGAAAGCACAATCTCCTCAGAGCTACTTTGAATTGCACCCTTAATCTCCAGAATATTCATGGAAGGTGGAGACAGGAAGTTCTTTCAGCAGAGGAACTTCAAAGAGACAATACGAAACCAAATACCAAATACCTCGCCCCTGCTGAAGTATTAATTATGATTGATATTACTTTATTTAATTGTGAGCTCTTAATAATACAGGAGCAGTGACAAAAAGAGAATCCGATCCAAGCACAAGTTGCCCACGCCCCAAATAACTCTCCACTTTAGGATAATGACAAGGTACAAAGAGCGACTTGAGACAAACAGGTGAGAATCACATGGAAGGAGGTTAAAGGAACGATAATTTATTCTCTGCTGTTTACACAATGAGGACACCACCTTCGTCAGTTGGGCCTGCAGCTGTTTCCCTCAGATTGCATCTCCAGGAGAGTGGAGACGAGAGAGAGAGAGAGAGAGAGAGAGAGAGAGAGAGAGAGAGAGACTTCACCCTTGGAATGCAGCCGGACTTGCTAAGCATTTGAGACAATTAGAGAGGGAAAACACTTGCCTGTCATGAACAGCAGCTCTGACTCCAGTAACCACGAAACTTCAGACTAATGTACACAGCTTTTCCCAAGCCCCTATGAGCTAGCATACCATGCCCGCCCACATTTCTCCAGTGAAAAGAGGGACAGCCTATTTCATAATCATAATCCTTACAATTTCATTATTTGTACCCCATCCATCTGAATGGGTTACCTCAGCCACTCTAGGTGGCTTCCAACATATATAAAAACATAATAAAACACTAAACTTTAAAAAAACAAAACACCCTTCCCTATACAATGGTACCTCGGGTTACAAACACTTCAGATTACATACGCTTCAGGTTACAGACTCCGCTAACCCAGAAATAGTACCTCAGGTTAAGAACTTTGCTTCAGGATGAGATCAGAAATTGTGCCCCGGCAGCGCGGCGGCAGCGGGAGGCCCCATTAGCTAAAGTGGTGTCTCAGGTTAAGAACAGTTTCAGGTTAAGAACGGACCTCCGGTACGAATTAAGTACTTAACCTGAGGTACCACTGTACAGGGCTGCCTTCAGATGTCTTCTAAAGGCTACATAGTTACTTATCTCCTTGGCTCAGGGGTTGCATAACTCCATGTCCTGCAATATTCCTCCAATGAAAATAGGGATGTCGTAAGGAAAAGCAGGACATTCCGGGATCAAATCAGAAACCAAGACGGCTTCTGTAAATCCGGGACTGTCCCTGGAAAATAGGGACACCTGGAGGGTCTGGCATACTTTTCGGAGCTAAAACTTTGAAGCACACTTGTTTTGAAAGACTTGTTTTGGGGAGTATAAACACACTCAGAAGAGCTGCCCCCATGTTTCTGCAGGAATCCCTGTTCTGGGTGTGCCTGATGACTAGGTGAAGCCTAAAACTTTCAGGTAAAGATGGGCAGGCATTCTGCTTTGACGTCGGGTCATCTCTACACTGGAAGCGATCGAATGATTCACTGTCATGTTCAGAGATGCAGCATGGTTTCAGAGCCAGATTGGAAGGAGAGGAAGGGATGTAGATCAGCAGCAGAGTTCAGTGTATGCCATCTCCACCAGTACATGGTCCAATAAGCAGTATAAGGCTGCTTCCTATTTTCCAAGGAAGCAAAGACAGAGAATTCATTTGTGTAAAGGTGTAGCTGACAAGTGTCTCTGTAGGTCAGTAGCTTGGGCTAAGAGAAGCCCTGACATTATTTACCATATTTTTTGTTCTATAAGACTCACTTTTTCCCTCCTAAAAAATAAGGGGAAATGTGTGTGCATCTTATGGAGCGAACGCAGGCTGTGCAGCTATCCCAGAAGCCAGAACAGCAAGAGGGATTGCTGCTTTCACTGCTCAGTGATCCCTCTTGCTGTTCTGGCTTCTGAGATTCAAAATATTTTTTTTCTTGTTTTCCTCCTCCAAAAACTAGGTGCATCTTGTGGTGGTGCGTCTTATAGAGTGAAAAATACACTTATTTCCCTGACAGAGCCAGCTCAGCCATTAGGGAGACTGAGGAGGCTGTCCAGGTCCCATCGCCAATGCAGAAGTGGTGCCAATATTGGCCAAAATCACGTTAGATCTTTCAAAGTGGGCAAGACCTTGCGAGATGTAATAATAATAAGATATTTATTTATACCCCACCCATCTGGTTGGTTTCCCCAGCAACTCTGGGCAGCTCCTCACAGAATATTAAAAATACAATAAAACATCAAACATTAAAAACTTCGCTAAACAGGGCTGCCTTCAGATTTCTTCTAAAAGTCAGGTGGTTGTTTATTTCTTTGACATCTGGTGGGAGGGCGTTCCACAGGGCGGGCGCCACTACCGAGAAGGCCCTCTGCCTGGTTCTCTGTAGCCTCACTTCTCGCAATGAGGGAACCGCCAGAAGGCCCTCGGAGCTGAATGATGGAGGTAGAGATGCTCCTTCAGGTATACTGAGCTGAGGCCGTTTAGGGCTTTAAAGGTCAGCACCAGCACTTTGAATTGTGCTTGGAAACGTACAGGGAGCCAATGTAGGTCTTTCACGACTGGTGTTATATGGTCTCGAGCAAGATCTCAGCCAAAATTAGCACGCTTCTCCACTAGTGGCAGAGGTGGCAGGCAGGGAAGTGGGGACAAACAGCAGCAGGTGAGCCAGGACAGGACAATGGACACTTTCCATTTCAACTGGTGGCAAAACAGGATGTTCCGACCCTGATTCCTGATTTGACCCTGCCCCGACTTAGCATGTATAATTGAGAGTTACTATCAATGGAAAGAACCCTTTTGGTAGTTCTTCCATCAGAACCTGGGGGTGGGGTGCCCTGTAAGAGGGCATTTGCTGTGCAGACTCTTAAGTTGTGGGACTCTCCACAGAAGGGCAACTGGAAACTTCACGATATGATTTTCAGTGAACGTTGATTACACACCTTTCTTTCTTTCTTCCTTTCTTCCTTTCCTTTCCTTTCCTTTTATATATATATTTTATTAAATTTTCTAAATTACATTTCAAAATATTCACTTAAACAACCTTAAATCAATGACTTCCCTTCTTCTCTTTCCGTGGTTTGTTTTGCATACCATACATCCCTGCATATTTTACATGAACTAAACTGTTCATTAATCCATTGTTGTTACGGTACATCCATCAAAACTTATTTACACTGTTGAATTTATCTTAATGCTACCAGCATTTTTAAATGAACGCAATATTCACCCATATGTTCAGTAAACATTTTCCAGTCTTCTTTAAACGTGCATTCTTCTTGCTCTCTTATTCTATATGCTAGGTCCGCGAGCTGTGCGTATTCCATCAGTCTAAGTTGCCACTCTTCTTTGGTTGGGACCTCGCACGTTTTCCATTTTTGGGCTAACAAAACACGGGCTGCAGTAGTAGCGTACATAAATGGTCTTTTTTGACACCTGGGAATTTCCCTCTGAATTATCCCCAACGAAAAGGACTCTGGTTTTTTCCCGAAAGGTACTTTTAAACATTTTTTTCAATTCATTATATATCATTTCCCAATATTCTTTTGCCCTTTTACAAGTCCACCACATATGATAAAACGTACCCTCAACCTAGTTACATCTCCAGCACGACACACCTCTTTCCCCTGAATAGTGTATAGTTTTAAGATCCACTGTGTTTTTGTGATTGTAAGTTAGAATCATAGAATTGTATATCAGACTAGTCCAACCCTCTGGAATGCAGGAAATGTTGTGTTTTGATTGTTGTAACCTGCCCTATGACTTTAGGGTGAAGGCTGGGTAATAAATTAAAACAGCAGCCACAACAACAACAACAACAACAACAACTTGTAGATCCATAGCCCAGCACTTAATGCAAAGCAACTATGCAGATTTTTTTTAAAATAAAAATGTGAAAATGTTTATTTTAAAATGCTACATGATAAGCCAGCGTGGGAAAAAACACACTGCCTTGATGCCCTTTTAAGCCCTCTAAGCTAGAAGTTTTCCGGATGCTTGACAACCCTAATGAGGAGAACTTTGAACAAACACTCTTAAACTAAGCAATATAGAGAAGCTTATTTAATGGCAATATTTTGTGCGGTGGGCTTAAAAAAAAAATACCCCTGAAATTTACACACAGCCATACTTGATTCAGAGTGAAAACAAACATTTAAACTTCAATGGCTTTGGTCTAGGATGCCTTAGGGATTAAGGGATGCAGGTGGCGCTGTGGGTTAAACCACAGAGCCTAGGACTTGCCGATCAGAAGGTTGGCGGTTCGAATCCCCACAACAGGGTGAGCTCCCGTTGCTCAGTCCCTGCTCCTGCCAACCTAGCAGTTCAAAAGCACGTCAAAGTGCAAGTAGATAAATAGGTAACACTCCAGCGGGAAGGTAAATGGCATTTCCATGTGCTGCTCTGGTTCGCCAGAAGCGGCTTAGTCATGGTGGCCACATGACCCAGAAGCTGTACGCTGGCTCCCTTGGCCAGTAAAGCGAGATGAGCACCACAACCCCAGAGTCGGCCACGACTGGACCTAATGGTCAGGGGTCCCTTTACCTTTACCTTAGGGATTCTTCCCCCCCCCCAATACTATCCTGTTTCCTAAGATCAGAAGGAGAAATCTGCCTCCATGTTCTTCCTAGAGTGAAAATGACTGGGTGCGCAAGAGTCTGAGACTTTTCTCGGTGACTTTACCCATGTTATAGAACAACTTGTCACATGAAATGTGGTTGCCCCCCACCTCACAGTGTTTTACACGTCACTGAAGACCTTTCCATTCCAGGAGGCTTTTACTTTATGAGGCAGATAGTATTTTATGAGCTTTATTTTAACTGTTGACCTTTATCTTTTCTGTGCAATTGTTTCATATATTTTTTAAAAGAAATGTTAATGTTTGATGTTGCAAGCTGCCCCGAGTGGTCCTTTTACACCAGCAGGGCAGGAAAGAAATGGTTCAATAGCTGTTGCTTTAGCCACAGTGCAGAGAATACTACCTACATGCATATATTAATTTATTCATCCACAAGGGGTAGGGGGAGGTTATTTTAAATGTATGCTGACTAGTACTGAAATGGAAACATTGTTTTTTGAAAGCAGTTCAAATAGTAAAACAAAGAGCAACATTTGTCCCCACTACGGTGGTGGTTTATTTGTTTGTTTAACAAAATCAGTAATAGTAGTAGTAGTAATAATAATAATAATAATAATAATAATAATAATAATTAAAGGTTCTGCAAACAATGCAGAAAAAGCATGGAATTCCCATGCAGAAGCAAGGAACTTGTAATTTATTATAATAAAAAGCCAGTGTGATATCTTTGCAAAGAAATGCTAAAGCTCCAAGTCTCCACTCAGTCACCCTGGCAATGATATTTTTTAAGAGAACAGAAATTAGACTTTTTTCCCTTCCCTATATGTTGCTCTATACAAACCCATGGTGCTTCCTTCTTTTATAACTGGGCCAATTCATTTTTTCACACACAGGAAAAAACTTCACTATAGGGGGGACGATTATATATTTAGAGGGCTGCTGTAAGAATTACTAAATCAATTGACGTAAAGCACTTCAGGATTTGAAGACTGCTACATAAAACCTGAGCATTTTATGATCAGTGTTAAAACATACCTAGCAAGTGTTCAAGACCATGGGACAACACAGTGTATTAACAGTCATTTGTCTTTTTCAGTTAGAGTCTGTTATGGGAGTGGGAGATAACGGCTTCTTCAGCAGAGGAATTCAAAACTATTATATTTTTTCCGCATTCCAAAAAAAATAACTATCCCCACAGCTGCGAGATGTATTGTGGATTGTTTAATAAAATCTCCATGGAACACATGTGCAAGCTCCGATCTTGCAACATCTTGGTGCCCAAAATAAATTTCCTTACCATAGCAAGCAAACTTTCAACTTTTATGTATGCTGGTGTTTTGTTTTGTTTTTCCTTTTGAAATGCAGCTGCAATAGAAACTAGCAAATGAGACCTTGTGCCTTTCTACTACTCAGCATAGTGCACCCTCCCCAAAAAATTCATTGCAAAATTCTGACCTTACATTCTGAAAGGTGAACTGTTCACATGCTGAACCAAAATAGAGTACCGTATTTTTCACTCTATAAGACACACCAGACCACAAGACGAGCCTAGTTTTTGGAGGAGGAAAACAAGAAAAAAATATTCTGAATCTCAGAAGCCAGAACAGCAAGAGGGATCGCTATGCAATGAAAGCAGCAATCCCTCTTGCTGTTCTGGCTTCTGGGATCGCTGCACAGCCTGCATTCACTCCATAAGACGCACACACATTTCCCCTTACTTTTTAGGAGGGAAAAAGTGAGTCTCATAGATAAAAAAATACGGTACATCTTAGGGTCCTTCATAAATACAGTTTCCTCACCCACAGAAGCAAACCAATTTGATTATGCTTTCTTGTAATTTCTTGGGAATTACATAAATATCAGCAGAACCTCATTTACAACTCGCCCTGCTGTTGTCAGAAACGAATATGACCTTATCTCAAAAAGGAGACACATAAAAGGTAGACAGATGGTACTATAATGGTAAAGACTTTGAGCCCCACTTTGGGTGAAAGATTCCTGCGTTTCAGGGGGTTGGACTAGATGACTCATGTGGTCCCTTCCAACTCTACAATTCTGTGATCCTGTACATGGAGGAGCTAATCCAGAGGATGTGGAAATTATTGCATTCTATTTTCAAACCTTGGTTGTCGAACGTAATCCATTCCAGAAGATAAAATACTGAGGCTGATAAAAGCTGAATAAAAACTGATAAAACTAATAAAAACTAATAAAAACCGCACAACTGCTGCGGAGCTCAAGTCAGTGCTTCCACTAACGACGCCATCTTGGATCTCCTCCTCCCCATTCCAGAAGCCCATTCGGTTTCCGAAATGTTCAACAACCGAGGCATGGCTTCTGATTGGCTGCAGGAACTTCCTGCACTCAAGCGGAAGCCACATTGGACGTTCGGCTTCCAAAAAAATGTCAAAAAAACGGAACACTTACTTCCGGGTTTTTGGCGTTCAGGAGCCGAAACATTCCAAAATGGAGGCGTTTGGGAACCAAGGTTTGACTGTACCTGGTTCATGACAAAGTAGATATTTGAACCAAGGGCACTAATATGTAGCTTAGCCACAACTTGTGGCACTTGTCACCTCGAGTGATTTCTCATTGTTTCAGTGCTTCGGAAATTCAGAAATGGTAATTGTAGATAGGAGATCCACCACTTTCTAGTTCCAAGCTGGAATTAATGGAACTAATTCAACAGAAAGAATTCTACACTGCTATCAGCCACAAGTCACTCAGTTGGAGGTCCTCTTCACATGTTATCATGAGTGGAGTGGTCCTCCCTCCTGTACTTTGCTCACGTAAACCTGCATGCAGGCAACCTGTCCACATCTTTAGAGAATGCCTTTGCCAAAGTCATATGCCTTTTGACAACTTATGCTGAACACACATACAGAGCAAGAATAAGAACAGATATATCTGAACAATTCAAAGTGTTGGTGCTGACCTTTAAAGCCCTAAATGGCCTCAGCCCAGTATACTTGAAGGAGCGTCTCCACCCCCATCCTTCAGCCCAGACACTGAGGTCCAGCATCGAGGGCCTTCTGGTGGTTCCCTCACTGTGAGAAATGAGGTTACAGGGAGCCAGGCACAGGGCCTTCTCAGTAGTGGCACCCGCCCTGTGGAATGCTAACCCATCAGATGTCAAGGAAATAAACAACCACCTGACTTTTAGAAGACATCTGAAGGCAGCCCTGTTTAGGGAAGTTTTAATGTTTGATGTTTTATTCTGTTTTTAGTCTTCTGTTGGGAGCCGCCCAGAGTGGCTGGAGAAACCCAGCCAGATGGGTGGGGTATAAATAATAAACTAGGAGGAGGAGGAGGAGGAGGAGTATAATTCCATTCCTATGAATATGTGTGAAGTTGCCTCTGGCTGCTTTGCCGGAAAAGGGAATTTCATCTGCTGTAATGAGGCCTTTCCTGCCAACCTAGCAGTTCGAAAGCACGTCAAAGTGCAAGTAGATAAATAGGTACCACTCCAGCGGGAAGGTAAACGGCGTTTCCGTGCGCTGCTCTGGTTCGCCAGAAGTGGCTTAGTCATGCTGGCCACATGACCCAGAAGCTGTATGCCAGCTCCCTCAGCCAATATAGCGAGATGAGCGCCGTAACCCCAGAGTCGGCCACGACTGGACCTAATGGTCAGGGGTCCCTTTACCTTTACCTAATGAGGCATTAGTCTCCTGTTCTTTCCAACATTGAAACATAAATTATCAACACTGCAATGTGATTTAGATACCCAAGATTGTCCTCTGGTCACACTAAGCCCCTCAAAGACAAATATTCTTTCCTCGATTCTCTAAATGCTGCTCTTATTTCTGTGCCACTATTACACAGACTGTTTCCACAACTAGCTGTGGGGTTCTTTTCCTCACCAACAGCAGTAGAAACTGATCGCTGAGGAGAAAAGTGGAGCAAAGACCAAGTGTAACATCCCGTTCCCTGCAATCCACAGGACTACAGGCTAGTCTCTGTGACCTGCTCACTGCCTGCATCTTCAGCAACTATCAGGAGGCTCCCTGTCTGTGTACACAGCTATTAAAGCTGCTTTGCTATAGACAAGTATTCATCCAGTTCTGAAAGGGGATGGAACTGGGCCAGGCAGCAACTATCCCTGTCAGGCAAGAGGAGCCAAATGGTGAAAGCAGTCTGACCAGCTTGGCGTGCTTTTTTTTGCTTTTAGCTCCGGGGGATAAGTTCCAACTGCACCTGTTCCTGCCTCTATCTGAATGTCACATGTGGGGACAAGATGCTTCGATTCATAAAATAGTACCCAAAAGGATCAGAATACAGTGGTACCTCGGGTTAAGAACTTAATTTGTTCTGGAGGTCCGTTCTTAACCTGAAACTGTTCTTAACCTGAGGTACCACTTTAGCTAATGGGACCTCCCGCTGCCACCGCGCAATTTCTGTTCTCATCTTGAAGCAAAGTTCTTAACCCGAGGTACTATTTCTGGGTTAGCGGAGTCTGTAACCTGAAGCGTCTATAACCCGAGGTACCACTGTACAGCAGGCTTGGGTTAATAGCCCTTGGCTGTAAATTGGTCTGGCATATTCTTCTCACAGTCTTGTCATTAATCTTCAGGAAATACTCTGTGTGTTTTATGACAAAGCAATTCCTGTCCTGCTGCCCCCCTCATCTCCAGTTCTTCAGCTCCAGCTTTTCTGGTTTGATGAGAGCTATCTGGGAGAGCTTTTTAAAAATGTTAACAAACTAAAGAGAGGACTCTGTTTCTGAAATATACTCGGAGTCGAGAGTGGATTTCATGCTCTTTATTCAGCTCATAGTGGTGAGGAGGAATGGAAGTTCCCCCAGAATGTCTGCTTTATATACATTATTTACACAATGGGCCCCACGTGATTGGCTAATTCCAGGATTCTCCTGTAGGCCAATCAGGTTGTGGATTCACTTCCATCTGGAGCTGGATTGGGTGGCTCCTGTGGACCAATCAGACTGCTGCATTCTGGGTCCTATTGTTCTAGGACCAATCAGACGGCTGCATTTTGGATCCTATTCAACTCAGTACATAACAGTTTCTCATTTATCTACCTCAGGAGACACCAGCAGCATGGTTCACATGTGCCTCCAGAGGTCTTCTCCAGAAACCACAAACCTTCCTTTCCCTGATGAAATTAGGCAACAAATGCTTGTTGTAGCCATTTAACATGATATTTTAAGATAATATGCAATAATGACAGTGTTATAAATACGCATTATATGCAGATATGCTGATCAGAGGGCTAGTTTGGTTCTGGCTGGCTGTCAGGTGTTTACCTAGTGGCATACCTGGGATGCAGGTGGCGCTGTGGTCTAAACCACTGAGCCTCTTGGGCTTGCCAATCAGAAGGTTGGCGGTTCGAATCTCCGATTTGGGGTGAGCTCCCATTGCTCTGTCCCAGCTCCTGCCAACCTAGCAGTTCAAAAGCACACCAGTGCAAGTAGATAAATAGGTACCACTCTGGCAGGAAGGTAAATGGCATTTCCGAGCGCTCTGGCTTCCATCACGTGTTCCTTTGCGCCATAAGTGGTTTAGTCATGCTGGCCACATGACCCAGAAAGCTGTCTGCAGATAAACACCGGCTCCCTTTGCCTGAAAGTGAGATGAGCGCCACAACCCCATAGTCGCCTTTGACTGGACTTAACCATCCAGGGGTCCTTTACCTTTACCTTTTACCTGTGCCTGGGGTTCCTACCACATTATGTGTGAAATGTGTTTGGAGGAATCAGAGAATTGTAGACCCATGAGGGCATTTATTGCAACCCCCAGCAACGCAGTAATCTTTTACCCTTTGAACCCATGACCCTGACATTGAGTTCCTTGCTCTCAGGACTGAGCTATAAAAGCTGATGTATAACTAACCCTCCCACAATGTGAGCAATTAAAATGCAATACTGCAAGCAAAGTGTAAATAGAAAATGGATCGTTGCCACAATTGGTTAAAGTACAGCCCCTCTGCTTTTATGCAGAATTGTTTTATTCATGCTTTTGGTTTCAATGTATGATGCTGATATTAGATAGGGATGCGGGTGGCGCTGTGGCCTAAACCACTGAGCCTCTTGGGCTTGCTGATCAGAAGGTTGGCGGTTCTAATCCCCGTAACAGAGTGAGCTCCCTTTGCTCTGTCCCAGCTTCTGCCAACCTAGCAGTTCGAAAGCACACCAGTACAAGTAGATAAATAGGTACCACTACAGCGGGAAGGTAAACGGTGTTTCCGTGCACTCTGGTTTCCGTCACGGTGCCCCATTGCGCAAGAAACGGTTTAGTCATGCTGGTCACATGACCCGGAAAGCTGTCTGCGGACAAACGCCGGCTCCCTTGGCCTGAAAGCGAGATGAGTGCCACAACCCCATAGTCGCCTTTGACTGGACTTAACCGTCCAGGGGTCCTTGACCTTTACCTTTCCTTTACCTTTTTACCTTATGATGCTGATTTTAGTAATTTGAATGGTACTTGCTATATTTTATTTCTTTTTGTAAGCTGCTTTGAGTTTTATTTTAAAAGTGGGGTATAAATTTTTGAAGCGCGCGCGCAAACACACATAACATCAGGGATGAAAAGGTTAAGCTCTGTATTATTCCTCCTTGATCCTTACCTCAAAGGGATTCTGGTATGTTACTTGGTTGCGGAAAAGCACAAGCTGGTTTCATGTAACTGTGCATAACAAAGGAGCCCCAGTCTGGGGTCAGACTTCCTTAAGAAAAGCATTCCTTTAGGAAAGCAGGGAAATCGTTCTATAGCCTGCAAGAGAAGAGAGACCAACTTGAGCAATCCAAAACACTGGGATTTGATCCCAGGTGAAAATTGAACACATCAGTGTACATCCAAGTCTTCCCTGCCCCAGAGACTGCAAAAGGTCAAACGCCAAGTCAACTGCGGCTTTGATGACAACAATTTTAGTTCATTCCTATGCTTTGAGGGGAGGCTGGGACATGAGCTTTAGTGCAGTGCAGCTCAGGAAAGTGCCAAAGCTGGCTTAGCATTTTTCATTGAGATTTTAACCATGTGACATAGAGAGAACATATTATTCAGGAACAAAATGGAAGATTATAGCAAGTGCTAGGAACTGCCATCAACTAGAATTCCGTTTTTTTTATATATATAATCCTCATAGAAAGGTGCAGAAAAATCTCGGCAGTTTACAACACACACGCCATACATCTTCTCAAACCATTGACAGTTCCCACCAAAGATCTAGAGCAGGGTTTCTTCAGCTGTTTTTGGACTACACTTCTCATCATCCCTGACCACTGGTCCTGCTAGCTGGGGATAATGGGAGTTGTAGTCCGAAAACAGCTGGAGTCCCAAGTTTAAGAAACCCTGATCTAGAGCATGTGCTCATAATACATAGTATACCGTATTTTTTGCTCCAAAAGACGCACTTTTTTCCTCCTATAAAGTAAGGGGAAATGTGAGTGCGTCTTACGGAGTGAATGGCGCTGTGCAGAGAGGTAGAGCTGCGCAGTGCCCCTTCAGCAAAGCGGGAGGAGGAACGGAGCCCCTTCTGTTCCTCCTCCCGCTTCGCTGAAGGGGCGCTGCACAGCTCTCCCTATCTGCGCAGCACCTCTCCATGAAGGCAGGGTGAGCCTTCATCCTGCTGCCTGAGAGAGGCTGCGTACGGCTATCCTATAAGCCAGGACAGCAAGAGGGATCGCTACACAGCTATCCCACTTGCTGTCCTGGCTTCTGTCTTAGCCCCGCGCAGCCTCTTCCGGGCAGGGGGAGCCTTCACCCCGCTGCCCTGAAGAGGCTTGGCGCAGTTATCCCAGAAGCCAGAACAGCCACACGGTATCCCAGAAGCCAGATCCCTCTTGCTGTTCTGGCTTCTGGGATTCAAAATATTTTTTTCCTTGTTTTCCTCCCCCCAAAACTAGGTGCGTCTTATCATCTGGTGCGTCCTATAGAGCGAAAAATACAGTAATCTACCTGCCCATCACACACCACATACTCCCTAGGCCCTTCTCCACACGGCTTTGCATGCACAATTTTTTTTCTCCCAGGAACTCTGTAAACCTTAGGTTTTCTGCCTGTCACTTCCAGAGCATGTGTCTGGCATGCTGTTTGCTGGGTCAACACATTGCACAGGCCTGCCTTGCAGCATTCTAGCAAGGTAGATCAGGATCATCATTGCTTCAATGCAGATATGAGGCTGAGATAATAGTGGCTGGTGCAAGGCTACCTGGTCCAATATGGCTGAATTGAGATCTGAACAGGGGTGTATTTGGGTAATATTTTGTCATATGGTGCCCTGCGTGAGGCCAAAATCTGGCATCCCCAAATGGATCTTCTCAGTGCTATTTTTCTAGAAAAAGAGGTGCTGGAACTCGCCATGAATGCCTCCCTTGTTCTCTTATAATGGAAATGGTGCCCACCTGAGAGGTGAGTTCCACTGTGTTCCAGCTGGAGGAAAAACCTGGATCTTCTCAATTATTGATCTTCTCAATTTTGCGTCTCCTTGGCTTGGCACACTGTGCAGGGGAACGGCCCACACTGCCTGAAATCCAACGCTGATCTGAACTTTAAATTTCCCTGGTCACGTGCTCTTAACATCAAGTCAGCAGCAGCACTAATGATTTCGGCCAAGACAATGGACATCAAACATCTGTCAAAGGTCTTGGGCCTCTGGATGTCGGCCGCTCATGTCACGCCTTGGTCAAGACGCCGTGCCAGAGTTCTTCAGTGGTTTCTGCTGCCCCACCAGTAGGCAATTACTCACAACCAGCGAAGACTGCTCAAAATGCATTGTGAGTGTCTCTGGGACTTTTGTCATTCGCAGTGGTTGTAGGAAAAAGAATCCCACCCATGCAGTGATCAAATGATGGAAAAGGCTTTCGACATGGTAACATAGGCAGATCCATGGTCCATGTGATCTTAACACATGCACCGCTGCAGCAGCAGCCAACATGGTGCTCAACTAGGGCTTGTTGAACTCCCATAATTCCTGGCCGCTGGCTATGCAGACTGGGGCTGATGGGAGATGTAGTCCACAAACAACTGGAGGAGCCGATGTCGGCTGCTCCAGAGTCTTCAGACTCTTCAGAGTCGTAAAAAGTGAAGCTGGAAAGGGTCTGTTCTGCATAAAGTCAGCCGGCCTCTATTCTGAAAGTCAATCCATTTTAAACCTAAGCATGTGGGGGGGTCTAGTGACTATTAAACGATGATGCTTGAAAGGCTCGCCTGCATTACTCAGATAAAAAATGTTCAATTATTACTTTATATATTGCAGATATAGATCTTTACATTCATGCCAGGAGTAAGCTATGGTTCAAATTAAGCTGCAGTGAAACCTGTCAACATATAATCTAAAGAACATGCAGTGAGCGAGAAGGGGCAGAAATTTCCTCAAGTGTGATCTTGAGGCCAATGTGCCCTCCCCCCAAAAAAGGCTGCATAATTTCTGAGCATGTTTATTCTACTCAAATATTTGTTGTCCCAACTCTGCTCTGTTGTCTAGCACCAGCGCTTTTGCCAGTCAGCAAATGATCTGGTGAGCTTCCTGTTTTTCAGACGTGTAACTTCCACATAGTGCAATATTTAGGACAAGAGATTGTGACTCAACAATTTTTGGTGGCTGGCGTATAGTATTTGCTGTGACATAATTTGCCAACAAGTGATGAATGGAAGATCTTCTGTTGTGGGTTTTGTAGCACCAGCTACGAAAGAACATTTCTACCAATGAAAATGATTCACCTTAAGGCAAACCTGTTACCTTCCACATGTTGCAGAACTCCAAATCCCATCATCCAACTCCCAGTCTATAGGCCATACTGACTAAGAGTAATGGGAGTTGGAGTTGAACAACACCTACACTTTCCCATTCTTTCTATAAAGAAGAGTCTTCTAGGAGGCTGTTATGTACTGAGTTGAATAGGATCCAAAATGCAGCAGTCTGATTGGTCCTAGAACAATAGGATTCAGAATGCAGCAGCCTGATTGGTCCTAGAATAATATGCTCCAGAATGCAGCAGTCTGATTGGTCCTAGAACAATATGCTCCAGAATGCAGAAGTCTGACTGGTCCACAGGAGCCACCCAATCCAGCTCCAGGTGGAAGTGAATCCGCAACCTGGTTGGCCTACAGGAGAATCCCGGAATTAGCCAATCACGTGGGGCCCATTGTGTCAATAATGTATATAAAGCAGACATTCTAGGGGAACTTCCTTTCCTCCTCACCACTATGAGCTGAATAAAGAGCATGAATTCCACTCTCGACTCCGAGTATATTTCAGAGGCATTCAGACTTATAAATATTTTTCTCTTTCATTGACAATGTGGGGTGAGTTTTATGTATTATAATGTGTTGTGCCTCACCTTTCTGGCTCATACGGGGCCTCCAGGGCTCATAAGCATGTCAGAATAAAATAATGAGGATCAGAAGGTGGAAACAAATTTCCAACACTGTATCACAACAAGGCAACACACCTACACATTCTCAGGACACCTGTTTAACGGAGAGATTGAGCAACACTGTTTCCCCTGTTACCTGAAGATTATTCTTTACTTTTTTTTTTAAAGATATTTATTAAAGTTTCAACATACTACAAAAATGAGAGAAAAAAGTAAAAAAAAAAATGAAATGAAAATACAAAGTAAAAACAGTTAAAAACAAATCAGTCTTTCCATATCTTATCTTTCATTTGCTTGTTTCCCTGACCTCCTCACACCTCCCTTTTTTGTATTCCAGTTCAATTAGTTAATTCAGCAATTCCTTTCCCTCTTTGGTTTTATCTTAATCTTCCATCTTAATATATTATAACTTTAAATTATCACCTATTAACAATCCATTTTTACATATTCCTTTATAACATTGCTACTAAAAACCACTTAACTTCAATCCAACATCATTCTAACATTCATTAATTTTGCAGTGTTTCTGTAAATAGTTTTTAAATTTCTTCCAATCTTCTTCCACCGACTCTTCTCCCTGGTCTCGGATTCTGCCAGTCATTTCCGCCAGTTCCATATAGTCCATCACCTTCATCTGCCATTCTTCCAGAGTGGGTAAATCTTGTGTCTTCCAATATTTTGCGATAAGTATTCTTGCTGCTGTTGTGGCATACATAAAGAAAGTTCTATCCTTCTTTAACACCAATTGGCCAACCATGCCCAGGAGATTACACCCTGAGTAAGACTAAATGTTCTTATATCTGTAGGGGGCAGAGAACTCTTGTGTTAGGCCTTCAGCAGACTCTCCAAGTCTCCCTATTTTCCAGGGACAGTCCCAGATTTACAGAAGCCATCCCAGTTTCTGATTTGATCCAGGAATATCCCGCTGTTAATTAGGACGTCCTTATTTTCATCGGAGAAATGTTGGAAGATATGAAGTTAATCTGACCCCCAAGCCACCTGAAGGCAGCCATGTATAGGAAAGGTTTTTTAATGTTTAGTGTTTTATTATGTTTTTATAGATGTTGGAAGCTGCCCAGAGTGGCTGGGGCTACCCAGTCAGATGGGTGTGGTGTAAATAATAATAATAGAAGTAATAATAAAATGTCCTTTTTCATCGGAGAAAAGTTGGAGAGGATGCATCAGTTCTCTGACATGAACGATTGAGTTCCCGGTCAGTCACTTGTCTGTGGAATATTTGCTTGAAGGAAGGAAGAGCACTGGGCTGTAATGAAACTGAAAGAACATATTTCATATTTTATCTTTTATTTTATCAGCAGGGGAAGTTTGTGTCTATAACTTGCAGGAAGCAATATTCAACATAATGGGTATGCCTTAAGACAACAATAGCTTTTCTAGATAACTCTGAACTTGTCAAAATGGCCCAAGGCTATTCTTATCAGCTTCCTGGAAGAACATCAAGGAGTACTGGCAAGATTAGGACTTTGGGAGATATTGTAGATATTGTAGCCTTTTAATCAAAACTGGTTGTGCAGTTGCATATTACGGACCTAGCTTAGTTATAATCTTTTAAAGCTCTTAGAACCATCTCCTCCATATGATCCTACCAGGTCCCATCACACATAATTGATCACAAGATGTGGTGCACACAAACCATTTCAATGGCAATGCCCATCAACTTTGGGGGGACCTGGCACCCTCAAATATTTGGGGGCTGAAGGGACCTCAGCACCTAGGAGCTTGCTTCGATCCACACTGCCCAGGCTTGTGCGTGAGGCGGCAGTTATGAGTTAATCGGGTCCTCCCTTAAAGAGGGCATGTGTTGCGGTGAGACTTGGACAACCGACACCCTGTGTTGTGGGTGAGTGGGTACATTTGGATAGCCACAACACCCGATTGGTAGGTCCCTTGATGCAGGGTTCAATCAGGCCAATGGGACGCCGCTAAACGGATCAAGGGACCTATATATACCTATGCACATGACCCAGAGCTTCCTCTTTTGGTTTGTGCATCGGAACACCCGCCCACCTTTCCCTATATTTAGGGCTGTGCGCTCGACCTTGCTGTGCCGTCGTGTGTCGTCTGTCGTTGGGACAGGGGCACGGCAGGAATTTTCCCCACTTGGTTGATTGGCTGGTGCCATTTGGGTTTTGCCTGCCGTGTAGCAAATCATCACAACTTGTAAGGTTGCGGATAGGCTCTGGTTCAGGTGATAGGGATGGGAGAACGCTCTTGCCATCCCTATGTGAAGGGTATTCCGTTAAAGGAATCCAGGGACTCGATGGTTTGGTGAACCCCTGAGAGGGGGTTGTGCCTGAGTCCAGGGGGACATTTGGGTGGCGGAGATAGCCTGTTCCTGGCTTTCCGCTTATCCAGGTGTTCACCCTAGGCTGACCTATGCTGGTGCCCTGGGTCAGCACTACCGGCAACGGTGCAGGGAGCTAGTCAAACCAGAGCCTATGCAACTATTCACTTTTGTATCAATCCAGTATATTTTCTTTTAATTGTCGAATGATTCTATGATTGCGAATGATTGTGGCAGCCTTTGGCTATGTGCAATAAAACTGACTGACTGACTAAAGTTGTGGCCTAAATTCTGCCAAAAACCAAACCAAAATTTGAGTCTTGTCTGAATTTATTTAGGGGGGAGATTTCTGGGTCTGAACACACAATTAAGCCCTCTGTGAAAATGTTTCAATGGAGGAAATGGCAGATACGAAGGACCCACTGACCGGCCCCTGCTGTCAGTGGGCCCTGGCAGGCTAAATTAGCTTGCAGTGACAGTGTACCAAGCAATGTACTCAGGTCTAGCTGATCTCTCAATTTCCCATAATGCCCCAGAATGATGCTAGGTTTAAAGGTCTCAACACGCAAAAGGTCTCTGCAGCTACAGCAGGTGCTGTGATTTTCCAAAGGTTTGACTTCACCCCCAGAGGCACACTCCATTTTCTCTGGAGACAGACTCATGCCAACAATAACAACAACCAATCCTTTGTCACACAAGGATCTTCTTGTGTAGGCATCACTGAGATTCCTTACGTCTGAAATTATATTGTCAGAAGGCGACAAGCGTAATAATCATCTGATTATTTTGCTACCTTTATCCTGAATTATTTTTTTTAAAGGACGATATGAAGTCAGAAGTAGTGCGGCTGACCCAACAGGTTCAGAACAATGCTTCCTGTGTGTTTGTGTGTGGTGAGAGTTGTTGCTTGATTAGCCTCTGGTACAAAGCTGTGGTGCTTTCAGATGGCAGCCAAATGGGAGCTCCAGTACTGGAAATGTGGCCGAAAATCCATCAAAGAACAAGTGTCCCAGCACAGGAGTGTGGTGTAAGTCATGGCGGAAATGAAGATTTTCTGAACTGCCTCCTGCCCTCACATGTTGGCTTGGTCTTATGGGAGTTGTAGTATAATCAACTGGAGGACACCACGAGGGCTTTAAAGGCTCTGTCATCTGGTGGTGGTTTTGATTTAAAAACAAAAACAACCCACGCTACACCTTGGAAGCTAATCACAGTTTGCCGACATTGTAAATATTTTGGTTCGCTGGTTTTTGTTTTTGTTTTTATTTTTTATTTTTTTATTTTGCGTGTTCAGACCCAGAAACCTCCCCCCTAAATAAATTCACACAAGACTCAAATTTTGGTTTGGGTTTTTGGCAGAATTTAGGCCACAACTTTATTGATTATAGCAAGTGAATGGTTGCATAGGCTCTGGTTTGACTAGCTCCCTGCCATGCAGGTAGCGCTGACCCGGGGCACCAGCATAGGTCAGCCTAGGGTGAACACCTGGATAAGCGGAAAGCCAGGAACGGGCTTTCCATCCAGTAAGCTGCCCAGGCCAGGGGACCAATATTGTGGGGAAGCATCAATTAATCTCACACGGTCCAAGAGCTGTGCCCCAGGAACCCTTGGTGTTAAGCAGACGTTGCTGAACCCTAATTCCCAGGGCAGCTGCTTGCAACTGTTAAGATGTCTCAGACTAGATCTGAATATGCCTGTCATTTCCTGTAACTCTGCAGCTGCTGGAAGAAACACCCTAAGTACTCAGCGGTACAAATTCCTCTCATTAAGCTTGATGAAGATGGTTGTTCTGTGCTTATGAGTCCAGGGTATAGAATACGTGATTATATATATTTCCCACCACTGGAACCTCAGACTAATTATTTGTCTGAGTGGGAGAGAACAATAGCACCTGAAGGTCAATTCTCTCCTTCTGCTGGGAAAAAAAAATCCATTCCTGACACCCTTCTATTTCTAAACAAAATTAGATTAGAAATTGATATTGTTTATATTAATTCTTTATCCATGAGCTAAAAACTGACCCTGTTGCATGCTGAACTTCAAGATGCATTTGCTTCTGCTCAGTAACCTCTAGGACAATCTGTATTTCTCTGCTACAGTTCCGTGGTGCTTCAAAAATGCAAATAAAGACAGTGTTCTGTTGATAATACAAACAGCAGAGTCCAAATGGAATCCATTTCATTTGCCTATTTACAGCAGGATTAGAAAGCTGGAAAGAGCAGGGGTACCTCAGACCGGAGCCTTTAGCAGGAAGGCTGTGTAGTGTAGCCAAGGAAGTCTGAGCTATGAAACCTGTGTTCAAATCCTGCTCCATTATGAAGTTCACTGAGATCATCTCTCAGGATTGTCGTGGGATACATAGGGGTTTTATCCCCATTTACAATGGCCTGAGGAGGATGGAGGAGAAATGGGGTGTATATGTAATAAATAAAACAGTTGCTAGAACTGGAGGGTGAAGAATCAAGGCATATTTTATTCATCTAAGACGGTGGGATGGAAAATTGGATGGGCCACACCATCCATCATTGCTGAAATAAGGAGAACCATGTCCTATTACATGCTTTCAAGCCTAGTATGGCCGTAGTCACACACCATCTAATATCTGAGATACTATGGTCGCCTCTGACATACAAAGAGCTGGTGATAACATTCATATTTTTTATTTTTTGAAGTCATGTTACCAGTGGAACCATTCTTTGCAAGAATAATTATTATTATTTCAGAACCTACAGTGAAATCCTAACCATGTCTACTCAGATGTAAATCCTACTGAATTCAGTGGGGCTTACTCCCAGGTTAAGTGGGGTTAGGAGTGTCGCTCTAGCCGCTTAAAGGAAAATACCAACAGTAGTAAGCAACACTAGCTCCCAAAGTGGAGACAGGCATAGGCAAACTCGGCCCTCCAGATGTTTTGGGACTACAATTCCCATCATCCCTGACCACTAGTCCTGTTAGCTAGGGATGATGGGAGTTGTAGTCCCAAAACATCTGGAGGGCCAAGTTTGCCTATGCCTGATATAGGGATATAAACATATAAGGAGTAGCAGAAGTAGCTTATTTTGGTTTCCTCTGTCACTTAAAGTTGCGGGGTGGTGTGTGTGTGTGTGTGTGTGTGTGTGTTGATGTTCCCATGTTCTTATTTTTTAAGTTACCCTGGTCATCCTTTCTCAAGTGTGTGTGTGTGTATAATTTTTATTAAATTTTCTGTTTTACAATTTAAAATACTTATTTTACATCCTGAAGATATCAATGACTTCCCTTCTACTCTTTCCATGGTTCATTTTACATATCATAAATCCCTGCATATTTTACAAAAACGATACCATTCAGTATTCCATTATTGCATCCATCAAAACTTGTTTACACTGTTGAATTTATCTTAATGCTGCCAGCATTTTCCACTGTACACAATTATTTCCCATATATTCAATAAATGTTTTCCAATCTTCTTTAAATGTATGTTCTTCTTGTTCTCTTATTCTATATGTTAAGTCTGCAAGTTGTGCATATTCGGTCAACTTAAGTTGCCATTCTTCTTTGGTTGGGACCTCGCTCGTTTTCCATTTTGGGGCTAACAAAACGTGGGCTGCAGTAGTAGCATACATAAATAACCTTTTCTGACACCTGGGAATTTCAGTCTGAAGTGTTTAAAGCTGGGGTTGCCTCTTTAAAATGATAAGACTTCCTCAAGCTGAATGTTGAACTGCCCTGTATGGGAATCCTGTGCAAACCAAGCAAATTACGAAATCTATGTTCTTTCCTGCGCCTTCGAGAGATTCCTTCTGCTGCATACTTCTGCAATAGATGGAGCGTTCACTACCCGGAGGGGTGAAAGTCACCAATCAGCTGCTAACACTCAGGTTGCAACATGGCAGCCCAATACTCTGTTGCCCAGCCACTGGCTTCAGATGGCGTCAAGCTGAGCTAGCAGAGGAAGAAGTTATTCATATAGACAGGTTGTCCTGAACCCTTAACCAAGCTGTCATTCTCATGGACCCAAGTCATCTGACAGCCTGTTCTAGGACCTCCTGAATATTGCAAAAGCTTTTGAACGAGGAGAGGAAATGCAGAAAAGGCTTTAAGACTGTACTCCAGTTACCTGGGAGTAAGCCCCACTGAACTGCTTAGTCGAACTACACAAGATTGCACCACAAGCGTTCTGGGAAGTATTGACCGTGTTAACCATATTAACAACATGAGGTGCGTGCAGAAAATACCATTTTTTATTTCGGGATCTGTGATGATTTGAGGCCAAGTAGTTCTTGAAGCCATCGTCAGGCTTCTTGTGTAGGATGGCTGTTTGTGAGAAGCATCGCTACATGTGTTGTCCCTGTGTGCTTTGCTGGGGGGGGGCACCTGTAAGTGGGCTGTCCACGTTGTAATGGAAAATGCAGTGTTGATAATAGCGCATGAGTGGAGTTGCTGGTTCTCCCAGCCGCCCTTTGGGCATATATACTGCAATGTGGATATTTTTGCACTTTTACCCAAGCCACACCATTGCCCCAAACACCATAGTTTAAAACACACATATTACACACATATTAAAAACGCTGTGAAAAGGTTTTTTTTTAAAAAAAAAAAGTTTTGATAAATATATTGAAATTGCCATAGCTCACCGTCGCCATCTAGCAGTTCGAAAGCACGACAAAGTGCAAGTAGATAAATAGGTACCACTCCGGCGGGAAGGTAAACGGAGTTTCCGTGCGCTGCTCTGGTTCGCCAGAAGCGGCTTAGTCATGCTGGCCACATGACCCGGAAGCTGTACACCAGCTCCCTTGGCCAATAAAGCGAGATGAGCGCCGCAACCCCAGAGTCGGTCACAACTGGACCTAATGGTCAGAGGTCCCTTTTACAGTCATACCTCAGAAGTCAAACAGAATCCGTTCCGGAAGTCTGTTCAACTTCTGAAACATTTGAAAACCAAAGTGCGGTTTCTGACTGGCTGCAGGAAGCTCCTGCAGCCAACTGGAAGCCATGGAAGCCCCATCAGATGTTTGGCTTCCAAAAGAACATACAAAAACCAAAACACTCACTTCCGGTTTTCGATCATTCTGGAGCCGGAACATTTGACTCTCAAGGTGTTCAGGAGCCGAGGTATTTATTTAGAAAAATACCACTCTTATGCTGATAAATGCTCATAAGGCCTGCAAGTGCTCCCATTTTTATTTTGCAGTTCCTGAGACGCGGCTCTCTGATGAACAATACAGCAATGAAAAACAGGTTAGCCGAACAAAAAAGCAGCGCATGAGTCCATTAGCACTTGCAGTTCTGAGGTGAAACAATACGACAGCAGTATATTGGTGCTGTCAGCCCCTAGGAATGCTAGTCAAACCGGCTGTCCTGATGGCACAGCTATGGTTCACCTCCAAACTGGCTCTGTGTTGCACGGTCCGGTCATGTATTTTGGGAGCTTTGATGCAATGTTGATGACCACCCTTGGTCTACATAGACCACATGCCTGAGCTTCCAGCAATCACAGTGACTTTTGAGTAGACTGCTGTTGTTTTTTCAAACTGCCTTTGAGGCGACCCTGAGGCCCGTAGGAGCTCATAGCTGAGAAGATTGGTCATGGCAGAAAAAGCTTCCTCTCCAAAGACCAGTAGAAAAAAGACAGTCACGGAACCGAGAAATTGCACAAAACAAATGAAATACCGTGAAAATCACTGAAACGAGAAGTAATCGACTAGAAATATTATCTTATGAAAATAAACTAAATAATAAAAAGAGTTTAAGGAAAAAATAAGATAGAACAAAGCCTTAACGGGATACCGGCTACAAACCTCGTTTCACTGAACTATTCAGTTTCCCCAGAAGGAAATAGAAAAATCATAAACCTTAAATGACCAAAATTCACAAGAAGGGGGTAGAACTCCCAAAAATTCTGAAGTTTTTATAATCCTGGGTCGACCTAGGTGAAGCAAAGCACAGCAATGAAGGATTGAGGACTCAAAGGTACAATTTCTAATACTGAATTTACAAACCTTTTTGTTGACCCAGGATTATAAATCTGCGTGACCCCATGGACCAGAGCACGCCAGGCACTCCTGTCTTCCACTGCCTCCCGCAGTTTGGTCAAACTCATGCTGGTAGCTTCGAAAACACTGTCCAACCATCTTGTCCTTTGTCGTCCCCTTCTCCTTGTGCCCTCCAGCTTTCCCAACATCAGGGTCTTTTCCAGGGAGTCTTCCCTTCTCATGAGGTAGCCAAAGTATTGGAGCCTCAGCTTCAGGATCTGTCCTTCCAGTGAGCACTCAGGGCTGATTTCCTTCAGAATGGAGAGGTTTGATCTTCTTGCAGTCCATGGGACTCTCAAGAGTCTCCTCCAGCACCATAATTCAAAAGCATCAATTCTTCTGCGATCAGCCTTCTTTATGGTCCAGCTCTCACTTCCATACATCACTACTGGGAAAACCATAGCTTTCAATATACAGACCTTTGTTGGCAAGGTGATGTCTCTGCTTTTTAAGATGCTGTCTAGGTTTGTCATTGCTTTTCTCCCTAGAAGCAGGCGTCTTTTAATTTCGTGACTGCTGTCACCATCTGTAGTGATCATGGAGCCCAAGAAAGTAAAATCTCTCACTGCCTCCATTTCTTCTCCTTCTATTTGCCAGGAGGTGATGGGCCCAGTGGCCATGATCTTCGTTTTTTTGATGTTGAGCTTCAGACCATATTTTGTGCTCTCCTCTTTCACTCTCATTAAAAGGTTCTTTAATTTCTCCCCACTTTCTGCCATCAAGGTTGTGTCATCTGCATATTTGAGGTTGTTGATATTTCTTCCAGCAATCTTAATTCTGGTTTGGGATTCATCCAGCCCAGCCTTTCGCATGATGAATTCTGCATTTCCCATGATGAACTGGTTTTTGCCTACCATGTAGCAAATCGTCACAACTTTGTGAGGTTGGCGGTTAGGCATTGATTCATTCTTTGGTGGAAGGGATTATGGATTGGCTGTGCCTGCCCCTCATTTTTGTTGCTGCTGCTAGGGAATTCCGTTAAAGGAATCCAGGGGCTCGATTTGCTCTGTCCGATCCCCTCTCAGGGGTAGGGCCAGGCCAGAGTTCCTGGGACCGTCTGGGGTGAACTAAGAGGCGGAAATCTGCCTCTGTGCTCCCCCAGTATGTTTTCCCTTACTGACCTCTGGAGGTTCCAGTTGTCGGTCCTGTTCCTGCCGGTGCAGGATCAGGTAGTCTGAACCAATGGCTAAGCAACCACTCACATGCTGTAAACAATAAAGTTGTGGCCAAATTAATGCCAAAAATCTTAAACAAATATTCTGCTTCCTGTGTGATTTATTTTGGAGGGGATTTGGGGGTTTTCATGCGCAACTTCTGGTCTAGCGCAACAGGGCTGAGGAACTGGGCAATGCTGAAAATCTGACCTGCACTTGCCAGGTGTAGCACAGGGGAATCTAAAAATCTCGGAATATGCGGGCAGACTTCAATAGGCATAGAATAACTTCGTTTTTGTGACTTGCTACTGTGCCCTGGCACGTAGTTTGGGATCTTGCATGAGGATGACTGTATGCCTACAGCAGATGGGTATCTACTAATCAAATCACATCACTGTCATTTCAGATGCCTCTGCTCAGCCAGAAGTTAAAATGATGGTCCTTCAACTCTCGCTGATTTATTGGTAAGTAGGATATTAAATTACATCTGCCAGTGGCCCTGCACAGAGTGTGTGTTTTGTGTACAATTCCAGCTGTCCCTCTTGTTTGATGCCTTGCTGAAATAATATTTGTCCCCTCCGCTGAGGCACTAGTCTTGAGCTCTTCCCAAATTCCTGCTATTTTGGAGACTGGGGGAGAGAATTAAATCACATACCAGGAAATTGAAGTGGTGCAGCTACAGCTGTTTCTGGTGCTGTTGTGTAGCAAACCTACTTCCCCTAAAAATCAGGGCAATGTGACAGGAAAATGCAGAGAAAAGTGATGAATAGCAATTGTCCGATGTAACGGTGTCTAACCTCTATGCAAACTCATCAGATGAATGCTCAAAAAAGAATTGACGTCGTCTAACCTTCCTGCAACGTTTTGTGCAAACAAATTGGGATGAATGCTCAATAAAGGGGTTGTCTTAAAAGTGAACTATGTCTGGTTGAAGGAGATCCCTTATAAGAAATCAGTAAAGGAACTGGCCTCTAAGACCCTCAGATTAGAGCAGTTGTTGTTGAGCGTTTTTTAGGGCAGCCGCCAATTTCAGGGAGAAAAAATTGAGAAGTAACAGGAAAGGTCAAAACCATGCACATCTTCAAAGTCCAAAGCTAGCTAACTAAAGAGAAAATGTATGAAGATTTCCCCAGAAAGCAGAAAGCAGACTCCAGGGCTGTGAAAACTCTCTACCTTTCACATTCTTTCACTCAAAAAAACCCCAGGTGCCATGGTTTACCTCTCACCAAGTTAAAATTCGCAGTAACAGTGCCCAGAATTATTTGAGGGCAAGAATGTGCCTCCGAGGCATAGTGTGTATATAGCTGAAGTGTAAAATAATAGCGATGGCTTCTTCCCTGAGCAGAGGAAATAGCTATTAAGTCTGTGGTGTAAATATGTCCATAGATTCTCAGGCTCCATGGTAGACACTGTAGCCCCACTGGCTAGAGACAAGTCACCTCTCCAGATGAGTGGAATGAGGAATAAAGCAAATGTATGTTTGTGAACAACACAGAGCTTATCTGGGATTTTTTTGGTCAGCCAAAGGGTCGAAGCAGTGGGCCAAAGGTGGTCCAGGGACAGACATGTCACCTAGACACATCTTTGATGCAAAGACGATCCGGCCTTTGTTAGCTTTATGGTGGGAATAAAAGTGGGTCAACCAGCAGCTCTGTGAAAGATTAACTTATATGCAAACATGGTATTGGTTACTCAGAAGTCTGAGTATTCAAGGAAAAGGCTTACAAAAATATAAAAAAGAAAAATCCAGCTCCTTTAAAAAATAAAATAAACCCTTAGTTTTGAACACCTGACAGAATTACATGTTTTCAAAATGTTCTCAGGGAAATTTGAAGAGCTTTCCAAGTTTGGAGGGTTATTTCATTTCCGACAAAAAGACACGAAGTGCTGAGAAGTGGTTCGTGCCAGTATTTCAGATTTGAATTCTGCTCTTTTGTACCAACCTGGGTTAAAATTTGAACCAGTCCCCATACCTGCGTTTGCCACGCTCCCTCTCTGATTTCTATCTTAAAACCACAGGTTGTGTTGTGCGGATAAACAGGCCTTCGCCACATAAACAAAGAGCAGCTTTTTAATGAGAGTGGGCGAACGCTCCTAATGGTTGCTGCAGTGATGTAATTAGCATGCATGTAATTACAGAAGTCTGAATGTGCATCTCCCTACTCCCACCTCACTTTTCAGGAAGGACTTCTATTTAATTTGAACTCCGGCTTCAGGGCATGTTTGCAAGGTGGCGCTGGTTAATATTTAACCAAGGAAATACTCTCCATTTCCAGTTTTCTCCCACTGCACAACAAGGAAACACCTTTGCTTTTCATCTCCTACTTGACCCTCGTAATATTCCGGGAATCAGCGTGTTTTTACATGAGTAGAATGTGTCCTTTTATTTAAAATGCATCTCTGGGTTATTTGTGGGGCATAGGAATTTGTTCTTTTTTCCCCAAAAATATAGTCCGGCCCCTACAAGGTCTGAGGGACAGTGGACTGGCCCCCTGCTGAAAACATTTGCTGACCCCTGGACCAGCCGGTCAAGGAATTCCTTGATTGTGCTCACATATTGTTGCTTCTCTAGATTTTTATCTCAGAAATCTTTGAAACCCACTGTGGGGCTATGTTATCCTATTTCCCACCCTCATCAACACATATATATATATATATATATATATATATATATATATATATAATTTTCTTGCATTTCTATTCCGCCTTTCTTCCATCATGGAAGCCAAAGGGGCATCCATGTAGTTTTAGAAGACTTTTAGAAGACATCTGAAGGCAGCCCTGTTTAGGGAAGCTTTTAATGTTTAATAGGTTACTGTATTTTAATATTCTGTTGGAAGCCGCCCGGAGTGGCTGGGGAAACCCAGCCAGATGGGTGGGGTATAAATAATCAATTATTATTATTAATTATTATAGTTTCCAGAAGCTCTCCCATCCAAACACTGAGCAGACCCTCACACTGCTTAGCTTCAGCAATGTGGTGGCCTCGTGCCTTCTGACCAACTATAAGCGCAACGTGCACATGCAAATTACATTTTCAACAGTTTCGAGCCTTTGTAAAAGCTGTGGCCCTAGCTGTCTTGCCAAAGGCAAGGTGTTTCTTTTAAAATACACAAGCGAGTGAGAAGATTAAAGATTTTATTCTAAAACAGCAAGCGATGTATACATACAGTCCTCAAGAAGCGGCGAAGTGACTCCCCCAGGTAGCCTCAGTTTGCACGGTCCTGCGGCCGATCAGTCTGTGCACGAGCTTCCAAGAAATTCTGCCCAAACCTTCTGGTTTTATAGATATGCCTCACTTTCTCAAAACAACGTACAACATCAAAGAAGGAACCCAGCATTATCCTCCCAACTGATTAAGGCAGCTGTGTGTGGGACTTCCCTTCCTCTCAACTGTTCTCAGGACATTAAAGACTGTTTTCACACCATCAAAAAACTTAACAAGAGGGAAGGAGGGGGAAGGAAGGAACAGAGGCAGGAAGGGCTCCGTGTCAGATCACTAGCTCCTCAATACATTTTCTCTTCCGGATGCATTTCCCATAACCTAGCCAATTTAACCATAGTGCCTTGTCTATGGGACAAGTTGAAATAAATGGGACTTCGCTTGAGTGCTGTTGATTGAACTGGGACTGTCCTATTGATTTCAGCTGGACTTAAATTCAGCTCACTGGTTCAGTGCGACTGCCAGCATGGAAATCATTCCCCAAATGTGTCCATATTCAACTGCCATTGCAAGGAGTGGGGCAGATACGTTATGTAAAAAGAGCAGTAGCTCCCTGTTTGTGGAATGCTCTCCCCAAGGAGATTTGCCTGGCACGTTTATTGTGCACTTTTAGGCCCCAGGCAAAAATGTTCCTCCTCAACCAAGCCTTTGGTTGATTAACATCTGGTACGCGGGTGGCACTGTGGTCTAAACCACAGAGCCTAGGGCTTGCCGATCAGAAGGTTGGTGGTTCAAATCCCCACGACGGGGTGAGCTCCTGTTGCTCGGTCCCAGCTCCTGCCAACCTAGCAGTTTGAAAGCACGTCAAAGTGCAAGTGAATAAATAGGTACCACTCCAGCGGGAAGGTAAACGGTGTTTCCATGCGCTGCTCTGGTTCGCCAGAAGTGGCTTAGTCATGATGGCCACATGACCCAGAAGCTGTACGCCAGCTCCCTCGGCCAATAAAGCGAGATGAGCACCGCAACCCCAGAGTCGTCTGCGACTGGACCTAACAGTCAGGGGTCCCTTTATCTTTGTTGTTGTTTAGTCGTTTAGTTGTGTCCGACTCTTTGTGACCCCATGGACCAGAGCACGCCAGGCACTCCTGTCTTCCACTGCCTCCCGCAGTTTGGTCAAACTATTGCTGGTAGCTTCGAGAACCAACCATCGTCCTCTGTCATCCCCTTCTCCTTGTGCCCTCCATCTTTCCCAACATCAGGGTCTTTTCCAGGGAGTCTTCTCTTCTCATGAGGTGGCCAAAGTATTGGAGCCTCAGCTTCAGGATCTGTCCTTCCAGTGAGCACTCAGGGCTGATTTCCTTCAGAATGGAGAGGTTTGATCTTCTTGCAGTCCATGGGACTCTCAAGAGTCTCCTCCAGCAAGATAATTCAAAAGCATCAATTCTTCGGCGATCAGCCTTCTTTATGGTCCAGCTACCTTTACCCTTTTAAATGTGCTGTGGGAGTAGGTGGGGAGAGGGGGATATTGGCTTGTTTCCATTCTTGTTTTTAGCCTGTAGTTTGTTTTGTTTTTAACTTGTATTTTTATGTTGTGAGCCGCCCTGAGATCTATGGATAGAGGGCAGTATGCAGACTTAATAAATAATAATAAATTATTATTACTATTTTATAATCTATAATCCAACAATCCCATTCAAAAATCAGGAGTCAGCTATTGCTGCTTCTTTTTGCAACATTTCAAATCATGCATGCAATACCTGATTTCTCATGTCCACTCTGCCTGTTTTCTGTCTTTTCAGATAATTAACAAAGAAGAATCCAGATGGGGTGCAGGTGCTGTAAAATGATACAAAGGTACAGGCAGACTGAGGCTGGATCTATACAGATATAAAAAATGCTGGGGGGGGGACATTATGGGGGGAGCTCCCAAGGCAATATTGTATGCCAGGCATCCCGAAACTCAGCCGCCAGCTGTTTTGGGACTGCAACTCCCATCATCCGTAGCTAACAGGAGCAGTGGTCAGGGATGATGGGAATTGCAGTCCCAAAATATCTGGAGGGCTGAGTTTGGGGATGCCTGCTGTATGCCATTGACTTTGGATTCCCCTCTACAGTGCCATCTAGTGTCACATTTTTATAATGCATTTTAATGTTATAAATGGACCTGTGTCGCTGAGTTCTGATTGTCATTTATATATATAACTATGATAATATTATCATATATAACTATGATAATAGTTATATATCTGTAAGGATATCTCTGAAACCAATGCCCCCCCCCCCAATGTTGCTGCACTCTAGATCCCATCAGCCCCAGCCAGCATGACCAATGGTGAGACGTGAATAGGCAAAAAATTGGTGGCATTTCTGAAACTTGCAACAAAGACTGCATGTTTGAAGCACGAAACTGACCCTTTTTTCTCTGTCACGAAAAGAAAATGCTAACTGTTGCTCTTAACCTTTTTCTAGTTACATCTTTGAACCCCAAGACGTGCCAACATCCGGGTACATCAATGAAATAAACAACTTCAAGTCCGACGAGCAAGACGGAGGCAAATTCAAATGCAAGCAGAACAACGACATCCAAGTACACAAAAACGAGCTGCAGTCCGGGGAATTACAAACAGCAGCAAACAGGCACAAATTAAACAACAATAAAGATGCCGTTCTGAACCACCGAAGCAGCGCTCTTCGTGAGGAGGGACTTGGGAATCTTGCCGAAAAGTGCCGTTTCAATGTAAATGGGATCCATTCCCAGTCTGGTGGGAACCTTCATCCCAATCCCAGCACAAACCGAAACAGAGAGATCAGCACGCACTCCTGCTCTGCTCAGCGAGCCGGTTTTTCAGTCCAAGGGTTGCCTCAGGAAAGCACATGCAATAACCATGAGATTCTGGAAACGGAAGTTCTCGCAAAGGCATCTTCAGAAAAAAGAAGTGCCCTATATGAGGAATCTCAGAGCGCTCCAGGCAGTGACACGCACCTGCCTGGACCCACTGATCCCCCCAAAGGCGGCTATGCTGGAAAACAGAGAGCTGCAGGAAAGGAAAGTCCATCAAATAACCACACACATACAGGCCAAAGCACAGAACACACCACATTAAGCAGCCAGCAGGACCTGCCATTAGGTGAGTCTAAAAGCTGGGATTCAACAGACAAAGCCTGTAGGACAGGCCTGCCAAATGTGTGTTTCAAGGACAATGTATCCGACGGCATCCCATCTCCTAGGACCAAGGCGGATGCGGTGCGAGAAGCTAGATTTGATTGCCATAATGACATTAATGGAGAACTGGAGGAGGAGGTTGATGCCGAAGTAGCAGAGGCTCTCGCAGCCCTGGAGGCTGCTACGGCAGGAGAAGATTTTGAGGAGGAAGAGGACTATTAGGTGACAACCAAGACTCCAGTAATAAGCCTCACTTCTGGGGCTGTGTGAAATGCGTTTCTGAGGCCTTCAACCGCGGGTGTAAGCCTTTGCCCAGGACTCCCACAAATAGCAGAGGGGGATAAATCACTAGGCCAGGTGAGCTAACAAGAGCAGCCAGTGTTGTGCCCGGTGCATTGCACCTAAGCTGATATGTCACAATTAACATCAGCCAGTCTAATGCTTACGTACCAGCCCACCTGCACCATGAGGTACCTGCTACTGCCAGCCAAAGCAGTCTCTCTTGTTTGCCAACATGACCACTCTGGCTGCTATGAATGCTGCCAAGAATAGTTACCAAATATGTCCCACTCTAGGGAGAATACTGCCCTCTGGGTCAAGTTTGCTTCCAACTGGAGAAAAAGGAGGAAATATTTGGTTAAGGAAAGCCCCAAGCTTCCCTGTAGTCCAGTCACCAAGGAGTAATATTGATCTCTCAAAGAAGCCAGTATGTTGAAGGTTTGTCCTTTTCTTGATCTACCAGGGCTTACACGCTAGGCTGTGCAAAATGTCCCAAAGCAAACCTGGAAAGTGGCACTTTTAAACAGAGCTCACTCAAAACTGCTGCTCTTTGTGAGATTTTTCAGCAGTGCCAAACGTGCCTCTCCTTTCTGACATTCTTCTCGCACTCCAGGTGAAAATGTTTGTTTGCTTGTTTACCAGGACCTGAGTGACATCACCAGACAGACAAACCTAATTGTATGCGCCGGTTTATGGTGTCATAACATTCACTGCTCAGTCATTAATGATTAACTCACGAAAGCTGGAAGCAGCCGCAACCAGGGTGCTCAAAAGCATCAGGTATATAAATGGATATTTGCACGGTCTAAGGCTGTCTTCCCATGATAGTTTATTCCACCGCCCTGACCTTTCCCTAACTGTTAATTTACACATTATATTTGAGCTTTCGCGTGATGTAAAAGCCACTTCTGGAGAACCAACAGAATATGGTACATGTTTAGTGCCCATTTCTGTGTTACTTGATTCCAGAAAATAATATGTTTTGAGGCCCCTTAACCTGGAAAATTGCAAGAGTAAAGTGACAAAACCTGGGCTGGTATGACGGCATACAGTTTTTTCCAGCTGTTGTCAAAGAGGCATCGTGGGGGAACAAAAGCACACATATGGAAAGGCTGAGGGGAATGGTGACAGTGTCCAAAAATATTCGTTGTTGTACCACAGTATGTTCACTGGTGTGAATGAAATTTAGCGTGACAGTCGAAGAGTCCCAGTTCCATAGCATAACAGGTACTGCAGTGTGAAAGGAACATTCGAAAATAGGACACAAGTGCTAGTAGTATAATCAGGAAAACTAATACAATATTCCCCACATCTGAATGCACGCAAAGCATGCTTTGGGGAAACTTCTGCCACAGTGAAATAGTAGATGCGTGGCTGTTTGCCGCACAAAAATCAGGGCTAGAGACATTTAACACATGCTCTAGTGCCATGTATTTTCCCCCTATAAAAGTATTTTTTTAAAAGAAAATCTTGATTAAACATTTATCTTGAACCACTGCCTACACATTCCCAGTCGGTATCAAAGTATCAATCCAGGCTAATTATGCGCTACAGAAGTTCCACCCAATTGCATCCTCCTTTCTGCTGATTTCTAATGGCACTTCCCATGCTGTTGGGAATGTGTCTTCGTGCGGCAGCAAGTGCCATTGAGCCACTGAGGTTCCTTAGGGCTAATGATGACAAGTTAATTCTCGGCAGTGCCAGAAACGAGTATTCCAGCAAGCTCACGAGATCCGCCCTGTGGAATGAAACAGCACGAGACCGGGGTATTTTCATGTGGCGGTCTGAAGTGCAATTAAGTGCAAATTAACACGAAACTCAAAATGTCAGATGGTTGCGAGCACAGGGCAGGTTTGTGCATGCATTTTGATTTCCGGTGTCCTTATCACTCAGTGCGCTCACGGTGGAATGCCTCAAAGGACTCCGTCCGAGAGCATCATTTGGGACAATTTGAAAGCTCTGCCTCCGGTGTGTGTTTGATCATTCGCACACGCAACTGTACTGATACCAGCAAGCTACAGAATCACAATGCCTGTTGACCACAGGTGCTGCTAAGTACCGTATTTTTCGCCCTATAGGACGCACTTTTTCCCCTCCAAAAATGAATGGGAAATGTGTGTGCGTCCTATGGAGCGAATGCAGGCTTTCGCTGAAGCCTGGAGAGCAAGAGGGGTTGGTGCGCACCAGCCCGGCAAGCTCCGGGAGCGATGGTGAGGTTGAACGCAACCTTGCCGTCGCTCCCGGACCCATTCTGGGGGCTGGGGAAGCTCGGGCCGCTCGCTGTCTTGGCTTCTGCCAAAGCCATGCACAGCCTCTGGGGGCTGGGGGGGAAATATTTTTTCCCCTTTATTTCCCCCCCAAAAAACTAGGTGCGCCCTATGGTCCGGTGCGCCCTATAGAGCGAAAAATACAGTAATTAAAAGTCTTGGGATGTAGCTGTATGACACAGCTCCTCAAAGAATTTGTATATGCTAATTTATATGTATAGATGACTGGGGGATTAAATGGCAGGTGACTGGAATATCACCTAGCCACTTTATAAGCAAATGTTTTAAATTGAGTTTTAAGGGGGGGTGGAAGGGATAGATGATCTGGGGCCCACCACAAAAGACCCGTTCCTCAGACCACCCTGGGCCACCCCCTATCAGAGCCCCTGTTGTCAACTGCAGAAACATTCCCAGAAAAGCATTTTAAGACACTTGCTTTTATTGAAATTTAAATATAACACGGCAAACAGAAACAAACATTTCAGTAAAGCAAGAATCAATGGAGGACAAGAATTTGGCACTTGTACACATTTTATTGTAATTGACACATCTCAGGATATTTTCCGCTGGGCAATCCTTAGAATGCTTTCCTGTGCCTCCCCAATCTGAAATAGTCCTGTTTAGGGCCAACTAAAATACATTATTTTTAACAACAACAATAAGAATTTATTATTTATACCCCGCCCATCTGGCCAGGTTTCCCCAGCCACTCTGGGCGGCTCCCAACAGAATATTAAAAGCACGATAAAAGATCAAACATTAAAAGTTTCCCTAAACAGGGCTGCCTTCCGATGTCTTCTAAAGGTCAGATGGTTGTTTATTTCCTTGACATCTGACGGGAGGGTGTTCCACAGGGAGGGTGCCACTACTGAGAAGGCCCTCTGCCTGGTTCCCTGCAACCTCACTTCTCGCAGTGAGGGAACCACCAGAAGGCCCTCAGTGTCTGGGCTCAACGATGGGGGTGGCCGAGGCCATTTAGAGCTCTAAAAGTCAGCGCCAACCAATTGTTCTCGGAAACGTACTGGGAGCCAATGTAGATCTTTTAGGACCAGTGTTATATGGTCCTGGCAGCTGCTCCCAGTCACCAATTTGGCAGCTGCATTCTGGATTAGTTGTAGTTTCCAAGTCACCTTCAAAGGTAGCCCCACATAGAGCGCATTGCAGTAGTCCAAGCAGAAGATAACTAGAGCATGCAGCTACGCATCCTTTAGATGCACATTTTTCCTGTTCAGAACCAGGAAATATCCCTATCCCCAGGAAACATTGCTTCTGTTTTGTCAGGGTTCAATCTCAACCTGTTGACCACCACCCAGTTTTTAAAACTGCCAGAAGTTTAGGCATGTTAGTCTCTGTGTAGCAACAATCCTAAAGAAAAGGTCTGGGGGCCATTTTAAAGATAAACCAATTTATTGTGGCACCAGCTTGAGTCTGGGCTTAAGGAAGAATGGTAAGCAATATGGTAAGAAACTGAGAGACAAAGATAAAGCCGATTTCTCTGAACTCTCCTGCTCCCAGATTTGGCCGGTTTCTCTCCCTCCTCCCTCCATGGTTTCTGCATCAAAATGGGGGTTGCTGACCAGCGAATTAAGTGAGTAGGCAAGGACAAGAGGGGTGTCGCAATGAAAGCAGCCTCCAAAACAGTACAATGAGGATTCATGAGGACATGAACCAGTTTTCCTATGACAGTTAGAGTAGAGCCATAGAAACCTGGTCCCAAATTTAATTTACTGATATTTGAGAAACACCTGGCATACCGGAAAATATTTCTTCTTTAACTATTGGCCAGATATTCCCTGGAATTTCAAACTACTGTATTTAACCTCATTTCGTTAGCTCTGATTTTGTATTTGTCAAGAAAATCTACTGTAAACTGTTAATAAATTGTTTTAAATATAAATAAGATATATCAGTTGACTTTTATCTTAAAGCCTCTCTTTTTTCCCTAAAATGTCCTTGTGTGCGTGTGTTTCACCCCCATCCTCCCCCAATCTATTTTATTGATTGAGAATGTGCAGCAGCCCAGTCACTTTCATGACTGAACAAGGATTTGAATACAGATCTCTCACCTACTTTGATGGTGCTGTATCATAAAATGTAGTTGTTTTACCAGCAGCAACGATTTCACAAACGACTGCCTTTTCTCTGCTTTCATTTCTCCTTGCACCCCATCTTCCCCATACGTGAAAAGGGGGAGTAGGCAATAAACGCAGGGGGTGGTGTAAGAAAGGACAGGGGGAAGGTCAAGATTACTACTGTTTCCTAAAATAGCCCAGTCATCCAGCATTCCTTCAAAGTGCTCTCCTACACGCTAGGAAAAAGCAATGTAGGAAAATGTTTTTGCGGTTCAATGCTACGAAAAAGGGAAATGGAAAAAAACACCTGGTATTTTTGCATGCTCCACACAAGTTAACAGAATTGCCCAAACTCCAGATCATTTTTCTCCCGGCAGGTGTACAGCAGAGCCATCTGCAGGACTGAATAATTACTGCAGCTATTATCACATCTGGAATAATTCTATTGTGGTAGCAGTGAATCATTTATTAAAGCAAGAGCCAGGGCTACCAGCTGGGATTAATTACTTTTAAAAGGTTCATTAAAAAGCAAACGGTAGCTGTGCTGGTTCACAGAGGGGCAAAAAAACCCTCCAAAATCCAACCAAAATGTCACAAAAGTGCATCCATAGCTGTCGTGCATGAACGACACTTGCTTTGGCTATATAAAGATCCATGTTGAACACTGGAAATAGAATTAATGAGGTATTATTGTGAAAATGGGACTTTTAACCTGAAGGTGGAAGCAGCAACTGGAACAGGTTTTTTTTTTAATGATTACCAAAGTTTATTGATTGCTATTAAATATAACTACAGTCGTACCTTGGAAGTCGAACGGAATCCGTTCCGGAAGTCCGTTCAAATTCCAAAACATTTGGAAACCAAAGCACAGCTTCTGATAGGCTGCAGGAACGTCCTGCAGCCAATCGGAAGCCAGACATTTGGCTTCCAAAAAGAGTTCAAAAACCAGAACACTCACTTCCGGGTTTCGATCGTTCATGAGCCGAAACGCTTGAGTACCAAGGTGTTCGACAACCAAGGTATGACTGTACATTTAAAGCACATTTGAAGCACTGTCTTCCCTTCAATAGAATCCTGGGCACTGAAATTTCCACTCACAGAGTTACCATTCCCAGCCACCCTTTAAAAACTACAGTGCCCAGAATTCTTGGGGTGGGAGAAGAATGTGGTTTGAAAGTTCTTTGTAGTGTGTACACAGCCTCAGGCTTCCAATTTAATATGAGATCCAGGAACCAAATGTAAAAAAACTTTGCAAATAATAAGGAATAGTGTTTATTCAGGACCAGGTATGTGTCAGTTGTGGTATTATTTCTTTGAATGTTGATTTCAGGGTTTTTTTTTATTCTTACTGATCTTTTTGCTGAAGCAGACTGTATCTGTGGCATGGGCCAATTTCGAAGAGGAAAGGTTAAACAGGTCAGCGTAGGGTCTCTCTATGTAATAGATGGAGACAGAAGAAACGTTAAAAATGGATCACAAAGAAAGTAGCAGAAGAACATTTCAATCCTGCGAGACTCACTCCAACATTAAGATCACCGTATTTAAAATAGAAAGTGGCCTTAAGGTCAGAGAGAGAGAGAGAGAGAGAGAGAGAGAGAGAGAGAATCAGTCCCACAGGACTGAAGTGTTCCTTTGCTATTTCTCTTCTTTTTAATGCCTGGTCTAAATCTATCTATTACACAGCATAGGGACTCTAGCTTGGCCCATGCAACATTTTGTCTTCCAAATTGCATCACGACAAAATATGCAGCCTGCTTCAGCCAAAAGACTGCATTCGGGAAGAGAAGCTGGTGGTAATCATCATTTCCCAGAATTAGCCTTCTTCATGCGCACCCTAGGATACGAAGTGGTATGGTTGGAGTTCATCAGCAGTTTTAATTGAACTTGCATGGTTTCCTGCGAATGCAACCCATCTGAAAGGTGACTCTAATCTGCTGTGGATGTAACATTTGTTCTCCTTCGCTCTCAAGCATGCCATGGCAGCGACAGTTGTCACTTCTTCTTTTTTATATATAATTTTTATTAATTTTTCTGTTTTAGAATTTAAAATACTCATTTTACATCCTTAAGATATCAATGACTTCCCTTCTTCTCTTTCTGCGGTTCATTTTACATATCATAAACCCCTGCATATTTTACAAAAACTATACCATCCCGTATGCCATTATTGCATCCATCAAAACTTATTTACACTGTTGAATTTATCTTAATGCTGCCAGCATTTTCAGCGATACACAGTTATTTCCCACATATTCAATAAACATTTTCCAGTCTTCTCTAAACATATGTTCTTCTTGTTCTCTTATTCTATCTGTTAAGGCTGCGAGTTGTGCATATTAACTTAAGCTGCCATTCTTCTTTGGTTGGGACCTCGCTCGTTTTCCATTTGGGGGCTAACGAAACAGGGGCCATAGTAGCAGCATACATAAATAACCTTTTTTGACACCTGGGAATTTCAGTCTGAATTATCCCCAACAGAAAGGACCCTGTTTTTTTCGGGGAAAGTACTCGATGGTTGTCACTTCTTTCTGATCCCCAACAGATGTTGGTATGGGGATATATAATTTCTGACCATGGAGGTGCCATTTAGCTGTCCTTGCTACCCTACAGATTCTAATTCTGATTATACTAGCTGAGTGTCAAATATGTACTCAGTGTAGCATCATGCACACAAAAGAGAGATGTATTAGCAGGCCTGGGAGAACTTCGAGGTTTGCAAAGTACAAGAAAATATTTAGGGGCGTGAAGAAGCTCAGGAGAAAAAAACCAGCAATGGATCAGTGAATACTGATTATGGGCATTGGGTACATAATGCTGAATAACAGTAAGGGCGAGGAAACTGAAAACTGGAGGACAGAGGGGTAATGCAATACAGTAGTACCTTGGCTCCCGAATGACTGAAAACCCGGAAGCGAGTGTTCCAGTTTTCAAACGTTTTTTGGAAGCTTCTGCTATTGTTTTCGGCATGCCTGTGCAATCGGAAACCAATTGGAAGCCGTGCCTTGGTTCCCAAACCTTTTGGAAGTCAAATGGACTTCCAGAACGGATTCTGTTTGACTTCCAAGGTACAACGGTATAATAATAACTTTATTATTTGTACCCTAAAAAACCATCAGATATGTAAAGGAGAACTGTGATAAGGAAATGGAGTTTAAGAAAGATTTTGAACTCCTTAATAAAAATTCCAAATAGGAAACAGAAGTCACAGAAGAAGAGTAAAAATAAGGAAAAGTGATGAGCACCTCTGAGAAAAGTTTCCATGTGCTTTCATAACTACAAAGTGTGGAAGGCCGTCTGAAAAACAACGAAGTTTGTACCACCAAAGAAGAGAGACCAGCCTCAACGAAACATTTTCGTTCAAATTCCAAACGTGAAGGTCCAACTACATTGGATCTGGATGAAGAAGCTGATCGTGCGACAACAGGTTGTGTTGAAGAGGTAGAGGCCACAGAGGAGTCGCTGCCAGACAGGTCAGGAGGGAAAAAACCAAAGCCTCCGAGACCAAAAGATGCTACTAGTAGGTCTGTTTCTCTTTTCTCCCTCACCTTCTTCAGGATGTGGGGAGAAGAGGGAAAGAAGGAAGAGCGTAAATATTTCCTAGAGGCCACAGTGCTGTGAGAGAGTTGACCGCTTCTGCTACTGGAACGGTGTGCTTAGATACTTAGCAGTTCATGAGAGACATGAAGACACCGGCTTAATTTTCCAGGCACATTCCTTTTTTGCTAGCATTTACCCAATGCTGCTAAGCTTTGGGAGCAAATGAGAGCACAAAAATGAGGCTTGCTTTTCAGCTTTGCAGGACGTGGGGCGGGAGGCAGTGGGAAGACAAAGAAGTGAAGCCAAATTTCTTCCAGCCTGGGTTGGAAAGAAGAGAGGAAAATCTGAGGAATCTTTGTGCTTTTTTTTTTTGTATTTTACATAAAGCAAACAAGTGGGAAGGCAAAAGCTGATAAGAAAACAAAATGGTGGGAATGAGCCAGGGACTAAAGGAGAAAAAGGAACAAAAAGGCAGAAAAAAGTATCCTCTCTCGGCCTTTGGGTGTCTTGGAGACATTTTCAAACCGCCACAAAAAACAAAACCACAGTAAAAAGGACAACTTTGAAGCAACAGACTAGCAGGGAATGGAAGCCACCACCGACTAAGCTAAAAGCCGAAACAGACCGGATTGCAAGGCCTCAGAAGTTTCATCAAACCGCAATTTCTGCCTCAGACCTTAGGAGGAGCTCAACTCCCATCTGATCTCATATTTCAGTCTCATTTGTTCAGTGTGCAGTTTCTATTCACTTGTCACATTAACAAGATCCATCATGCTTAATCCCGCCATACGTTCATTTATTTAGAAAGGAAATGAACAATATTATCTGAAATGTGCGTTTTTATGTCCTGCTGCTCTGATCAATTCCCAACCCCTGTCTTTTCTGTTTAAATGAGAAGTTGTATTAGGGGTTTCCTTTGGCTCAGTTAAAAAACACTTAGGCCAGCCTTGCTTTTCCAGGAATTTAAAAAGTCAACATCTTATTGGAAAGCAAATGACGTCTGACTTGAAAAAAAGCAACAGGAGAACATTTTTTAAAAGAGTTTTGTATTTTTATTGTTCAAGTAGTACAAAATCTATATACTAACCGTTTTGTTAAAATACATTTAACACAATGTGAAAAGCGAGCTTCAGCCTTACTATGTCAGTCCATATATCATACAATCATAATGATAGAGTTTCATGGGTTATAAGACAGTTCTGCAACACTCTTGTTCAAGCGTAGCAGACACCACAGCCGCAATCCAAATATTTTTGTCAACTTAAGCAAATATACATACACACACAAGAGTATGAACAAACATTTCCCCACTAAACAGATCCTCAATGCAGTCTGCTCTAGGCCCAACCAATCACAAATCTGAATTAGACATGGCAAAACTATTTGATTCAGTTCGCATTTAAAGGCAAATAAAGATAATTCACATTTCCTGAAACGCTATGTGAACTGCCATCTTTCAAAATTCACACATTTCCAGAATTGGCAAAGCAGTTCTCCAGCCAAGTAATGTGTACAAAAATGCATGTTGCGGGGATACAATTGTGAAAATGAGCAAAAATGCGTTATGTCAGGGAATATGTAAATATAAGGAAAATGTGGCTCACAAAAATATGTATATTAGGCAAAATCGCATACACAGATGTAGGAGAAATTCACACTAAAATGCTGGTGAATTTTCAGAAATATATTGCAAACTGATGTAGAGAACTGAATTTAAGACTGGTAAAATGAGAAAGTGAAGCAGATTCACCAATCCCTTATCTGGAATCAGACCCTTCTGAAGAGGTATTGGATAAATCAGGTGTTAGATGCAAAGGTTCCCCTTCAGAGGTAGGATTGCATCCTGTTTCCACATGTAGATTAGGCTCCGGAATTGGGGTTCACATTTTTTGCATACCGAACACATTTGTTAAGCATAATCGCGTTTTAAAATACCTCCCATTAAAAATGCAGGACTGCTATGGGTGTAGTGCTTTCAGAAGGTGAAATGTTTTCTCAGCAACCTTTATTCACCTCTACTGGCCATTTTTAAAAAAAAAAAATAGCAATTTATGATACAGTGGTACCTCGGCTGTCGAACGTAATCCGTTCTGGAAGACCGTTCGACAACTGAGGCACAATGGGCTATCAGCAAGTTCAATGGGGAAAATTGGGAAACGGAAGGAATTACTTCCGGGTTCTCGGTGTTCGGGTTCTGAATTGTTCGGCTTCCGAGATGCTGAAAACCGAGGTTCCACTGTACTGAGACAACCAGGAATCGCATAAGCCAAAATCCCTTACAATGGGGTAGCATCAGTTGCTAACACCCTGGGTGGCGCCAGCCCCCGCCACCAACACTGCTGGAGCAATCCCACCCCCAGCAGAACAAAGTAAGGCCGCACTCAGCCGCCTGGGCAAGGAGGAGCCTGACCAGGCCGCAGGTGGGGTCACCTGGCCATGCCTGCTCAAAAACTGTGCACCTGGGGCCCCCCAGCACCCCCACACTACACCCTGATCCTCAACTCCTATGGGTAAAACGTAAAGGACCCCTGACCGTTAAGTCCAGTCACGGACGACTCTGGGGTTGCGGCGCTCATCTCGCTTTACTGGCCAAGGGAGCCGGTGTTTGTCCGCAGACAGCTTCCAGGTCATGTGGCCAGCATGACTAACCCGCTTCTGGCGAACCAGAGCAGCGCATGGAAACACCATTTACCTTCCTGCCAGAGTGGTACCTATTTATCTACTTGCATGCTTTCCAACTGCTAGGTTGGCAGGAGCTGGGACCGAGCAACGGGAGCTCACCCCGTCGTGTGGATTCGAACTGCCGACCTTACGATTGGCAAGCCCTAGGCTCAGTGGTTTAGACCACAGCGCCACCCGCATCAACTCCTATGGGTAGGTGTGACTAATTCATCATATCCTCCATTTTTAAAGAGATGGGTTTGGTTCCTCGTGTAGCCCAAAGGACACCGTCTACGCACGAGAAGGAACTATGGAGCAAGCGTCACAAAATTATGATAAACAATCGCTTTCTTTGGATTTGCACCATAATTATTACGACACTGCAAAGTCACTATGCCACACTGTCAATCTTAGGTATGCGACAACATCAAAAAGCCAATTTGGGGTAAGGGATGTTCTTCATTCCCTCATCCACGGGCAAACGTTTTCTGCAAAAAGTGCTTCCCTTCAGCTCAGTCCTAGACAAATGTACTGGGTATCTGGCAAGGGGTCTGTTTATTTAACCAAGTCATACCTAATTTTAAGGGAGCTATCACAATACAGTGCAACCTACATTTTCGTCTACTTCGAAGCCATTACTGTTAAGTGTTGCTGTTATTATGATAAAATTTCAGGTTTATGAAGCCCACAGAACTTGTATTATGCTTATGTGAATAAGGCTGCTGGGTTTGCTTGTTTTTTTGTTTTTGCTATTTTATTTTAAACCTTAAATGGAGGGACTAAAACTACATGCAGCATTTTCAAAACAGGCTTTGGTTTATTTTATTTTACCTTATTTATTAAATTTATATACCACCCTTCACCCATAGAGCTGGTGGTGGCTCACAACATAAAAATACAAGATAAAAAACACAAAATGCGTAATAAAAACAAGAACAAAAATGAAACAATAACCCCCTCCCTGAAACACATTTATAGGGTTTAGCCCTGGTTAAAGTTGAAGTATTACTTCTCACGCCTTTTATATGAGCCCATTTCCATCGTGCTACAAATATATTTTTTGATGTGCATGAATAATCAATTTCTACTAGTAGATCCTAATTTAAACTACATAGAGATAGGGAAAGTGCTCCCAAAAAACCAGAAATCTCTGAATTGCAACCTCCTACTTTTGCTTGGTTCAAGCTGACAAGATTTTATTTACTGTTAGAGTGGACAGTTTCCTAATCTGGGCATCTTTATAAAATTAGTTATGTATATACAGCGAATCTGTTGCAAAGAAAAGAGTGAGGGTTTTTTTTTTAACTCTGATAGTCTAATCAGTTATCTTCCCAGATAATGCCCTACCACTATCATGAAAAATATTCCTCACAGTTTAGAGGCCATTTGGCAATGAACAGTAGCAGCTTCTCTGAAACATGCCACTAGTGGAGAATTTCAGAAGGTTCATTGCCTTCAGAGTTTGCCTTGAAAAGCACCATCAACCAAAAGTAAAAATATTTCTCTCTATATATATTTGTTTATTTGTTTCATAAAATTCATACGCCGCTTGATTATACAAAAACCTCATAGCGGTTTACCAAAAAAAGATAAAATTATCAATAAAAATATTGACAATAATTTAAGGCCAATGCATGCAGAAAGTCATCAACTACCTCCGCAGTAATTCAATCACAAATCTGCAGGAGCAGAATATGGTGTTTTGAAGTTCTTTCGGGATTTAATACAACATCTATCAAGGTTCATGACCAAAACAGGTTTGTTAGAGATCGTAGAGCAGGCTTCCTCCACCTCGGCCCTCCAGCTGTTTTGGGACTACAACGGCCATCATCCCTGACCACTGGTCCTGCTAGCTAGGGATCATGGGAGTTGTAGGCCAAAAAACATCTGGAGGGCCAAGGTTGAGGAAGCCTGTCACAGAGGTTGCTTTGAGCACAAAAACGGTAATTGTGTAAGTATACTGAGAAAATACAATTAAGCAATGCTTAATTTAGCAATCATTGGCATTTAGCAATAAATGCAAAATATAGCTCGACTTTGGTCACCTCCCTTACAGAAACAGCCAATATATAAGACTTTGCTCCTTGGTACATCAAACACATGACAACACATTTTAACATTGCACTATGGCAGCAGAGGCATCTTGGCAAACTGATTATTGTTTGTCATTTCTAAGAAGGATTTCATTCAGTTCAACTTTATTCAAAGTGGAAAAACATAATGTTTTATAAATATAAAAATTGCTGACTGTGTGCTCCAGTAACTTGTCAAATAACTAAACTGTCCTTAAAATTTTAGTTACTAGAGCACTTAAAATACCTGGGACCAAAACCTGCATGGATTCAGTCACAAAAATTATGCGCAGCGCTAGTGCATTTATATACTTCTCTTCAGAGACGCCAGTGTCCCAGTTTTGATTTTTCCCCAAAGCTATTGTGTGTGCTTTTCCTCAAAAGCCTCCATCTGCAAGAGAAGAGAAACAGAAACGTGCCTCACTTTAAGGGACAAACGGCCATTTTCCAATGTGCATCTCTTTGGCAGAGGGCCTTCTTGGTGGTGGTGCCCGTTCTGTTAAACGCCCTCCCATCAGATGTCAAGAAAATAAACATCTGACTTTTAGAAGACATCTGAAGGCAGTCCTGTTTAGGGAAGTTTTTAATGTTTGATGTTTTATCATGCTTTTAATATTTTATTGGGAGCTGCCCAGAGTGGGCAGAAACCCAGCCAGATGGGTGAGGAATAAAGTTGTTGTTGTTGTTGTTGTTCCTTTAATATTAAACTTGGCCCGATAACCTTGATCATCGTACAAAGCATCAATATTCTGCAGTTCAGTGCTCACATTTTCAAGGGACACTTACTCAGAGTAGACACACTGAAATTAATGAACATGACTATGCTAGGTCCATTAATTCCAACAGGTCTACTCTGAATCAAAGTGATAATGCCACCCATTATCTCCATGCATATCCACAGACAGAACATTAATAAAGGTAAAGGGACCCCTGACCATTAGGTCCAGTCGTAGCCGACTCTGGGGTTGCGGCGCTCATCTCATTTTATTGGCCGAGGAAGCCAGCGTACAGCTTCCGGGTCATGTGGCCAGCATGACTAAGCCGCTTCTGGCAAACCAGAGCAACGCACGGAAACACCGTTTACCTTCCCGCCAGAACGGTACCTATTTATCTACTTGCACTTTGACGTGCTTTCGAACTGCTAGGTTGGCAGGAGCAGGGACCAAGCAACAGGAGCTCACTCCGTTGCAGGGATTCGAACCGCCGACCTTCTGATCGGCAAGTCCTAGGCTTAACCCTAGGTTTAACCCACAGCGCCACCCGCGTCCCAGAACGTTAATACCTAGAAACAAAAGACACTTTTGGAGTTTAGGTAATGATATTATCCCTCACAGACCTGAATTTTGTCAGAAACATGGCAATCTTGCGTTTTATAAACCTACCTATAAATTATTTAAAGTCCTATGTTCAGAACTGACAACATACTGACCTCTGCTTGGACTCCCATCACTTTCTGGGTCCAGCTGTCATGCTGAGCCAGATCTCGATCTATCCTCTTGCTTGGCAGGAGTGCGCTGCTGATCATCTGGTACCTGTTTGGCAGCAGGTGTGACTGGTGCCTCTTTCGAGGCTTCTTTGACAGGGGTAGCTGGCATTTCACCATTGACACTTTCGACGCCACTGACAGACATCAAGTTCTTACGTTCCTTGGAAGCAGATTTGTGTTCCACCTTTGTGACTCTAAACCTGTTGGGACAAAGCTGAGCTATTAAACAATCCAGCATTTTACTACCGCCTCTGCAAAATTCGGAAAGGTTTCTCTAAATTTACAATTGTATTAGTTTTGAAATGACTGAGGGGCTTATCACTTTGAAAGACGTAAGACAGATGATCTTGCTGTGAGACTGTTTTGGGGGGACAGGGGGCGGGCGGGTGTGGGGGACTCCCTGGTCCTGAATGGGGCAACTGTGCCGCTTAGACTAATGCAACGCACTCTACATGGAGCTACCTTTGAAGGTGACCCAGAAACTACAACTAATCCAGAATGCGGCAGCTTGACTGGTGACTGGAAGCGGCCGCTGAGACCACATAACACTGGTCTTGAAAGACCTACATTGGCTCCCAGTACGTTTCCGAGCACAATTCAAAGTGTTGGTGCTGACCTTTAAAGCCCTAAACAGTCTCGGCCCAGTATACCTGAAGGAGCATCTCCACCCCCATCATTCAGCCCAGACACTGACGTCCAGCACCGAGGGCGTTCTGGTGGTTCCCTCACTGCGAGAAGCAAAGGTTAAGGGAATCAGACAGAGGGCCTTCTCGGTAGTGGCACCCGCCCTGTGGAACGCCCTCCCATCAGATGTCAAGGAAATAAACAACTATCGGACACTTAGAAGACACCTGAAGGCAGCCCTGTTTAAGGAAGTTTTTGATGTTTGATATTTTATTGTGTTTTTATTTTTTTGTTGGAAGTTGCCCAGAGTGGCTGGGGAAACCCAGCCAGACGGGCGGGATATAAATAATAAATTATTATTATTATTATTATTATTATTATTAACTATCTAAACGATATGTGGAGAAGTAGGCGGTTAGAAATTATGGCTGCGCTGCAATTACAAATTCTAGAAGAGTAACTATGTTGACAAACTAATGGATGCTCTTTTAAGAATTTGTCCCTCCAGAGGAGAGAGTCTCAAACATTCTACCGCTACGATAATTCTGAATACAATTCAACTGTTATCATTCCCTAAATATTATTCCCCCACCTATCTTTTGCACTTTAGTCACTGTTCTTACCAGCACTACAAACATGGGACTTCATCAGAATGTAGATTGTAAGCTGGAGCTTACAAACCATGCAGAAACAAATGTGTTATAACACACCTACAAATTTGTCTTTGGCTTTTTCCTGTAAAGCAGTTGCAGCAAGGGGTCATGAGTCCTCTTTCAGTTTTGAAGTGGGCACGCCCAGCCCGACAGAGTCAGGATGCCCTAGAGTTCCCTGCACCAATGCAAAAACCTACGGAGAAACGTCTCCGTTCGCATGGAGCTTCCAAACTCTGCATCAGTTCGTCCTCGACAGTACCACAAACAAAGGGAGCGATATTCCAACTGCTGTGCAGCTGGGATTACGAGGGACCAGGCCTGCACAGGAAAGAAGCTGGCCAATTTCTGCTGAAGAGATAGACTGGCCTGTTTCACATTGTAGTTGAACTAAACTAGACGTAGGGTTGCCTTATCTTGAAGAGCAAAAAAGAGGACCACTCAAGGCCTCTTTCCCCCAGCTTGGGCTGGCAGAAGCCATACCTGAGCCAACACCCAACAAACAAACAAACAACACCCCAAATGTTCAAGTTAGAAGGAGAAAGTATGATGGACCTTTAATACCAAAATCCCAGGCATTTCCTTTAAAATGTAACACCCCCCCCCCCCGTAGTGATCAGGTGGGATTGCTATGAGGAATTATAACAAATATAGAGTAAGCCATCTGTGTCAGCAATGAAAGCATTGCGTTGACTGGGTTTAAACTATTTTGATATAATTCTTGATCAATCCACACCTCTGCATCCCTGTTCCATTTCTCTTTCTTGACCAGTCACGCACACTGCCAGTTGCTTCGCCAGGCAGGCATCCTGGGTCATCAACGACAGTGGGCAGCTTCTTTGATGTAGCTTTTCTGATATGTTAATCTTAGGATGTTAATCTTAGGGCCAGGAAACAGATCACACCTGAAGGTGATAATGATCGTTGTCTTCCTGGCCATCCTTCTTATCATGTGTATTGCTTGTTTATGACCTCAGGGGTTGCCAAATGCACTCCTTTGTAGTTCTGTTTTGTTTACCCCAGAAATATGTGTGCTTAATTAGTTTTGGTAGTTTAACTTTGTCCCCATGTGGGGTTTGTTGAAATGCTTAGAAGAAATCTGATTGGTTCTTACGAACACTCTGTAAAAGTTCTTTTGTGAATAAAACGACCTGGGCCAGGGGTGGAGGCAGAGATTATTATACGGACCCTTCCCAGAGTCTTGCTGGTTCAAGCTTCTGTGTATATTCTTATTAATCAGAGTTCAACCCTTCCTTTGCTTTGGGAACGCCTCACCTCGCCCCCGCCCCGGATGGGCATGTTGCCCCCCCGCAAAAAAAGAGGACATATCCGATATTTCCTGGACATATGGCAACCCTAAACTAGAGTTTAAATGTGAAGGTGCACTACGATCACGCACGCCACCAAAACTGCGAATCCACCACAGTACTGAGAATCAAGTCACGGTTTCACCTAAAATGAAATTATAAACGGGCACACCTTCCAACAGACAACACTGTAACCTCCCCATGCCGGGCTCTTCTTGGTTCTTTGGATTTTTTAGCTGGACTGAACAGGTGCCACCTCTTCTGATTGCAGCGGCTACAGTCACCTGTTCCGGCTACTCCACCAACCGTATGCAAATGGCGGCCTCGGCAAGTGTGTTTCAGCTGAGGGCCTCCGGACGATGAGGGAGACACTGGACTTGTTGGACTGCCTGGCGTAGTCGGACTAGTAGGGCTATATTTAAAGAGCAAAAAACACAAACGTTACAGGACAGAAACGTAGTGTGGTATGGTGGTGGACATGTTGTGGTGGACAGAGGATGAGGTGGTTGGACAGTGTTCTCGAAGCTACCAGCATGAGTTTGACCAAACTGCGGGAGGCAGTGGAAGACAGGAGTGCCTGGTGTGCTCCGGTCCATGGGGTCACGAAGAGTCGGACACGACTAAAAGACTAAACAACAACAATCTACAGTGCCGCTTGTACACATTCATCACCTTTTAGAAAAATATAACAACAATAAAAAAATCTCTATTTAAAGAGGAGGAAAAAAATGCCAGCCATGGAGGGCAGGTGCTGTCACAAGCACAAGTCAATCCACAGCTGGCTTCTCAACAAACTTGCAATGCCAGTTTCCCTGGAGGGAAAATGGTTTGAACAGTGAGTCTGCTTCCAGAACAACTCTCCCCCATCAAATGTTTGCGCCTGTACGCAGCCTAAGTTCAAGTATGTGTAACCAGACATATTCTTTCACCTGACCTATGTTTCCTTGCCTCTTCATGCTCTCTCCTGCTCTGTTGGATGTTTAAATTGTTAAAAGTTCGCCAGAAAACTTAGCTTAACTCTGTGAGGCACCATATGCATTGATGATGCAATTATAGGTATATGCGAGCATATTTATTATCTCACGCAGACAGGATTTTTGTAAAAACATGCAGCTGTCTCTAGCTTAATGTAACATGCACCCAACTTTTAAAGACACATATATGAAACTTTTAAGAACTTCACTATTACAGTACAATCTGTCTGAAAAAGCCTGCATTTGCAAACTTCAAACAAACCGCCTTCTGCAACAACCTCAAAAACCATTAACATCTTGTCTCCCCTGAATGTGGAGCATAAAATGAAAAAAAAAGGTTTTACCTTTCAGGATCATATACAGAGTTATCTGCCACCATGGCCTTCAGAACATCAGCATTAGCTGCAAGAATGACATAAATAAGAAACACTTAACATTTTGGAGTTGATCTCTTTGAACATGGCTGGCCTAACTTGGACATTACGCACACTTATATCAATAAGATAACATGCCACAAATAACTTTCTTTCTACTCCTGACCCCAAAGCAGTTTGAATCCTTGGGAAAATATCTCTTTGGAATGTATGAATGAGAAAGTGTATACGATGCGTGCTGTGAATTAAAAGTCCTAAATTAAATGTCTTCATTACTTCCAAAGGTTGCATATTGGCGGTGAGAAGAGGCAATTCAAAAAGTGGGAGGGGGTCTCTCCCCCCCCCTTGCCCCCATCATTCCTCCTCTCTCTCATTTACACATATATCTTGAAGCCATTTTGATTGAGAAAAGCATTGGAGAGAAAAAAATGATTGCCAGGGGGTGATCTTTGTGGATCTAGCAGCATATGGTGTGGGCTGGCTCATAAATATTCCTCCCCCTTCCCTCTGGCTGCTGATACATGCCTAACTGATGCCTCCAAATGGAGCCAAAGGAAGCTTAATAAAAATGAGCCTAAATTCTGCAGATGGGAGGCATAGTGAGGAGGGGAGGCTGTGGGACAGAGGTTCCTCATGACCTGCACATTCAATTTTTTTAAATAGCTGTATTGCATACCTTCATTTTTCATAATGTAGTCAACTATTTTCCCCACGGTGTCACCATTATCATTCGTACTTTCGTTCAGCTCTGGAAAGAGAAAGAAAGATTTGGCTTGTGGGCTGGATAAATAACCAACCAGGACTGGAGATGTAAAGAATCTGGTAAAGTTAAAGCTATGGTGGCTGGGGTGGGGAGCAATGTCTCCCTGAGCGGGGAGGAATAGAAAAATTGCAATAATGCCATGTTTTCCTCCTTATCAAACCTTACTTTGCTGCTTTATCATAATATGCACTGTTTTTTACCATTCGACATATTGATGAAATTTACTCAGAGTGAAAAGAAAGACTACTTTTATTGCCATAAAAATAAAATGTATGCACATAACTTATTTTAATAACTGAAGTCTTGCTTTTCCAGTGTGATGGATATGGCCTGTTTTTGTGGACAATTCTGTGAAGTCCAGGTGTAATGCTTATCAGTTCTGGCCTTGGATTATGTTCAGCAATACAGTAGTACCTTGGAAGTCGAACGGAATTCAACTTCCGAAACGTTTGGAAACCAAGGCACGGCTTCTGATTGGTTTCCGATTGCACAGTTGTGCCAGAAACAATAGTAGAAGCCACGCCGGATGTTTGGTTTCTGAAACAAGCTCAAAAACCAAAACACTCACTTCCGGTTTTCGATCTTTCGGGAGCCGGAATGTTCGACTCCCAAGGCATTCAGGAGCAGAGGTACGACTGTAATACCTTTAGCTGGGAAATAGTTATGGTAAATTAGTAAACTACACAGGTATCATATTATGAAAATCACAGGCCCTCGGCCAAAACCTTGCTAACCTGCTGAATGATCTGGCTCTGGTCATCAGGGAAATAAATACCGTATTTTTTTGCTCTATAAGACGCACCAGACCACAAGACGCACCTAGTTTTTGGAGGAGGAAAACAAGAAAAAAAATATTCTGAATCTCAGAAGCCAGAACAGCAAGAGGGATCGCTGCGCAGTGAAAGCAGCAATCCCTCTTGCTGTTCTGGCTTCTGGGACAGCTGTGCAGCCTGCATTCGCTCCATAAGATGCACACACATTTCCCCTTACTTTTTTGGAGGGAAAAAGTGAGTCTTATAGAGCACAAAATACGGTAAATCAACTGCAAGGTTAAGTACAGATTTGCAAGTTTCCAAGGTCCACCTGAACAGAGCTTGCAGACCACCAGTTGTATACAGACCATAGTTTGAGGGCCTCTGATCCAAGCACTATAAAAATGGGGTTAATGCTTGTTGTTCCTTATTTCCACATTAGCACAGGCACCAGTCTTTTAAATCATTCTCGCCTACCTATCTTTTCCCCAAGCTGCTCCTCCTCTTGCTCAGATTCTGTTGTACAGCGATATCCTTTTTTCTTTAGCATATGGCAGATGAAAACCCCCAGGAGCCCCATGAGGAAAAAGACCGGAATCAGGAAATATGCAATATATTCTGGGTGCTGCCCGTTTCCTGACGATCCACTTTCAGGCTTATTTGCAACGTCATCTGCGCTATGGCTTGCCAAGGTACGAGGGCCCCCTATGAAAACAAGGGGGGAGAAAGACTACAGAATTAGTGAGATTTGTACAGCAATGCTGATATTTTATGCGCTTCTCAGTCCAGAAACTAAATGTTCCCCAAAAGCAAGGCACCAGATGAACAAATCCAGGATACTGTAGCCAAGTATGTATTTCATTTTGATGGCAAGTAAAATTGAATTCTATTATGCAATTGTTTAAATTACTTTAATTTAGCTGTTCTGCTTAAGTATAATTATAGAGTTAACAACATCATTATACATTTGATTTATCCACTGCATTGCATTATTATGTGTTACAATTTTTCGTTATTTTTATGCATTAAAAGAACGAATTCATCAACAAGAAGTGGGCCTTGCTCGTGGAAATATATAGAAGAAGAGTTTGGATTTGATATCCCGCTTTATCACTACCCGAAGGAGTCTCAAAGCGGCTAACAATCTCCTTTCCCTTCGTCCCCCACAACAAACACTCTGTGAGGTGAGTGAGGCTGAGAGACTTCAGAGAAGTGTGACTGGCCCATGGTCACCTAGCGGCTGCATGTGGAGGAGCGGGGAATCAAACCCGGTTCCCCAGATTACGAGTCCACCGCTCTTAACCACTACACCACACTGGCTCTCTGAAATATATAATCAAACTTATTGACTCAATTCATACAATCACACCATACTACTTTGTTCAGAAGTGGCCAGCAATGGTTTGCAACTCTGTATGACAACCAGCACCAGAAAACCTTGGAAAAACCATTGTCACAGTCATGTCTCCATCTCCAAAGGCACCATGGAAACAGGAATGAAATTTAAAAGCCAAGTGTTGAGAAGAGTTGAAATGAAAGCAGACAAGCAGCTATAAATCAGTTTCCTTATTCCAAACGCTAAAAAAGAAAGAAAATTGAGCCTGTACAAAGCCTCTGAGTGCTTCAGAAATGCCCACAACATAGTATGCAATATTTCGAGTTATACCAGACTATCTTTGTACACAAAGAGAAAATGTGACATTTTAAGCAAAACTGGAATAGTTCACACCTTCTTTGAATTCTTCACTTATTTGAGAAGGAAGCCAAGCTGTAGCCCTTTCTACTTTACACCTCCACTTAAATTTCTAACACCTTAATATTTAATCATGCCTTCCTCACAAAACTACAGTACCAGCAGAGACACTTATTTACACAGAGCTTCTAATGGTAAAGCCCAAGCAATATTTATAAATTCCCAATTTCTGAAAAAAATGTGACTTCCTGCTGACTATCCAGCATTGCTTCCAATGTTTGGGACAGATCAAACGGTCTGTTCGCAGGTGGACAGAAATTCATAGCTATGGTTTCCCTTCATCTGCAATGTGCTAATTATGAGAGCTGCCAGAGTTCACACCAATTCCTAGACAAAACTGGTTTTGATGTGTAGCTTCCATTTTCCCCCCTCCTTGGGTTCCTCTCTCTTTTTGTCAAACAGAATCACATAAGGAATTCAACAGCGTAGTCAATCACATCAGAGACAGTTCAGCAGTTGTTGTTGTTGTTTAGTCGTGTCCGACTCTTCGTGACCCCATGGACCAGAGCACGCCAGGCACTCCTGTCTTCCACTGCCTCCCGCAGTTTGGTCAAACTCATGCTGGTAGCTTCGAGAACACTGTCCAACCATCTCGTCCTCTGTCGTCCCCTTCTCCTTGTGCCCTCCATCTTTCCCAACATCAGGGTCTTTTCCAGGGAGTCTTCTCTTCTCATGAGGTGGCCAAAGTATTGGAGCCTCAGCTTCAGGATCTGTCCTTCCAGTGAGCACTCAGGGCTGATTTCCTTCAGAATGGATAGGTTTGATCTTCTTGCAGGCCATGGGACTCTCAAGAGTCTCCTCCAGCACCATAATTCAAAAGCATCAATTCTTCCAGCGATCAGCCTTCTTTATGGTCCAGCTCTCACTTCCATACATAGTTCAGCAGTACTTGACTATTGTTAGCATCCTTCTGCCTCGAGAGAGCACAAACCTGGGCAGTGTGCACGGAGGTCCTGGGCTGCCCAGGCAACAAAACCCCCCTCTCGGCCTCTCTTATGTGGTCCAAAGGAAAACAAAGCAATACAATTGGCACCAGCTTGGCTGCAGGAGTTGCCAAAAGGAGGAATACAAAGCGCCATCCAGCCGTCTTAGGGATTCCAATCTGGATTTGTGCAGGATTTATTCCTTGGCCTTTTCCTCTCCTTAAGATGTCCCGCAAGGCAGTGGAGGTTTAGAATCAGAATTTTCCTCCTCAAAGATGGGCTACCTTCCCAGGTTGATGAGCCCCATCCGCCCCTCATTGCCCTCTGCAACACATGCAGAAACTGCCTTATGAACCATTGAATTGGCTATTGGTCCCATCCACTCAATCTGCTAGAGGTTGACTTTGAATACATAGGAATTCCCTAACTCACCAAGCGTTTGAGACCCATTGCCTACCTTCATCCGGTTTAGTCAAAGTCATTTCCCAGGGTGTGGCTGCTGTCACATGCTGACAGCTTTTAGGAGCTACAGGTGAGAGCTGAGTGGGGTACAAAGGTGGGCCAGAAGTGAGGAGAAAGGTGGACAAACAGAAGGAGAATGACGTGTCCAACAGAGGTACTAGGTAAGGTAAAGGTAAAAGACCCTTGGACGGTTAAGTCCAGCCAAAGGCAACTATGGGGTTGCGGCGCTCATCTCGCTTTGAGGCCGAGGGAGCCGGCGTTTGTCCACAGACCAATTTCCAGGTCATGTTGGCCAGCATGACTAAACTGCTTCTGGCACAGTGGAACACCATGATGGAAACCAGAGCTCACAGAAATGCTGTTTACCTTTCTGCTGCAGTGGTACCTATTTATCTACTTGCACTGGCGTGCTTTCGAACTGTTAGGTTGGCAGGTGCTAGGACAGAGCAACAAGAGCTCACCCTGTTGCGGGGATTCAAAGTGCCAACCTTCTGATCAGCAAGCCCAAGAGGCTCAGTGGTTTAGACCACAGCGCAACCCACGTCCCTCTAATACCACTTCCTCTTCCCTAATACCCCATACATCCTGGAGGTTCATATAACCCATCAGATATATGCCTAGGGTGGAGCAGAGGTGTAACAAAACAGATGTTTATATTGAAGTACAGTGGTACCTCAGGTTACATACGCTTCTGGTTACATACACTTCAGGTTACAGACTCCGCTAACCCAGAAATAGCACCTATGGGTTAAGAACTTTGCTTCAGGATGAGAACAGAAATTGTGCTCCGACGGCACGGAGGCAGCAGGAGGCCCCATTAGCTAAAGTGGTGCTTCAGGTTAAGAACAGTTTCAGGTTAAAAACGGACCTCCGGAACAAATTAAGTACTTAACCCGAGGTACCACTGTATAGCCAAGAGGAGACAGTTCTCTTGACTGACTATAATTGCAAAAATGAGACTTTCTGCAACACCAAGTATCTTTATTTTCCCACTAAAATATGAAGAAACTGCTCTCAGAGACCTAAGTTGACGAGGAGCAAACTAAATTAGACAAGTGATTAAAGTCAGCCAGATTTTCATGCTGCTAACCCACAAGTTACTCTTGTACATCTGTGCAAGCTGGCTAAAGCTAGCGCCTTCTACCAGGAGGAAGTTCTACTCAAAGTAAAGGCACAAGGCTTTCCGCTCTTTAATAGCAGTAATGATGTCATTTCATCTTCCTAATCTAGCCCTTTAGGAAGCTTGCAAGCAGAAAACAAAAAGCTGGCAGAAAAAGGGCAAGAAATGTTTTCCGCAGGGTGAGAAAAATGATCCTGATAAGTTCATAAAGTTCTGTCACAAAAGCAACACGAGTGAATAGCCGCTAGATACATGTTTGTGTTTTACTTTAAGGCGGTCAGTGGATTAAACAGTTTTTAGCTAATTATTATTATTATTATTATTATCATTTATTATTTGTACCCCGCCCATCTGGCTGGGTTTCCCCAGCCACTCTGGGCGGCTTCCAACAAAAATTTAAAATACATCAAAATGTCACACATTAAAAACTTCCCTGCCTTCAGATGTCTTCTAAATGTCAGGTAGCTCTTTATCTCTTTGACATCTGATGGGAGGGCGTTCCACAGGGTGGGCGCCACTACCTTCGTAGATTGATCCTGGTGGGTACTGTTTCTCCAGCATGTCACCCAGTGGCATGCAGTGGCAAATAAGAACCCTCCAGCTAGCAGGATTGAACCCTCTGCTCATCAGCTGTACTTCCCTGTGGGGAACAAGCCATGCCTCCTCTTACCACCACCATCAGATGACGGACAGGAGAGTGGTCTTAACTACCTGAAGAAATTGGCCCACAGGGGTGGGTGGAGATAATAATCCGACCCACTGGACGATAGGAGTTCATCACTCCTGCCTAATGGACTAGATCTGAATACTAGATAATCTCCCAGTTTCCTGGAACAATTGTCCTTCTGTAAGTCACAGCTGACTTCATTTTATTTTTGACTGATCTAATGCCCAACCTTGCATGCGCTCTATGGCAGCTGGTGCTTACAAAAACCGAAGCAGTTTGCTGAGTGGCTTCTATGCTCCTATCAATTTACAAATTTTAACTTTGATGTTTACTGGCATTTTTATTTATATACTTTCTTTTGTGCTCCAAATTTAACCAAATCGGCTGAAATGATGCAGAAGCAGTATTGACAAACCTGAGAGGGATTAAACAAAACAAAAAAAACAAAGCAGTCATGTTGGTCCAATAGTGTGTGGTTAATATCTTCAGGAGGACCAATTTTTTTTTATTAAAAAAGAGTATGGTTAGCTAGTTTCAAATTCACCAAAGCTCATCAGGATGGATGAAAAATATTGGGACATGAAAGAACTCTCACTTCTTTGTGAATTTTCAAGTCGACCCTGATAAAAACAGCTTTTGGACTTTACAAAGATAGTTGATGAAATTGATCTTGTCTTTACTAACAGAACAGCAAAATGTAAGGCGTATCGCACTGCTTCTGTTCCTGCTGAATTCGCTATTCAACGCTCAGCAAAGCTGATCTTTCTCTTCCCCCCAAAAAATAAAAAAATTCACTAAACACCAGACAGAAACAGAAGCTGCATCGTGGCTCCTTTTTAAAAAATATAGCTGAGCACCTTGGAGATGGAATTATGTGAATATAAAAATTGTAAGTAGTGGCCTGTTTTACGGGGTGCTAATAAGAGATGTGGGTGGCGCTGTGGGTTAAAGCACAGAGCCTAGGGCTTGCCGATCAGAAGGTCAGTGGTTCGAATCCCTGTGATGGGGTGAGCGCCAGTTGCTCGGTCCCTGCTCCTGCCAACCTAGCAGTTTGAAAGCACATCAAAGTGCAAGTAGATCAATAGGTACCACTCCAGCGGGAAGGTAAACGGCATTTCCGTGCGCTGCTCTGGCTCGCCAAAAGCAGCTTAATCATGCTGGCCACATGACCCAGAAGCTGTACGCCGGCTCCCTCGGCCAATAAAGCGAGATGAGCGCCGCAACCCCAGAATCATCCGCGACTGGACCTAATGGTCAGGGGTCCCTTTACCTTTTTTTAATAAGTATTACAGAGTTAACATAAGGTATTAAGTACATGCCAAGAAAACTATAACTACATCTCATGTAACACTAGTAATACATGATGGGAGAAGAGGCCTGGGGGGATGAAAAGGGGGGGCTGGTTTTTCCACACCTTCACATCTCTAGACAGGAGAGGGAAGTGAATGAACTGATCAACTAGTAAGAAACAGTAAACATTAGCCTCCCTCCTGCCAGCCAAGGACATGCATATAGACAGAGACAGCCCTCTTAACACCAGCCCCTGCATATATGGTACCCCTCCAGAGTCCAGACTAATATTGGTTTTGGAACAGACTTCCGGAACGGATTAAGTTTGAGAACCAAGGTACCACTGTAATCCACAACCACCAGAGGGAACCAGGCTGACAATGGCTGGCGTACACAGTCTGTTGGTGTGGATACTGACCTACAGTACAGTGGTGCCTCGCAAGACGAAATTAATCCGTTCCGCAAGAGTCTTCGTCTAGCGGTTTTTTGTCACTGAAACCAGGCCATTGGCCAGTTAGCGCTATTAGCGCTATGCTGTTTAAGCGTATTAAAGGCTTAAAGCAGGGGATTAGCTGCTAAAGGCTATTAAGAGCTATTAAAAGGCTTAGCAGATTAGATAAAGGGAAGCGAAAAAAATCTCTGGAGCTAATTATTTTCGTCTTGCGCGCAAGCCATAGGGGAATTCGTCCCTGCGGCTGCTTCAAAAAAACCTTAGGTCTAGCGGTTTTTCCGTCTTGCGAGGCATTCGTCTTGCGGGGCACCACTGTATATCAAACTAGGCAAGAGAATTTTTGAGAGCAATTTTCCTAAAAGCCAAAGTGTTCAATCTAGTAGAATCAAAACAGTCACACTTGGATTGTAGCACTTTAAATTGCAGGTGGTGGGGTTTTTTTTTTAATAAAAAAAAACTTTGCAATTTTAAAAAACCATCTCAGCACCACGTAAAGCTACATTCCAGCAAATGATGCATTAATCTCCCCTAGTGCCAAGATTTGCAGAAATTAGTCTGATGTTTAGAGGAAGCAAACCTTTGAACTTATTTAGATTTCCCTTCTCACACAAACATAAGCCAACCATAAAATCACAACTCTCTTTGAAGTTCATCTTGCATCCTTTAGCTAGCCCAATAGGGATTAAGTAATGCAGCTGTATTAGTTAAAGATCAGGAAGTGATGGCCAAGAAAAGAAAAGCTGTAACGTGAGTCTCAAAAGGTAATCGTAATCAAGTTATTCATACTTAACTTCACTGTTAAAATGGACCCAACCTCCCTTATCTAGCTACCCATTCAAATTCTCTTGTCCTTTGCCTCCACAGAAATGTGCTGCTTGCTCCTGCTGTCTCAACTTTTTCTCTCCCTGTTAGCTGTTCTCTCCCTGCAATGTAGCTTGTACCATTCACAGAAACCACTAACCATTTCCTCACTGGTAAATCCAAGGGCCTCTGCAGCCTATGGCCGCCTCCTCCTGCTTCCTGACCTCTCTGCTGCCTTTGATAATTGATCAAAGTTATCACTTGCCTAACTCCCTTTGTTCCCTAGGTCTTCATGATACTATCCTTCATTAATTTTACTTCTGTGCAATCAATTCTATTAACGCTGCCACAAGTGAAAAGGCCAAGCCTGTTTTTTTTCCCTCCCCTCGTTCCAGCCGCCAGGTCTATTCAAAATTCAGCTACCATAATCACTCGCCTCAGCCACCACTCCAACCACAATTGTTCTACATAAGCACCTGCACTAATATCCTGTTCACTCCCAGATCCAGCACAAGCACCTCATTTATAGTTTCACGGTTCTTCATCGTTTCCCACTGACCTGATTATCTCTTTGCTTTTATATCCAGATACATCCCTGTCCAGAAAGTCTCCCAGCAACTGAATTAAACGTGCACTCACCCTGTTTATCCCACCTTCCATTTCCATCACCTTCCTTGGTTCTTTTCCCGCGGTAAAATTTTAAACTGTAAGCTCCTCAGGGCAGGGACCTGTCATCATATACAGTGGTACCTTGGGTTACATACGCTTCAGGTTACATACGCTTCAGGTTACAGACTCCGCTAACCCAGAAATAGTGCTTCAGGTTAAGAACTTTGCTTCAGGATGAGAACAGAAACTGGGCTCCGGTGGCGCAGCAGCAGGAGGCCCCATTAGCTAAAGTGGTGCTTCAGGTTAAGAACAGTTTCAGGTTAAGAACAGACCTCCGGAACGAATGAAGTACTTGATCTGAGGTACCACTGTAGTTGGTAAAGCACCATGCCCAACGGGTGATCAAAAGGATCCCTTCCTCTGACATAAGAAGACTTCCACTGGAAGGAGAGAACTTTTGGATCCAACTCAATGCTCTCCCCCTCCCAAAAAAAACCTGCAATTATTTAAAGGTTTTTAAACAATAACACAATTCAAACCCAATACATTTACAATGTGATTTGAAAGGTGATGTACATATAAATGTGTAAGATATTTTCCTGTTACGAGGATCACCACGCAACACAATCGACAGGTAAATTCGCATTCACACCCACCCACATTCTCCCACGATGTGGTACAGAGAGGTGAGGATCCACACAATCCATTTTGCTTATAAAAGGGGACAATACCTTATCAAAACTGTCCTAATGAACCCACTGATGGCAATATATTAGAACCATCAACTTAGAAACATGCATGAAATTTCAGGTGAACAAAGCATGCCAGTGGGCATAATATATGACTAGACTTGTCCACTAAAAAACCCTCAAATCAGCCTTTTGTAGAATTACAATGTAGAGCGCTTAATCATAAACTGACACATATTTTCTGGCATGTGCCCCATTAATAACTTTGCAAATCAAGCTGTTCCTAATTTTCCATGTCCTCTTATTACTGAAAGAAAGCCTCCAATTTAAAAAAATATATATACTGTTTGCCAATAGATTATTTTTTTTAAAAAAATCACATAATGGATAGTTTCCCATCTTAAAACATCCTGTTCCAGCACAGTACATAAATCTGTCATGCACATGCAATAATTTTATGGGACCAAAAAATAAATTCTCCATGACGAGGATTCTTTACAAAAGTTTCAAAGCAATGACGGAGCTTTTAACAAATGCAAAGAGAATGTGCCACACATTCCCTTCCCCCACTGCTGCTGAGATGCACTACTTTGCGACAAAGTACCTAATGAAAAAATAAATTAACGAGCATACTGTAGATTGATGCAAAATGTGTACATAGAAGAACAACAAGTTTCAATTTAAACATGTGTCAGTTTCAGAAGCCATATGCATAACATACTAAGTGTGGGCCAATCATTTATTGCTTTATTTAAATCCTGCTCTTCTTTCAAACGTAACAAAATTCTGGTTACAACAACGAAAAGAGCATGTTATGAAATATATCAACCCTGAAGAATATTATTAGATCAAACTATGCCTAGAAAACTTAAGAGCAAAGCTGGAGGCTGCAAAAGACAGCAACATTTTTCAGCACCTCATTCTTGAATATAAAGGAGTAGAAAATTGAAATGAACCTGAGAATCACACATTGGCTTGTTAGAAATTACTGGTGTTCGCTTTCAAAGGGCAAAACTCTATTTTGACACCAAGCAAAGCAGTCAGTATGTAGTTTCCATGTTTATCTAAGGAAAACAAGGCCTGGTTTCTCCCCACCACCAGTTACTGCTTCTCATTCAACCTCACCTGTCCCAGAAATATTTCTAATTCATGGTTAGGAGAACCAGAGAGGGTAGGCCCAATCAGAAATGCTATCCTTCTTGCTATAACTATTAAGTGCCACACTTTTTATTCCAATCAACTTTCATTAGGATGGAGAATGGAAACAGAATCATTTTCCTGATCGTCGTTCCAAGAACCCTAAACACCTTCCTGGAATAAAAAAAGGTAAAGGAACATGTATATTCCTGGAATATACAGATTCAGTCCAAAGGCTTGTCCAGTCACTTTCCACTTCCCCAGGAAAACCTGCTGTTTGCCACCAAATCAGAACAAACTGCAACAGCGGTGTTCAAAATTAGCCAGGCGCAGGCATGTTTTGTGACTGGCATGGGTCCAATTGCAACCATTTCTGGATGCCAGGATGGCGACTGACATCTCTGGCTGGCTGGCTGGTCCCTCCAGCTTTCTTAAGCAGATAAGCAGAAGCTTATTTATTGATTTATATCCCATATATACAGTCCTTTTCCCTCCAGGGAGTACTCTAAGGGTATGCAGTACCGGCACATCTCCTTTTTTGTTGTCAAAAAGTGTGGCACTGTAACAACTTCATGGTGAGTACTAGCACCTATTTTACTAGGGGGGGAAAGCACTGCATGGTTCACACCCTACTACAACAACCCTGTGAGGTGCCAGTACTGTGACAGACCCAAGGTCAGACTAGGAGACTGTGACAGACCCAAGGTCATCCAGTGAGCTTCTTGACCAGGAGTCAGCAAACTTTTTCAGCAGGGGGCCAGTCCACGGTCCCTCAGACCTTGTGGGGGCCCGGACTATATTTTGAAGGGAAAAAATGAACGAATTCCTATGCCCCACAAATAACACAGAATTGCATTTTAAATAAAAGAACACATTCTACTCAAGTAAAAGCACCAGGCAGGCCCCACAAATAACCCAGAGGTGCATTTTAAATAAAAGGACACTTTCTAGTCATGTAAAAACAAGCCAATTCCCGGACCGTCCGCGGCCAGATTGAGAAGGCGATTGGGCCGGATCTGGCTCCCGGGCCTTAGTTTGCCTACCCATGTTCTTGACTGAATGGGGATTTGAACCCTGATCTCCCAGGTCTGAGTCCAGCCCTCTCACCACTACACCACATTGGCTTCCCAGAGTGCTCTAATAAGGTAAATAAATATGGGGAAAGCCAAATGTCACTTAGAGAAAGATCTAAAATATTTTCATTGAAATCATTTTCACTGTAAATTTGTTTTATTCTGGATTGTTTTGTTTGATGTTTTGATGTGTTGCAAACTGCTTTGAGATTTTTTTCCTTTAAAATATAAAGCGGTATAGAAAATAATAATAATATGATTATATAGCCGAAATAAGGCAAGGAGCTTTCAGCATGACAGAGAGCCCAAGTCATTGCAGAAATAGAAATCGTTTCAGGGGGAAAAAAACCCTAAATTGGAAGAAAACCAAACAACGACTGAGCATGCTCAGAATGTCAAGTGTCTGTTGTGAGGACTAAAAATAGAAAAACTGGGTTTGGAGGAGAAATATAATGCAATGCCCTGAAAAAGGCCAGGCTGGCAGGCAAACTTCAAACTGCAACATTTTGTGGCAGATCAGATCCCTCATACAGAATCATCTAATCAATGAATTGTAGAATTGGAAGGGACCACGAAGGTCATCTACTCAAAACTCCCTGCAATGCAGGAATCTTCTGCCCAATTTGGGGCTCGAACCCACAACCCGACTGAGCTATTTGATGAAGCTGCCTTTTCAGTGATATACATGTGAAACAACCATAGCAGACTTTTAAAAAGAAACTTTAGTCTAAAAATGTATGTACCAGGTACATGCATACATAAAACAGTAGCTCCTTTTAAAGTACAGGAAATGTCTTCATGTCAATACAATCATACAAGATACCCACAAGAAAAGCATGAGCTCCAGTTTAATCACTTTTTAACAATTTGTGCTATCCCTGACCACATCAGTCCACAGAAAAAGTTTTGCAGATTTCCAACAACAACTTCCAATGTAACTCAGCCAGTGAACAGTTTCATTTTCACCTTCCAAAACCCAACACAGTTTCAGCCCATAAGTAGGCTCTCATTGCACGGTCTGCGTACTACAAGTAGATAGCTCAGGAAAGCTCAAAATACTGGGGGTGGGGGAAAGTAAGGGAGATGGTAGAGAAAGAACAGCTGTACATGAGACAATTTAATAGTGTTTGGGTTTTAATGCAAGTATTCCAAGGCCAGATTTCCTTATTCCAACAACCAGTGTTGTGTCTAAGATCCAGAACAGGGAATTAGCAGATTGCAAGAGAGAGACAGACAGAGAGAGATACTACCCTTGATTTTCAGCAACATAGTACACTATCAGCAAATCACAAAAAGTATTCGCTAAATTAACCCATCCCCAAAATACTAATTAACCAAAGAATATAACCGTTTTAATCCTCCATAACACAACACCAATGAGTCACAGTTCTATGATCTATTGCTGTTATAGGAAGGAATGACAGTTATGAAAGCAGACAGACTCCAACCATCGTGACTTAGTATCCTGTAAAATAGAGAACTTGAAAAGGTGATAGAGGGCAGAAATGAATTAAAAATACTAAAGGAGGGACACACTAATGGCTACTTTTTACTTTATATTAACACAGATTATCTGCCACCATTTACCAACCCAATTCTGCAGCTGCTTCACTGAACTATCTTTCCATCACAGCTCCACATACAAATATATTGATAAACATAATACAATTTACAACTATTAACTACCCTTCAAAGTATGTTCACAAAGGTGGTTAACACATAAAATAAAGCAGCTATGTAATTTCTTTTTAGTTATCTTGAACATGCACTAGTGGGGCACAATTAAGTGGACTGAACTTTTGACTGAGGAAAAGTCAACGGAGGCATTGCAAAAAAAAAAATCCTGTATGTTAAGGAATCAGCATGCAATCTGAGTGACAGTCTTCCCAAATGCAGCAATCTGTTTCACTGCACTCAGTTGGAACTTCCTTGCATACAGAAAAATGCATACATGTGGTACTGTTGCAGAGAATTGATTTACACATAATTTACACTCTAGTATTCCTACAAATAAGTGTCTCCCGTGGAGGAATCTTGTAACGTGGGCTCACAGTGGCATCTGGCACTATTTCACTGTAAATCTGGTAATAAGATGAGGATAACTGAAATTATTCAGAAGTAATTACACAGCAAGAAACAGCAGAGAAACAGCAGAAGGATTGCAATAGGGGGCTGGGGAAAGAAGACACCAAAGTGCTATTTCTGGATGGATAATTTCTTTGGAACAAAGCTTTAGGTGAAGCCAGTGATTGGTTGCAAATAGAATGAAAAATGCAACGACCTGTGAGGCACAGTCAATTTTGCCGATTGTTCTGTATATATCGCCTTGACTCCTTTTATGAAGTGAGGCAGAGTCGACCAGTCTCAAAGTCTGAATCCTAGAGAGTGCAAGAACAGCTGTTGTTATCTGGAAAAAAGCCTAGCGGCTCTTTGCACATGCCCTGAAGCACAGTTTCACAGCTGAGCTGGCTGGGAGTCATAATAGCCTCTGGAAATGAACTTGAACTCAGCGGCCGAAGCCAGATGTTGTCCTTTTGCACAAGGGAGGTTGTAACAAGCCCAACCCTTGGAGATCATGTATTTACTTTCTGGCTGAGGAAGAACGATTATGGGGAAAGGAAGAAAAAAACCCTATAAAGAAAAAGACTGAACTAGAATCGGACGTGCAATTTAAAACACACACACACAACTGCCCCATTGCTGTGGGTTTGACAGCAGCCTGACATACAGCAGCTGAGATCCACCTAAGGGATAAGCTTCTGCTTGCTAATCTGCCAGGAAAAGCTTAGTTTCTGCATAACAGGATGGCCCAGTTGGGAAAATTAAAAACAAAAAAGGTGGCGCCAACCTTAAGCAAGGAGTGTGAGAGAGAAGCAAGGGAGCGGGGCTGGAGGGAGGGAGAGAGGGCTTCAAAAGTCAGGCGGGAGTGAAAATAAAAAATTAATCAACAGCAAGTTGGGAAGTGCTGGAAAAAAGCAGATGAATAACGGAAATTCATGGGGAAGAGAGAGAGCTAAGCCCCCACGATGGAAGGCAAAAGACAACTGCACCCCAGTGTTTCCCCTCCCCATCCCAAAATGCAAAATATAAAGTATGTGCCCAGAAGGAGGAAGCCTTTTCCGCACCCACCGGGAGCCGAGCGGTTGCCCGCCTGGGCGGACGCGGCTTGGAAGAAAGCAGCCGGGTAGGCGGGCGTCGCGGCCGGTCCTTGAGGAGCCATCCCTGGGCGAAGAGACCACCCGCGTCCCGGGACACTGGGGCGCCTGGGCTGCTGGGGCGTCTGCGGCGCGCGCAGGAAATCTCCCCCAGTCCTCCCGGGCGCGGCTCTGGCGTCGAGGCTCCGCCCACCTCTTCTCCATTCCTCCTAGGGGGGAGAGCGACTGAGCATGCGCGGTGGCGGCGCCGCTCTTCGGCAAGGCTGAGGGGAAGGCGGAGTTTCACTGTGGAAAAGGCAGCTGGAGGCGAGCAGCCTGCTTTTGCCTCAGTCGGGCGCTGTCCAGTCAGGCGCTCTCGCGCCACGAGGCAGCAGCGCCGAGCGAGCGAAGTCCCAGTCAGTTACTTTGCTCGAGTTAGGAGTGCAGCAACTGTAACACTAAAGCACTTTCTGGGGAGCAGGGGTGTCAACTTGAATAAAATATTTGGGATTTGGGGTGGTTGTAACAAGTCTGTGACGACGTTTCACAAACTTCAGTATCGCCTACCTGCATTGTATGTATTTAATCTGCAACTGCAAGTACACTGAGAAAAAAATTACACAATATGTTACTTCATACTTGAGTGTGCCTTGTGTAGTTTGTTATAGGAAGGAAAAGAGAATTAATTTAAAGAGTCAAGCAACCCATTGCTGCCTTCCACATGCTCTGCAAATGGAAACTAGTGTCTAATTCACACATTTTTTTAAAATGTATTTTTTATTAAAGATTTCTTGGTTTACAAAAGTATGGACAATGGCTCTTTTTTCAAGTTACATTTTTCTACAGATGGGTTTCATTTGTTATGCTCCAACTATTCTGGACAACAGCCGTATGGGAAATAGGCAAAATAACTAAGCAAGTATTAGAAGTCACCCCAAAACTGGCCCTACTAAACATCTTCCAGGATCATAATGTCCACTCACATCACAAAGAGCTAATTCACATTTTTGGGTGGCAGGGCAGCAAATCCCGTTTCACCTCAAGCAGTGAACAAGGACACGCTGCACTTGCGCCTCAAACTCCACACTGAAACGTTAAGAAACTCTCAAGTCATTGATGAAAGTTCTTCAGTTTGTTGCGCTTTTTTGGGGGGAAATTTCAAAGATCCAGTCAATTTTCGAAATTCCACCAGGACACTAATTCCATGGCGTCCCTACACAGCGTCCCTACGTCTATTGACCTCAAAGGGCTTTGCTTTAGGAAAGCTGCTAAGGTAGCTTTGATGTGGTTGGTGAGGAAGAAGAGGAAGAAGAAGAGGAAGAAGAAGGGGTTGAGGTGGAGAAGAAAATATGTTGCTGGCAAAAGAGCATGTCTACAATCAAGGTTTTGTCCTTTTGGGGATCTAAGTAGCAGTGGTGAGCAGAAGACGTATCTCACTCAAGACAAATGCATGCCACTGTAGGCATGTTCATCTCTCACATTTGACAGCCCAGCGTGATGCCTAGCTAGACAGGGATGAAACCATTGAAATCACAGGTGGAGATTTCATATCATACAGCCTCTTTTGAAGCTCAAGACTTTTCCGGAGAGGCAGGCATAATATTCACCTAGGAAACATCAATTTAGATAACTGTTTCTGTTCTAGTGCTTCCCCCTTTTCTCAACAAACAAATAAAATTACTCCATTGGGGGAGACTGGAGCCACATGAAAAGCCTGCAGAGTCCAGCCATATAATATTATTTATTTGTTTATAAACATATTCGTAAGCCGCTATGTCATATGAAATATAGCAAAGTGGTTAACAGCAATTAAATATAAAACGGTACAATAAAAACCATTAAAGGCTATAAACAGGCATCAGTTAACTGTTGTAGAAGGATTGCCTCCATAGGCCTGGCAGAATAGAAAAGGCTTTTGGCAGGCATTTAAAAGTTGGCGTAGAAGAGACCCGCTGAATCTCTATTGGCACAGTATTCCACAGGACTGGGCCAATGTCGCCAAAGGCTCCATTTCTTGTTTTTTGTCAAATGAGCCTCACCAAGTCGGGGAACAACCAGTGGCACTCCTGCAGATAATCTCAGTAATTGAGCTGGAGCCACGTTCAGCCCCTTGACCTCAGGATCCCCACCCCTGCTAATTGGTTGCAGGTTAGTGAAATTTACATTACTGTATATACATGTGTAGGGACACGGGTGGCGCTGTGGGTTAAACCACAGACCCAAGGACTTGCCGATCAGAAGGTCGGCGGTTCGAATCCCCGCAACGGGGTGAGCTCCCATTGCTCGGTCCCTGCTCCTGCCAACCTGGCAGTTCGAAAGCACGTCAAAAGTGCAAGTAGATAAATAGGTACCGCTCCAGCGGGAAGGTAAACGGCGTTTCCGTGCGCTGCTCTGGTTCGCCAGAAGCGGCTTAGTCATGCTGGCCACATGACCCGGAAGCTGTACACCGGCTCCCTCGGCCAATAAAGCGAGATGAGCGTCGCAACCCCAGAGTTGGCCACGACTGGACCTAATGGTCAGGGGTCCCTTTACCTTTACCTATATACATGGGTGGCCCATCCCATTTTGCCACCAGAGTAGAAATGGGAATCGCTGCCTTATATTCCCCCTGCCACTGCCCACCATCATGCCCCCACGCTCACCAAACTCAGCAGGAGATGGGGTGCTCCTCAAAGTGTTGGCACTCAGCTTCTCTTCAGGACAGGGAGTGGGTGGGAGCTGATCATCAACATGGCATGCAGGAGCACCCAAGCTCTCGCTGGGCGCTTCTCAAAACTGCTTGGCTTTCCCCCCAGAGGTGGAGAAGCCGAGTGACAATACCGCACACCAGAATGCCTCCCTCTCGCCGGTGGTGGAAATGGTGGGATAGCTGGGGCACTGCCTCTTGCAAATCTATTGTGTGCTTCACCCTGTCTTGTGGGCAGACCAGCTCTGCATATATATTATATTTGTTTATAAAGCCCTGAGCAACTTGGGAAAGGGTAGTAAACTGTCTGTTCTTTCTCCTAACCATTATAAGAAAAAAAACTGCTCTTTTCCCCTTATGAGGTATCCAAGAGCCCGTATAGAGTCCTTAAGTGGGTTCCCTATTGGTAGGAGAAAATAGCAGAGTCCAACCAGAGAATATTGAGAAGCAAAGCAACTCGTAAGCTTGATCTTTATTAAACTGTTGCAATAGGGTCCTCACTCACCCCACGCAGGGAGGAGAGCCCCAAACGAGGGTGTGCAAGCCCTTATATAGACTTTTGAAATTGCCCACCCTGTAGTCCAAGACCCCCCCAAAAAAAAAAATCATACATGCATCACAGAAGGAGGCAGTCTACAGCAGAGGAGGCGGTCTACAGCAGAAATCCTGTTTTGCCAGGATATCTGACAATGGTCACTGATTGCTTTGCCTGGGCAGCCTGGCCATTCTTTCGTGGTGGTTAATAGGTTAGTTCCTGAAACCAGGATTCATACACAAATACGCCCTTAAGACAGGATTTCTAAGCAAAAGACAACGGGGAGGCTTTCCCATTCCCTTTCTCCCTGCAGAGAAATATTTGAGGTCAGTTAATTTGGGAGAGTCAACATGGTTTGGGAAAGTCAAATTGGCTTCAGGATTGCTCTCCTGTACTATTTCAGACATGTGGTTTATATACCTGTCAAATCATTAATCCAAAGGGATTATTTGGCAAAAAAGGCTCTCTTCTGCGGTTCCCGCTCATGTGTTCTGCTCGCTTTTGCAGCCCTGTTTCAGGTCTACATGTGCACTTATAACTCCCTCCTTCTCTTGAGGCCATCCCAGTTCTTTTTCTTCCTCTGCACTCCCTCCCACCATAGCACCTTGGAGGGGAAGGTTAATTGGGAGAGGAGAGGACAGCAGACTCCTCACTGAGTCTATGTAATAATTTGCAGTTGGCTCCTGCCAGGATGGAGTTTGCCGGTTGCATGCGCATATTTGTTTATATTTTAAACAAGGTGGTCTTGCCCACTTCCCCTGGACCTCCTCCTGCCTCTTGGGGACAGCCAGGGAAACCTGGAGACTTCAGGTCAGCCCCAAAGGTCTAGCAACTGTTGGTAGCACGCAGTACTGACCAGTGGGGAAGGTGAAACAGAGTTGTAAGGGACAATTTTTCTGATAGCCTCACGCTGCATACCAACCAGTCTGGAACAGTACCAATAGCTAACATTGTTTATATTATTAGAAACCACAAAGTATAGATCAACGGAAATGGAAGAGGAAAGAGAAGGATTATTTGTACTCAAAAACTATCATTATCTGTTCTGAAAATCATGTAATTAAGTTCTGTATTGCTGGTAAGAAAACGGATGAGCAACCTTACATTGCAACCTTTAAAAGCAACTGCTAGGTGGATATAAATCTCGGTGTTACCAACAGAATCATCCACATGTCAGATTGGCTTAAAAGGGAGCTATCATAGTGGTTATATACATTTTTATTATTTTATTAATTATTAAAATTTTATATCACCCTCCGTCGGAGGATCACAGAGCGGTTTACAATATAAAAGGTATATTTCAAGTATATTTGAAATAAATTAGTTTATTTAGTTTCATCATGCCCAGGGATATAATTGTGTTTCAGGGTGAATTTTAAAATATTGAGGGAAGATATCGTCACTGTGACGCGGTGGGAAAAGCTGGCTTTGGAGCTTAGGAACTTTGCTTCCCCACTCACCAATGAAAATCACTAGTTGACTGTAAGCGAATTACCTTCCTTAGCTTAATTTAACCTCTCACAGCTTTGTTGCGATGAGTGAAAAGTAGTGGGAGCAATCCAAACAAAGAGCTGTGGGGAGGTACGAACAGCAGATATACTGTCCTGCATTATGAACGCATCAAATGCCTTTAAGAATGGATCCTTTTTTCAAAAGGAGAAACAATTCAAATCTCTTGTTAACAGTTTACCATCCCCTGAGATGATAATAGGGTCTAATAGGTCCAATTAACCACATAATCCAGAGCGTGACTCTAATCTTTTTCTGCCTTTTTGCATCCAGGGTCATGCTGCCTGCCACCATAGAAATTGGCTGGAACGGTAATAGAGGAAGAATCAGCTATTGTCCCCAGGCAGGATATTTTCCAGGAAATGGTACTAGACACCAAACAAATGCATTTGTGTTTCAAACAGCATGTCTCAACCGCAGCACCTTTTATTCCACCGCCACTGAATAGACACCATATGAAATGTGCTTTGTTGTTCTG